TTGTACATACTGCATAAGCATCTGGGTGACTTTCAAAAAATACCATGACAAATAACAGGGAGAAATTCCCTGAGTCATGAAAACAAGCTGACTAAATCTTAAAACACATTTCTGGAGTGAAAAATGACTCAATTTGTGTATTGGATTGTTTACTGATGATGATAAAAGTCTGAGGGATCAACCCACCAAGCTGTCTGCTGTGCAATTTCCATCCATTTTAATGGGCTTCCCAGTCTGAGATGCAGTGAGAACTTTTAGATGATGCAGCCACTCTTCAACTGTTGAAGAATTATGGTTCCTGGTTTGTTAGTTATAAAGATGTTTCTGCATCTTTCAATAATTACTTTTTAAACTCAGATTAGGTTTTTCTACAGTGTTGCTTTCCCTTTTATTTCTAGGATCACATTCTACTTATGAAACCTCAGTGCAGTGTTAGAAGACTCAGGACAGACAAACGGAAGTGCAACTTCACGTTAGAATTCCTGCTCCATAATTGCAGTCATGGGATTGTTGTCTATCACATGACGGTATATGTTTTGACTCCACAGAGTGGGAAGTGACGGAGACAGGATGTTTGTGTTACTGTGTTCCGTGAAGTGGAACTATTGTCCTTTGTTCTTTTTCTCTTTGCTGTCTGATGCTAGAGAGAGAGGGAGCCATGTTGCAGTGCTCCGTGTGTGTTTATATGTAAATAAAGTAGATTAGCCAAAATGCTGAGTTGCTGAGGTCTGTTACGCAAACTGCGCAAACTCTGGGGATCCCTAAGTGTGCTGGTGTCGGTTGGCATCGGTCGCTGTGATGTTCGGGCTGAAGAAAGCTTTTGAAGCTCCCGAACTAACGACCAGGAGGGAGAGAACATGCCAGTCAGGCATGTGTCTCTGCCAGGGTCCTACTCAAGTGTAGGCTGAACTCCTAACACTTCAGACATTTAAGCATTGTTAAGTGATGGAATTTGAGATCACAAGATATAATAACGGCCTCTGAATACCAGTTGCTTTGATGTGAGTTCCATCATGTTCATGTCCTACTTCTGGACTTCCCATAGGCATCTACATAATTTGCCATTGTGAGAATAGGATTCTGGACACAGTGAAGATAGCTCAGTTCGAGCCCTGTGTCGGGCAAAAGATTCCTACATTGCAGGGGGTTGGACCAGATGACCCTTGTGGTCCCTTTCAACTCTACAATTCTATTATTCTTTGACTATATCAGCCCTTGGTTCAGCACAGTTCTTCTTGCATTCTTATCTTAGAGTACTGTTATGAGTTTGCATGCCAGAGTTTGTGGATGCAAGGCACCTATAATTCCTGAATTTAGTAAGTGTTAGAATTTAATCAATGCTTGAAGAATTAGACTCGTAATAGCTGGAGATTGCTCAAGAGGTGAGCCATTAGCAGAGAATAATAAATACAGGGAGAATGGCCATCAGCACAGCAGAGACTTTCTGCCAGCCAACAGATGGATGAAGCCGCACCCAGAGCTCTGAGATAGTAAGAAATGCCAGAATTTTTGTTGGGGGAAGTTTCGGGTAGCTGTGGCACGATCTAGTGAAAAAGGTGTCAGTCTGTTAAATGCAGCAATTGCAGGGGGGTGGACCACAATGTGGGCTGCCTGTTCGAATCAGAGACTACAGCAGTGGGAGAAACAGGATTCTCTTGGGAATGTAATGATTTTAACCCCTCCACTGTAAGCTCGTATATAAATAAACCATGTATCACAAAGACACCACAGTCTTTCCAAAGGAAACACAAACTCTGACTAAGTGCTTGGACCCATAGATTCTCACATCACTCAGGGGTTGGGGTGGCGTGTAACAGTACTATCATTATTGGCCTTGAGAATAAATCCACTGCTCAAAGTGGAGTAGGATTGTGTGAACTGTCATCCCTCTTCAGAGGATACGACTGAGTCTGGCACAATTTGGAATGAAACCATCCTACTTCTACTCCCCTCCCAATGTAAGCACTGGATAAGTCCCCAGGGAAAGAACCAATTGGAGATGGAGAGGAATAGGAATAGGAGATGACTGCATAGCTTCTCCAGCCAGTGCCAAGGACAAATGTTTTGTTCGTCCAACAGGCTGGCACTGTTGAAACAGTGCTTAATGTAACATATTTCAGAATCCTCTTCACACTGAAAGCAGCAATACAAATGCATCTTCTAGGTAGATATCTGGCCAACATTTTAATTAACTTCCCCTTCCAGGCAGGCGATATTAGCTCTATCTTCTAGAATGAGCAGTTAAGAAAGTAAAATACTTTGCTTTTCCAGCCTCCAAAGTAGCACCTGGATGGATTGCCAAAGACTTAGCTCTTCTTGCCATAATTGCACAAGCGAAACACATAGGGTACAATGCAGAGAAAATAATACGCGCCTTATTCCTGTTAATACTTCTTGATTTAGCTTAACTATGTTCTAAAATCCTATTGATTTCAACTAGTCCTGCAATTTTAGACACACTTACTTGGAATTAATGTATTTTAAATTGGAGAGGTCCGTATAGTTAAAGCTATGGTTTTCCCAGTAGTGATGTATGGAAGTGAGAGCTGGACCATAAAGAAGGCTGATCACCGAAGAATTGATGCTTTTGAATTATGGTGCTGGAGGAGACTCTTGAGAGTCCCATGGACTGCAAGAAGATCAAACCTATTCATTCTAAAGGAAATCAGCCCTGAGTGCTCACTAGAAGGACAGATCCTGAAGCTGAGGCTCCAATACTTTGGCCACCTCATGAGAAGAGAAGACTCCCTGGAAAAGACCCTTATGTTGGGAAAGATTGAGGGCACAAGGGGAAGGGGACGACAGAGGACGAGATGGTTGGACAGTGTTCTCGAAGCTACCAGCATGAGTTTGACCAAACTGCGGGAGGCAGTGGAAGACAGGAGTGCCTGGTGTGCTCTGGTCCATGGGGTCACGAAGAGTCGGACACGACTAAATGACTAAACAACAACAACAAATTGGTGAGACTTACTTCTAAGTAATCCTGTGTAAGATTGGACTCCAAATATCACTTCTCATAATATGGTCACTGTATGATGACTCTTGAAATTTCTTAATACAGCAGCTATTCACAGCAAGCTTTTCATGTACCCTGGACCCATCTCTATGATGTGATTCATTTCTATGCCACTGACACCACCAAACATTGTCAGCAACGCCTAATGGAGGCTAACTTTGTGGTGAAAGCTGATCTGTGCATGCTGGTAGAACCGAAGGGGCTACTGTGGGAAACAGCCACCAAGTAGAAACACTTCCACCTGCAATATTGTGGGAACCTGCTTTGCTCTGGTTTGCACTAAGGATCTAACTTTTTCATACTTTTCAAAATGGTTGTGTTTAAGTGGCTAGAACTGATGGAAATCAGCCAAATGTTCTGGACTGGTGCATGCATTACCGTTGCCAAATGTAGGGATCAGTGCTCTGACCTCTAATTTATTTTAGGCAAATTAATTTGCTTGATGGAAGAAAACGTCACTGCAATCATTTCTTTTTGGCAACAACGCCATCATACAACCATACTTTGTAGGGAACAAATGCATATTTGGTGGGATTGCTAAGTTGTCTGAAACGCTTGTGCATGTGCATTTGCCCTTGCTGTTGTGGTGCTAGATCCAAATAATGACAGCAGGCTGACATATGTCAGTGCTGGAGAACCTGGTGCCCTTCAACTCACATCATTCTTGACCATTGGCCATGTGGGCTGAGGCTGGTGGGAGCTGGATTCAGACAACATCAGGAAACCAACAACGTTCCCATTCCTGTTAAACACAGTTCTCTTTCCCTTCCCTATTTCATCATCACAGCAGCTATGTGAGGCAGGTAAGGCTGAGAGACAGTGACTGGCCCAAAGGCACAAAGTTAACTTGACGGCTAAGTGGGAATTTTAACTCGGATCTCCTCAGTTCTAGTCTGAAACTCTAACCACTACTGTATATCATTGTATGCATTTTGTGAGCACCATTAATTCAAGAAGGATGTTGACAAATTGGGAAAGCTGCAGGAAAGGGAGAGAAGTGCCTACATTAATTACTGTAAGAAAGCACGAGAAGTACAGTAATAAAAAGAAAACACTGTGAGACAAATTTAATACAGATCAAGTCGTTCAGACATTATAAAAGTTATGTGCCGTGACAGCCGGTAATCTAGTCAAGGGAAGCTACCAGGTAGTGAGCACTTTGTAACTAGGTTTGTAACTAGAAAATGATGGGGCAAAGAGGCAGCGACTGATCCAAAGCCACCCAATGAGCTTTGTAGCTGAATGGCATCCCACTTGCTTAAGATATGCAGAGCATGTTATAAGCATAATCTTCTGATTTACGGCTGGTTGACCCGTGGGAACCCCTCTCCCCCCACCCCAAACCCTTGGTCAATGAAAGTTTTGTTTTTACCAAGGTTGGTTTTTTTAATGCAAATAAAGAAGTATGCGTCAGGTATTTCTGCCTGTGAATTATTATTTTTAACCCTCTCAGTACATCACAATGAAGTTGCTATACAATTCCCGCTGAAAATAAGGCTACCTGAATGTTTAGGGGCTTGGTTCCTCAGTAAGCCTGGCTGCTAAATCATGAACACACCCACAACACAAACTTTTCAACAAATTGTACCACCAACAGCGCAATCCTCTGCAGGTCAACCCCATGGAGTTCAACAGAGCCTACCTAAAAAAACAGAAATACTGTACACATTCCTAAAAGAGCAACGGCCGGCAACGCCCTCTCTCGGCGGCAACCTCCCTTCCTAGGCGGCTGAATCTCCGCTTGCGGCTCCCCATCGACGTCACCAGCCCGCATGGGCATGACGTCATGGTGCAACGCCATGATGTCATGGTGCAGAGCCCGGGCCGCTCAGCAACTTGCAGAGGGGGCGCTGATGCTGGAAACGGACCTTCTTCGTCGTCGTGGTCCCCTCCCGTCCATCTCCGGGGGGCAGAGTCAGGCAGGAGCAACAACCGCTCAACTTTGGACTGCGGGGCTTTTGGTGCCAGAGGGCGCTGAGATCTCAGTTGCAGCAGCAGCAGCAACTGGGGGAGGAGCAACTGGGGGAGGAGTTCAGGGCGGATCCCGCGGAGAGATCAGCCGCCGGTTTCAGGAACGCGGAGAAGGAGCCGGGTCGGCGAGGCGCTGGACGTCCTCCTCGGGGTTGGCACCACCACCACCGCCGCCGCCCGGGCATGAGGATGACGGTCGCTGCGGCGGGGGACGGGGGCTCCCCCGATCCAGGCCCCGCGGCGGTGTCGCTGGGTCTCAGTGTGGCCGTGGTCTCCAGCCTGGTGAATGGATCCACGTTTGTGCTGCAAAAGAAAGGGATCGTGCGCGCTAGAGGACGAGGTAGGGGGCGGGCATTTTTTTGGGGGGGGACACACACCTCCTACGGGCCTTTTCGCCCCGATCCCTCTTCCTGGACTACGGTTGTGGGTCGGTTATTCTTTGCACCCAGGTCCACCTCCTCCCCTCCAGTGTGGAGGTGGGGGGGCGCACCCCATGCTTCAAAAGACATCCTCGCCAGCCCCTGTGTTCCTGCCTAGCACCCCACTGCTATTCAGGGGTTCAATGATTTCCCTGCTATCCGATCCTATCTCCTCCAACAGGCATCATGTTCGTTGCTTCCTATGCTCCATCACACCTAGGAGTTGGGTGTTGGAGGGGGGGGTGCGGCTGTGTGTGGGCACGAATGTGACGGGGGGGCGGGGGGGGAGATTTCTGTCCAATGCAGTAGCACTACTCCTTGTCTGCACTTGAAGAAGAGCATCTTTGGAGCCTGTGGGCAGGTTCATGGCCGCTGCAGGCAGTGCCTGAATTTAACCTCGTCGGCTGCCCAGCCCCTCCATCTACAGTCTTTGCAACTCTTCCCCGTGGGCTGGGGCGACCCTTTGAGTCCAAATCAGGTTTCTCTTCCAAAAGGAAACTGCTGTGTTGTCAAAGTCGCCGTTTGAAAGTTTTATTTTTGTTTTTTAAACTCTGTGAGTTATGGATCCAGGGGATTTACTCCACAGAGGAGTTTAAAGCTTTATCCTCCAGAAAGTGACAATGTTTAGTAAAGAAGCTAAATGTCAGGAGCAGTGGGGAGGAAGTTGTAACCCTGAGGTCCTGCAACTTGCTTAGGCATTAAGTGTTTATGATTTCCTTTTTTTTCCATACTTTATGAAGTGGGGGAGGACTGATCTCCCCCACTGGACTTGCAAACAATTTGAATGATCATGAATGCAATGTATGAACGCTGAAGAAAATCCACAGGTGTCTCAGAGGTTGTTATTCAGAGAAGTACTTTTAGAATTTCCAGTGGGATCTCTCTCTCTCTCTCTCTCTCTCTCTCTCACACACACACACACATCCCACAGGACCATATAGTATATTCAAAACTGCTTTTGAACATCCCTTCCATTTTAAGAGTGTTTTCCCATGTGGCATGTACAGGCTGCCACAGTTTGAAAAATGGGCACACACCCCACACCCCCGTGGGAGAACGTAACTAGTTGCTTCATTCTTTGGATTGTTGCCGTGATAATTAGTTCTCCTACAAGTATAATGAGCATAAAACTCCTCAGACCAGACTTGAAGAGCACAACTCTTTGCAAATAGCATGCAATTTTTGTGTAACTTAGATCCAGTCATCCAGTGGTTGCTGTATTTTCTCGTGGGAGCACCTGAGGTGAGCAGAAACAATATCCTCAAATCAGACACAGGCAGGAGGATGATACTGGCACATGGCATTTCTAATATGTAAGCTGTTCCATTCCAGAAACTAGGCCTGAATGGGCATTGTTGCCCTCAGTCTGCCCCCGGACCTGTTACAAAACCATCCGATTCTGCTACCTAAACAAGACCTTGCTGTAAGACAACATAGGAAATTTCCCTGGTTTCCTGACTGGCAGCAGCTTGTCATCTGTTATATAAAGTTTATTTGGGTGTTTGTGATGAATAACTTTAGCGCAAGGGCAGAAAGAAGAATTACCAGGATGACTGGCAGCTCACAGAACAAATTAGACAAAGTAACTCACATGTTTCAAACTATCATGTATAATATGTCCAGTTTAAAAACAATATTGCTCTCTTTTTATATTAATAGCATGTTAGCGACTGAAAGATTGGCAGGGAGTGGAATCTTACCCGAGTTCTTTATGTGATTAGACCTAAGGTGGCAAAAAGTACTAAAATTCACTTTGTTTCATTGCACTGACTTAAGCAACATTAAACATTGGTGGGTGTCAGAGACCACATTAATAATATTATTTACCAGTAGATTGAACCAAAGTAGTGTATATATCGACATGCACACATGGTTGCCAGAATTGGGGCACAGTGGGAGTTGATGTGAGGCTGCCAAATGTATTGGCCTTGTCCTGCCTCAGGAAGGTGATTCTCCCAAGTGAGAGTATGCACAGAATTGCAGCCAAGCGGCCCAAATATCATGTGGAACTAAATGGACTTAAGTCTACTAGTTTGGGGTTGGTTTTTTTGGGATGGGTTTAGACATGTTCAACTCTGCGTAGGATTGGTCTGTTAAGGTGATAAATCAGAGGTGAGGAATCTGTTAGCCTCCAGATATTGCTGGGCTCAAACTCCCATTGGCTATAGCCGGCATGTTCAGAAGTTTGTAGCCATACCCAGAGGGCCACAGTTTTGCCCATCCTTGTTACAAACAGATTGCAGCATAATAATTGTAGGTTGCTTGCACTACCCTTTCTTTTAACAATTGGGATGTAGGAGGGTTTTTTTTTAATACTTGAGTACAGTGGTACCTTGGGTTAAGAACTTAATTCATTCTGGAGGTCTGTTCTTAACATGAAACTGTTCTTAACCTGAAGCACCACTTTAGCTAATGGGGCCTCCTGCTGCCGCCGCACGATTTCTGTTCTCATCCTGAAGCAAAGTTCTTAACACGAGGTAATATTTCTGGGTTAGCGGAGTCTGTAACCTGAAGCGTATGTAACCCAAGGTACCGCTGTAACTAGAATTTCCCCCAAAAATATTGGGTGTGCCTCATAAAACTGTTTCTGATCACTGACTGCTTTAAGAACATATTGTTCCTGATAATGTTAAGCTCAGGGTGTCCTGAAATATAGCAGATTACTTGAACTGCAGCACTATCAGCTGACAGTATGATATAACATGTCTAGTTTTCATTTCCTGCAATCCTTAACTTGTGTTATTAGACTCTCTTGTAAATGTAGTTGAAACGAGAATCAGATGAAAGGTCTGTTTTTTCTAAAGATCCAGTTGGTAGCTCCTGCCACTCTTCTGCATGAGGGGATCCTAAAATAAGCACATGACCTGTTCAGATGTTTGTCTGGAAATTGTTTTTAGAATTGGACACTGATATAATAGGGCCAGCTTTTCCATGAAGAGATAGCCTTTCATTTCGGTGTGGTTTTCGACTTCGAATGTTGTATAATGTAATGTACCATCCCCAAAATCCTTGGCTCAAATGCTGCTCAAAGACTGCTGGGAGAAAAGTTATGTTTCTACTTTCATGTTTACAGAAGGTCACTTCCTGCTCTATTCAAAACCTTAAAAACAAGTTTGCTGGTTCATATGTTTCATCTGAGGCTGGGACAAAACTATCCTATCCGCCCCCCCCCCCCCCGAAGACCTCAAATACACCCTATTCTTAAACTGCCTTTAAATAAAAGAGAAAACCATCCTTTGTGATGTGGTTTGACATTGGCACAAAAAGGCTATTTTCCAAAATCTCTTCCTTTGTTTTACAAAACGATGCAGAGTGAACAAACTTGTATTTAATACAGTGGTACCTTGGATTAAGAACTTAATTTGTTCTGGAGGTCCGATCTTAACCTCAAACTGTTCTTAACCTGAGGTACCACTTTATCTAATGGGGCCTCCTGCTGCCACAGCTGTGCTATTTCTGTTCTCATCCTGAAGCAAAGTTCTTAACCTGAGGTACTATTTCTGGGTTAGTGGAGTCTGTAACCTGAAGCGTCTGTAACCTGAAGTACCACTGTAGTCATAACACTGAGGATGACACCAGAAGGACAAGGTCGCTTCTTTTCCCTAAAGTGACCAGGGCTGGGCTGCAATCGTATACCCATATACCTGGGAGTAACCCCCACTTACTGTAATAGGACTTACTTCTGAGTAGATGTGTGTAGGCTTGTTAGAATAATAATGTTTTGTATTTTTATACAGCAGATTCTAGTAGGGCCAGTTATTTGATTTGACACAGGCCTGATGTGGAGAAGGGCAGCATTTTGTGATTTGTAGAGTGTATACAGATAAGGTTTTTGCAGTATTGTTGATATTCTGTTTTCTGATTCTTCTCTTCTCTAGGAACTTCATATCTAACAGACATAGTCTGGTGGTCGGGCACCATTGCAAGTAAGTATACTAACTAATAAAACCTATTCTTATGCGCTAGAGCAGGGAAAAGGTGTTGTGGTGGTTAATTTGTTACCCACCCTTCAGCCTAAGGTCCCAGGAAAGGTTACAACAATTTGAAATACAACACTAAAAATAATTTTAAGAATAGATATCACATTTCTCAAAGGCTAAAGAAGCACATCTTCAGCATTTTCTGAAAACAATATAAGGATACCCCTCTGTGGGGAGCTAGTTCCACAGCATATGGGCCTCTACAAATTACTCCTTCTCCCAGCCCCACTCTGAGCTTCTGAGGGCAGGGGAACTACAAGAGGGTCCTCTCTGCTGATCTTAAGACCCAAGAGGGTCTGTAGGGAAGGAGGCGGTTTTTCAGATGTTTGGGGCCTGAGTCATTTAGGCTTTAAACACTATCGTGAGCGCCTTCAGTTTGATCCAGAAATGGACCAGCAACCAATGCTGGTGGAATAGATACCATATCATCCTGTACATTCTTAGTCCAGTGTATCTGGAGAGTTCTGCTGATGTTATCTGCCATGCAGGTGCCTTATGTTGCAGTCTGCTGGCACGGCAGACCTTCCACCAATTCCTGTGGTCCCTCTCTGCAGTGCTGAGAGTGTTCTGTAAAAGAGTGAACTTAACCTACTTGTATCTTGTCTTGTTTTAAAGGTGCTGTATTTGTGCTAAATACAAAAGCATGGAACTCGTAGCTAGACTGATGTTTTTCCCCTCCTATTCTGTTACTATTTGCTCCTTACTTGAAGGTTTTGAATAACATGTCTTATAAATGGGCACTTTGATTAGCTTGTTGCACATTTTTGATTCTTTCTTTTTTTAATGAAGCCTATTGCGTTACCCCACAGGGAGTCTTTTAAGCATCAAAGGTTTTGTATTTTTAAAAACTTCTGCTGTTTGTAGCATAACTGAAAACGTTAACCCCTCTGACCTTTATTAGAATGCTCAAATTTTAATCATCGTCACCTTCTATATTAATAAGGTAATAATAATATTTTGCCAAATATAGAGCAGTTATCCAGGACTGTTGAGGCCACTTCTGTGGTTTTAGAGATATAAAAAAAAATCCACTTTTTGCTGTCCTCTGTCAGCAGAAAATCCTCAACAACTCAGTTTGAGGTAGCTGAAAGCGAATCGTGTCACACATGAGAAATTTATTTATTTACATATTCACTATGTTTAATATCTTGTCTTTCCTCCAGTCACCTCTAGGTGGCACACATGGTTGTCCACCTTCATTGTATTCTCACAAAGCACTGTGAAGTAGGTTAGACTGAGAGATGGTGGCTGGCCCAAGGTCTGTAGAATGATGAGGTCAGGTAAGCAGAGACACGGGGACTGACCCAGGGTCACCCAGTGGGGATTTGAACCCTGGTCTCCTAGGTTCTAGTCCAACATCCTAACCACTACACCACACTGCCTCACAATTCATACCCCCTAGTTTAACATAACTGATTTCTCCACCAAGTTTGTCAGTGCAAACATGGCCAGGCAAAAACAAACAATCCAACAAACCAGAGGTAGGTGTGTTCAGATATCTGCTATAGGATTTCTGGTTAATTATTACTACTATCATTATTACATTAGTTGAAGAACAATACTGGCTCAATCCATTGCAACACTACAGTGCCAGTAAATACAAAGTTCAGCAACAATAGTAAGCCTTGCTGTTAGAACTGATTCACACAAACCCTTTCAGCTGCTTCCCCTCCCTCCCCTCAAAAAATTGGTGCACCTGCTATTAAAGAAAGAAAGCTCAGAAGCATTTGTGTGAGTCAGCCTTCGGGCATGAGATATGAAGGAAAAGCAAGCCCTGAGAATTAAGGTGGGACGCCGATAACGGTTAGAAGCACGAATACCTTATATAAGTGACATTCATAGTCAGTCAGGCTAGAAAATGATTGGCATAGTTGACTGCTAATGTTAGGATTAGATAATACGTTTTGAATTATTCCACCTCAGTGGTTTTCCATAGGACACACCTTGCAGACTCATCACCATTTTTTTTTCTTTAGAAGGTTTTGATTTTGCCGTTGCCACTTTTAGGAAAGAGACTTGGCATTGCAGTTTCCAACCCCTAGAGAGCATCAGCCAGCTTTTGTTGTCGGGAGACAACAAGACTGTCTACAAGGAAAGGGAATTCAAGGCTTCTTAGACATGAGTTGCCAGTAAGAGGGGAGATGTTGCACTCTCCTAGAAGGCTATCTCCCTTGATAACTGTAGTCATATTCCTGCTTTCCAGACCTGTTTCCACTCCTGGTGGTGAGAGTGAAAGAGAAGAGGTTGAGAAGGAAGTCCCTTCTACAGAATGGTCCAGTACCACTCATTGTCCAGAATTGTTTATCTAACAGGCATTGTTTCTAAGATACCACCGAGCATTTGCATCTCCCCCCACCCCTCTTACACTTCCGGCCCAATCGCCTTCTAAATCCGGCCTGCGGACGATCCAGGAATCTGTGTGTTTTTACATGAGTAGAATGTGTCCTTTTATTTAAAATGCATCTCTGGGTTATTTGTGAGGCCTGCCTGGTGTTTTTACATGAGCAGAATGTGTGCTTTTATTTAAAATGCACCTCTGGGTTATTTGTGGGGCATAGGAATTTGTTCATTCCCCCACCCCAAAAAAATAGTCTGGCCCCCCACAAGGTATGAGGGACAGTGGACCAGCCCCCTGCTGAAAAAGTTTGCTGACCCTATGGTATTAGCTCCAGGGAAAGCCTGCAATCAGGGTGAAAACAGCCCACCAGACACATCTGTCAACCTACCAGGAGCTCAATTACCCTGTGTTTTTCTGACAACTCATGATTGCAAAAACAGAGGTATCGTTTTTTTCAGCATCTGGAAATCCACAGATGTTTCATGACCGATGAACAGCATTCGGCTTGCTCATCCACAAGCTGTGTAAGCCTACTCCAGAGAAACACCACAGTGTGTCTAGGGACCTGCATGAAGTGTACACGTTGAACCTTACTTGGAGGCATCTGCTGCCACTGCCTCTTCCCTCAGGCAGATTTTTATAATTTTTAAAAATGCATGGAGGCAAGGAATACATAAACAACCCCTAATCTCTAATGGTTCCCAGAACCCATTGCCTGAAGCTACCACCTCACCTTACTTCCTTGCAATACCACACCTGTAAGTCAGGCCCCAGCTTGTGAATATTTAATCCCGTCACTGCTCAATGAAGGTTCAGCAGACCTCATTTTTTTTTTTAGATCTGGAGATGTTTCAGAGATGTCAAAAGTGAGATGATTTAGGTACAGAGAAATACCGGACTGCTCCCACTTTCATTCTCTTTCTTTCTGCTCCTGCAACCATTCTCTCTGTACCTAAAATCAACTTGACATAGAAAACACTAGGCCAACACTTTCCCCCCCCCAACAGATCGGGTTGGAGTATATGGGTCTTTATTCATATGTACATAATAATATACATGTAAGAGCTTAGTGGGAGACCAGACTGTCTGCAAGCATATCCTCACATATAAATATGAAATGTGGTTGATATGTTTTGCTGAGCACATGCATAATGTTGCTGTTGTCATAAGACCCAGCCTCTCATGGAGATCTTCCTTTTGTGTCAAAATGTGCCTTCCTCACCATGTCTTTCCTTCACAAGAACAGACTAAATAGTCTTGGTATGCAAGCTATGCAGATGTTGTGTCCTTTTCTGTAGCCTAAACATTGGAGTTATTATAGTAGATTCCTAGCATCCTAACATCTGGTTATTTTCTTGGCATTCATTTGTCTACCTGTTTGCTTTCCTTTGTTTCTCCTGTATATACCCTTGCCTTAATTAAGAACATGCCCCAGTTTTGCCTCATGTTTCAAATGTCCTAGCCTAAGCACATGTACGGAAGCACCTTAACATTTAGCTGTGTGCTTCCGAAAGTTGAGTTTTTTTGATGGGGGAATTGGCCCCAGTACATCCTTAACTTCCCTACGGCTAAATTATAGTAAGGTAGTTATTATTATTATTATTATTATTATTATTATTATTATTATTATTTACTTATACCCCACCTATCTGGCTGGGTTTCCCTAGGCACTCTGGGCAGCTTCCAACAAGAGATTAAAAATACATTAAAGCATCAGTCATTTTAAAAAAAAAACTGCCTTCAGAAATAATAATAATAGTTCCTTAATATAAAATGTAGCTAGCATGTTCCTGTTCCTGTGCTTGTTAATTAAAAGTCCTCCCACACTGGATCTGAATTTCTGAAGCATGATTGGGCTGTGATTATTTTTGCCAGCTGGTAGTTATTCTTATTGCAAATGTATGTGTTTATTTGTTTCAATTATATCCCACCGTTCCTCCAAAGAAAGGCAGCATACATTTCAGGTTGGAGAGGCTGAAAGAGATTGACTGGTCTGAGGGCATCCAGTGAGTTTCATTGCTTTGTGATGATAGAGACATGGGTTTTCCTAGTCTGATGCCCTAAGGCAGCCCTGTTCAGGGAAGTTTTTAAACACACAATGTTTTATTGTGTTTTTAATATTTTGTTGGGAGCTGCCCAGAGTGGCTAGAGCAACCCAGTCAGATGGGCAGCATATTATTATCATTATTAGCAACTACCCCATACTAAGTTTCAGAATGTTAAGATCTGTAGGGTTTTTTTAAGTGAATAGCTGGAAAATTCTGATTTTTACTCAGCAGCACAATCCCGCTGAACCTAGTCCTGCTGAGTTCAATGAAGCTTACTTTCATGTAAACGGATATAGGATTGCAGCATGAATCGATGTTTCCCAAAAGGCAGAACAGTAAAGTGTAACATTATCATTGATCAGAATTCTGACGTAAGCAGCAGCCTGTTTCGTTTTGCCAATGACACATTTGCATTTCTTTTCCATAGTGGCCCTTGGCCAAATCGGGAATTTCTTAGCCTACACTGCAGTTCCTACTGTTCTGGTGACTCCTCTTGGAGCGCTTGGAGTTCCATTTGGGTAAGGATTTTGTTTATTTTGAAGTTTATACAGATATAAATGCCTGTATATAGAGTTCATATCTGAATACCAGCAAGAAATGACAATGAATCGGGTACTGGCAGCAGTTCAGTACGGTGCGCCATGTCTATTCTACTAATTCAGGCTTTGCCAGCCTTCAGATGTTTTGAATTACAACTCCACTCAACTGGAAAAAAAGAGAAAGAAATTAGAAGTCCTGTTGTGCAAGCAGAATTCCCTTGCTCAAGCAGGCACAGGTGAAATGCGTAAAGGATGAAATTTGTTGGTCTTCAGTCCCGTTTTAACTCTCCAGACTTACCCAAAGAAAATGAGGCACATGGGGCACAATCTTGCCAAACATAATCACTTTTTAAAATGGCTTTGATTTCAATGAGTGAGAGTTCATTCACAATGAGTGAAAGTGCCGAGACTCAAATGTGCTGCTTTTAATCTGGATCACGTGTTCTATCCATCGTCAAAGATCCAACATAGAATGACTAGACACAGGGCTTTTTTTCAGCCAGAACTTAGTTCCAGCACCTCTCAGGTGGGTGCCATTGCCATTCTAAGAGGGAGGTGAGCTCCAGGACCAATTTTCCAGAAAAATAGCACTGACTAGACATATACTCACATGATAAGCTTCTCCTTTCTCTTCTTTCCCCCCGCAGTCTCCATGCACCTCAAAAATCTGCTCAAGGGTTGAGGGACTGTCCAGAGCAGATTTTGAGGAAGAGCAGATTTTGAGGACACACAGTGAAATGGAGAAGGGAAAAGAGAAATGAGAAGTTACATTGCCCAAACAGATTGACAGTGCTGATCTCTTATGTCCTTGCCTTATCACTGAGGTATTTGGGGCAGTCCTTGTTAGTGACCCCGTATGGCTCAGATGCATGGCTCACATCCACCAGGAGCTGTGGTTAGTATTGTGTGCCAATTTTTATGGAAATCCCTTTCAGTTGAGATCAAAAGATCCCCCTCCGTGTCGAATATCTGATGCCTACTAAGGACATTTTTATTCCATTTTAACCGAATTCTGATTTTATGGTTTTGACTAATTTTTTTAGTTTTACTCTATTGAGCTTCAGTACTCCACTTAAAGCTGATTGTAATTAAATGGTATATAAATTGTCAGCATAAATAATTGAGTGCTGCCAAATATTTTTAGAGGCTTTGGCAAAAGGTGATATCGGTTGATTCAATATATGTTATTTGGGTTATTCATCGGCTTGAGAGTCTCTTATTGTTTTCCTTTTTAAAAAATAAATAATGGTTTACCCTCTGGAACTGAGTGAAGGAAATATACATACCGTAAATGCATTTTCCAGGGAAGACTCCATAAAATGATGTTTTGTGGTCATCCAAAAGTGTGACAGGGAAGTGTCTTCTTCCCATTTTGTCCTCCCACCTGCCAAACCAAGGTCAAATGTTAAAACTGATCCCTTATCTCCACATTCAGAGACAGATAAACCACTTTGAACAAGCAAATCCTTCTGGCCTTGCCAAAAAAAGGTGGAGGATAAAGGGTAATGACTTACCTTAGAATTAAATTAACAGTATTGAAAGTTTGAATAAAATGTTCTTTTTCTTTGGTTCTCTTCTTTGAAAGATCCATTTTAGCTTCCTACTTACTGAAAGAAAAACTCAACATTCTTGGCAAACTGGGTTGTCTGCTGAGCTGTGCAGGTTCTGTTGTTCTCATAATCCATTCTCCGAAGTCTGAAAGTGTCACCACACAGGCCGAGCTTGAAGAGAAGCTCACAAATCCAGGTATTTAATTCCTTGGGATAATCACATTGCCAACTCAGTCTTGAGTCTCGGTAACTGTGTCAGTTTCACAGAACAAAAAAACACAGTGTAAGTTGGTCCAACATGAGGTATTGCCTCATTTGCACTTGTTGCCAAGCAGTTTTGCATTGTGAAAAAGATGTTGTATCTTCATGTAATGTAATGACTGCAGTTGAATTGCTCCACAATCCTAAACAGGTTTACTCAGAAGCAAGTTGCATTGAATTCAGCTAGTTGTTTCTTGGTAAGAGAACATTTGTGGCTCTGACTGCAGGAAAACACTGGAAGCATAATAAGACAAGCCAGTTTGCTTTTTTTGATAGGAACTGTTTATCTGCTTAAGTTCTTGGTATGCTTCAGTGCATTATTAAAGGAGAAATTAGCTGCAGCCCTGCAGAATTGAAGTCACTGGAATTTAACCAACCTAATTACACAAGACTGTAGCAACTATCAATGTATTAGTTTTTAAAAAACAAACCAACGGTTTTTGATTAGAAGGCTGTGCATTAAAGTAATAGGCAATTATTTTAGGTATAAGTACTTAGGGATGTATTCCTTTTGGGAAATTTGATCTGCTTTATATACTCTTAATACAAGCTTTTAACCCAAGAAATAGGTGACAGAACAGAAGAAAATATACACTATCATCTATATCCCTTCAAAGCTGATTCCAGTTTTCTGTTCTGACTACGAGTATATGGCATAGGCACATTGTAAACATGAAAAAAGTCCTTTGTAAAATTGCCTTTATGTAGAAATTTACCATGCTGCCATTCTGTTTTTTTGTTTTTCAGTGTTCGTGGGTTACCTCTGCATTGTCCTTCTCATGCTCCTCCTGCTTATCTTTTGGATTGCACCTGCTCACGGACCCACCAATATTATGGTTTACATCAGCATTTGCTCATTGCTAGGAAGCTTCACAGTGCCCAGTACAAAAGGCATTGGACTAGCTGCTCAAGATATCTTTCACAATAACCCATCGAGCCAAAGAGCACTGTACCTCTGTTTGGTCCTGCTGGCAGTATTAGGATGTAGCATCATAATTCAGTTCAGGTACATCAATAAGGCTCTGGAATGTTTCGATTCCTCGGTGTTTGGTGCCATCTACTATGTAGTGTTCACCACTCTGGTCTTGCTGGCCTCAGCCATCCTGTTCAGAGAGTGGAGTAATGTTGGAGTGGTGGATTTCTTGGGGATGGCTTGTGGATTCACCACTGTATCTATTGGAATTGTTCTCATACAAGTCTTCAAGGAGTTCAATTTCAGTATTGGGGATTTAAATAAGCCCAATACGAAGACTGATTAATACCATGATATCAAAAGGGACTGGATGACCCAGAAAATAATAAAAGCCTTTCCACTTCTAGGCTATGGGAATGACAGAGACTTTGATTTCTAAGCCCAGAGAACAACAGAGCCTTTCATTCCTTGTTGGAATATGTGAAATGAATTGGTGTTCTCAATCCAGTTTCTCTAAGACTAACTGTTACCATGCTTCAACTATCTAAATGGTATTAAAATGGAATACTCTTATACCCCTCACAGCAGGCGGGTAAGAACTGCATCAGTGCAAAAGCTGATGTATTTCTTCACGCTAGAAAGGTGATGTATACAGTGAAGGTAGAAGTGTTCTAGAAGTTTTCAAAATGTCTTCCTGAAACATGGTTGTGAATAAATTAAATCCAGCTTCTGTGCTCCATTGGGCAGGTGTAATGAATGATAAGCTGTCCCTTTGAAAAATGTAGATACACTTCAGAAATTTAGATTGGATTCCCTCCCCCACACCCCCAATATCTCTTTCGTTAGGTCACAAAATTCATTCTTCTCACAGCTTTAATTGAGGGTTCTTTATATCCATGTTTCAGAATCTGCACACTGGTAAATTTCCTTCCCTCACTGACTTTCTCTGTAATCTGAAATGGCGCTGAAGAGCTCATAATTAAGTCCAAGAAACAGAGCAGTGTGTTTGTCTCTCAAAATATTTTCTTACCAGGACATAGTTGCTCACACTTAAGTAAATACAGCAGTCAGTTTACAGATACGCCTTTTTGTTCACAGTAAGCATTTGAAGTGCATTAACACATTACATGAATTCAGGAGCTTTTAATAATCAACAGACAAGAATGTGAGGATCATGGCAGATTGTAACCACTTTTCAATTTTTTTATTTTTATTTTTTGGTCATTTGTAAATAGTTGGAAAGTACTTCAGTGCCTTTTGCATTCTAAAAAAAGACCACATAATTTGAATGAAGGTGTGTCTTGAAAAACTCCATGGGGCAGTTCATTTCCCCCTATCATTTGGCAGTCTTCATTGCTTACAAACATGCAAAGTGGTCAGAAACGGCAGCATAATTTCATATATACTTTAGAGTCTGAATTTATAACTGAGGTGACTGTGTGGTAACTTCCATGCACCTCCTGTTGTGTGTGAGTTCTGAAGAGAGGTGTTCTAAAATTGCCCATTCACAGCCTTCCAGTTTTTTTTCTAACCAAGTAAACTACTTCATAACACAGGTTATGAAGTCAGGTTTTGAACTGGCACTTTTGAGGGCAAAAAGAAGGTTGTGGTTAAGTGATTCTGTAAGAGGAAAGGAAAATGTTCAATTCCAGTCAAGGAAAGGTTAGGCCATTAGCCTAAGTAACTCTTCAGTCATTCATCCACAAGGCAGGGCCTGGATATTGCTGGAAAACAGTTCAGATTTGCTTGAGACACACAGCTCTCTCATTTTAGCAAAACGACCAGCTAATTTGGTATACCTGATTCAGATATTAAGAATTCACTTTGCTATATGCACCTTCAGATTTCATTTTAACAGCTTCAGGGTATTTGAATATATATTAGTAATTAATTTTAACGTATTTGACATCAGCCATAGAAATATATTTTTCCTATCAGTTCCAAAGATACATAACATAGGTATTGGAGTATTGATCCAAATATGCACACCTTTTCCTAAGTATGCATTACTTTTAAAATTCTGTGAACTTGGAAGTTCAGTTTTTGTATTCACAAAGCAAATAAGGAATCGATGAATTCAGATTCCAGCTTCAACCTCATTAAAAGCCACTCCTGTCCTGGCAATAATGTTACTTACCCTGCCGGGTGAAAGATAAACAACAAAGTTAAACAACTGCAACATAGAGAGTTATCAGTTTTCTACATTCACACAAATAATCAGTGCAGTTCTGCAATACTTGTAAGGTTTGTCTGGAAAATTAAAAATGGGATGTCAGTTTCTAAATTGAATTTGATAAAATAAAAGGGCATTTCTCATGTCGCCTGAGAGTTTATACAAGAGATGTATACTGTTAATGTTTGGATTACCCATAGGTATCTTTTACCGTGTCTACACATGTTGGAGTAGATAAATATAAGTCACTTTAAATGTGATGATGGTCACCAGTCGTGACTTGTGAAAAGACACTTAATCAAGGGTCCATAAATGTTGTGTTGTCTTGTACGGTGGTAATCACCAAAATCCTTCCCAAAATCTCCTGACATGAACAGAAGGCTTGGGAAAGAAGCAAGATCTTCTCCTATTTTTGTAAGATATGGAGAAAGTAAGAAACATTGGGATTCTCCCCCAGTGCTTGGAATGGAATCCTGATGTTTCTTATCTGCTTCAGAAGTGCAATTGGGGTCTTATCGGCACACCATGTGTCCTGCTCACCAGAGGACACTTGTCTGAGAAAGGTGGATTTATGGATGACTGCCCTTAATCAGTATTCATAAAGTTTAGGTATTAGTTTTGTGTGGAAGCTTGCTGTTTGTGATGGTAAGTTTCTGGAGGGAATCATTCCAAGGCACTGTATTTTTTAAACATGTTGTGCTTGACATTTCAAGTTTTTAAAAGAAAATCGCTGAGATGTGGTAATTCTTTTCTTGTTTTTTTTTAAAGATATATATCCAGAGATTAAATCACAGTTGTTGGGGTTTTTTTCCAGGCCTTTGACTTATGATGACCTCAGTTTAGTTTTCCTTAATGTAGGTAGGCACACGGCTAGGAGTGTTATCTCAGTCTAGAAATTAGAGCAAACGCTCGTGTGCATTATTGTTCTCTACGAAAAAGTGCCTAACCAAGTATGCTGGTACTTATGCACATTTAAAATCCTATACAAAGGTATTCTTGACTGAACGAGGCATTGTCTGTCTAGGCCTGGGATGGCTAAGGGGGGAAGATTGACACTCTGTCTTCCCAATAATGTTTCAGGGGCAGAAATCTATTTTGCCACCCAAACATACCCTGTCAGGCTCCATAATAAAGATTATGCCATCTGGAAGGAAGCTCTTTACAATTATGGAGAGTGTATGTTTGTGTGCTCAAGCATAATAAAGACAAATATATATATATGCTTATGTATAACATACATGCTGCAGACAAATCCGAGACAGATGTAGCGTTAAAGTATGGTATTTCTCTCATTCTTGCAACTTAAATTTTTTTTGCTTTCCTTAAGAGTGTACATATACTTGATTTACCACCCCTTGATTTTAAAAGGGAAGGGCTGACAGGTAAAAAAGACCATGGAGCCTGCCAGCTGGCCATCCCTTGTCTGGGCAGTAGAGCATGGCAAGTCCATCTGAGGCCATTTGTGGTGCTGTCACCTTTCTGCAATGCACCCACTCTCTGCTTGTGACACTTTTTGAACTGACTTATGTAGGTTGATTTCTGATATATGGGCTTTGTTTTTAGGTGCACTGACTAGCAGAAATTGAATAACGTTCTGACATATTTTTAGCGGCCTTGCACATAATTTGTATCTTGGCATTTGACATTTTGAATGGCAAATAGATGCATTTATTTTTGTTACTCTGTTCAGCTGATAGATTTCCCTTCCGTTATTTTTGTTTGTTTGTTTTTTGTTACCCTGTGTGAAGGTCAGTTTTCCTGAATTCCGGGTGTAAAATAATCAACAGTTATAGTAATGCTAGTAACAATACTTTCCTTCCTGATCTTCCTCTGCTGTTACTACTTTGGTTGTTTGTGTGTTTTAAGTTCCTTACAGTATTGATGGGTGTCCCATACTGGGAAATAAATATGCAGTTATCTCCTCAATTTCAGTCTTCCTCAAACTTTGACATGCACTTTCTAGGTTGTTGCCTAGTTTGTACACATTGATTGTACAGGAACCTAGGCACTTAAAACATTTTCATTAGCTTGGGCTCTAATTATTTTCAGTGGACCATATATTCATGGAAGGGCAATGTGCTGTAGTTGAGCATGCTCTAAAGGCATTTCATAGCATATTTATGAAGTATGATGATGTACAGAAGACACTTAATTCTGTTGAGAAACATGATGTAGGATTTACATATTTATCCCCTGCTTTATTGACTTGAAGTCTAATAGTAATAAACCTTTCTGATGAAGCCAAAAAACATTTTTGTAATATCCTAAATACAACACAATATTATATGTGTGTTTTTTAAAAGCAAACCAAGGTTGCAACTCACAACCTGCTTACACAGGAATACTTTTTTTGTAGACTTTGGGCACAATCCACTAACAAATACTTAGAAACTCAATATAGCAACCCCAGAAATACTTAGAACAAAGGCTGTAATTCTTACTTGGACTAGGGAGCAAGCATCATTAAAGAATGTGGGACTTAGTTCTGAATAAATATGAAGTGCTCTTTAATTGGCTTTTAAGTTTCTACCGACAGAAATTATTTCTCCTAATAACTATTTCAAAATGTGTGTGAGTGTAAGATTGTGTGTATGTGAGAGAAAGATTCATATTTATTAATCCAGTGTTTTTTTCTGGGTGTATGCCGGGGTATGCATACCCCTAAACATTTTGTGAATCTAAGTTTGGCCTCATTGGGCGGTAGTATTTCAATGAGTAGGAAAATGAGAGTACCCCTAAACATTTTTTAAGAAAGAAAAAAAAAGCACTGTGTTAATCTATATGAATATGTTCAGTTCATTTATATGAAACTATCTTAGTAATAAACTTGGTTTATGTTGAATGTAGTGATACTGAAAAAAACTAGCTACAAAGTCAAATACACTGAATTTTGAAATGGAAGCTGTGATTCCATTTTATTAAGATTAAATAAAGAGGGCCTATAAACTGTACTGAAAGTTGGACTGTACTTGCATGATGGACCACTCGCACTTTCTAATATAAATGGAGGATTTTAAAGATTTCAGAGCTCTTTGAACACGCAGTTGGCATATAGGTTTGCACTTGGGGGGGGGGGACTTCTTACATAGAGCCACACCAAGAGGTGTGGGGTACCTGTATTCCTCCAGATGTTTCTGGACTACAACACACAACAATACACTAGCTGGGGCTGATGGGACCTGGAGTCCAGCAACATTTGGAAGAGCCACAGGTTCCCCATTCCTGACCTAGAGGTGAAAGTCTTCTGTTCTCTCTTGTAGTAGAAGTGGTGCTGGCTGGTTGGCGTCAAATAAAAATGCGGATTCAAATAATGGAAAAGGGAGCAAACCTCAAATGCTATGGGCTTGATTGCTTAAATGCTTTTGTGTTGCAATATAGTTACTTCAGGCAGACTAAAGAGGACTATTTTATTAGCTTCCAAAACAATGTGTATATAGATTTGTTAAATGCTCAATAACCTTAGCTTTGCTTTAAAAAAAAAAAGTAGTTATAGGCATATTGTATTTGCCTTGTAAATTAGCAAAGGCTATTTATTAAGGATTCTGACAACAGACCTATTTATTAATGTGTACTGTTTTAAAATAAAAAAAATTTCTAGTTCAGTGTTTGCTTTGAGATTTTTCTTCGTAGCTGTTACCTTTTGAGGAGAGTATTATAATTCACAGTCTCACTAGCAAGGCTTTCTCCTAATCCTCCAGTCAAAATCACTAATTGTTTTTCCTTCACGAAGATAAGAAAATGTTTATATCCTACCTAAGGCACTAACCTACTAGCAGTGGGATGTGACAGACCCTAGTACTTAAGTAATCTTATCATTCACTTTTATGGCTTAATTTAAATTGGGGCTTAGCTTAGCTCTAAAACCTGTTTTCAGTGTTTGGACTTCACCTTGGCAAACATTACACCTTCAGTGCATTAAGGCTTCTCCCCCTTTTCTTTCACTGTTCAGAACTGTAGTGCCCCCTCCTGCCAGAAATTAAAACAAAACAGTGATAGAAGGCCAAATGACATGACAAATGCCATATCTGACCCCAAACATGTAGCAGTTGCAGTGTAAGTCACAGGAATGACATATATATATATTTTTCTTTTTGTGGCCCTGTAAGAGAGGATTAATAATATGGGCGTTTAAGTGGTGCGTGGTGGAGTGGTTGCAATGCCATAGCAGAAAAACTCTGAATGCATGTCTGAAATTTTGCAGACATGAACTGGGCTTGTTAATGAGATTCCGCCCGTTTTTAGAACCAGAACTCACTGTGAAATGGCAACAGCAGTTTTTGAAGCTGGCTGAAAAGTAAGGTAAGGAAGCCACCTCTGAATTATGCAGTGGGAGAGAGCACTTCAGGTTACATGCAGAGGCACCTGGTGTGCGAAAGGTAGGCCGAATTATTCATGATTTAGATGCTGGCTGGAGTAAGCAAGCAGTTTGAGAAAGTTATCAGCTCCTAAGCAGCAGATGTAGCAGTGGAGAGAGGGATAAATAAACACAAGGCACAGCTAACAATAACTTTTAATTTGAAATAATTAAAATGTACCGACACATTCATTACACTAGTGCATGAATATACAGTAGTACCTCGGGTTACAGACTCCGCTAACCCAGAAATAGTACCTCAGGTTAAGAACTTTGCTTTAGGATGAGAAGAGAAATCGTGCAGTGGCAGCAGGAGGCCTCATTAGCTAAAGTGGTACCTCAGGTTAAGAACGGACCTCTGGAACGAATTAAGTTCTTAACCCGAGGTACCACTATACCATGGAGATATCCCATTATGCCTATTTAGGTTGTCATAGTGATCTTGAATAAGGGATTTGACAAGTCATCATAAATCTTTTAAGGTAAAAGAAACGCTGGTGGCAGGTGGCGCTGTGGGTAAAACCTCAGCGCCTAGGACTTGCCGATCGTCAGGTCGGCGGTTCGAATCCCCGCGGCGGGGTGTGCTCCCGTCGTTCGGTCCCAGCGCCTGCCAACCTAGCAATTCGAAAGCACCCCCGGGTGCAAGTAGATAAATAGGGACCGCTTATTAGCGGGAAGGTAAACGGCGTTTCCGTGTGCTGCGCTGGCTCGCCAGATGCAGCTTGTCACGCTGGCCACGTGACCCGGAAGTGTCTTCGGACAGCGCTGGCCCCCGGCCTCTTAAGCGAGATGGGCGCACAACCCCAGAGGCGGACACGACTGGCCCGTACAGGCAGGGGTACCTTTACCTTTACCTTAAAAGAAACTTAGGAATTACGCTAGATGTCACACTATTATGATTTCTGCTTGCCATACAGAACTGTCTCCCCTTTATCTTTCCCATGGCCCCCATGCACTGTTCTAGGGTTTCTTCTGACCCCCTAGAACCACTTGGGGGCATGACGGAAAAGAGGCGAAAGCCCATTGCACTACCCAGACTGGTTGTGAATCTGACCTTTAGAGTTTTGTAGTATTGTATGTTTCTTTTCAGATATATTGAACTAAAAGGAAACCCAGGTGGGACTTGCCTTTAAAAGGCAGTACTTCAAAGGGCCTCAGGAAGCGTCTGAGATAGATCAATTTTTAAAAGTTAACGGTCTATTCAAACTATCTCAGGAGAAGAGGACAATCTTAAATAATAGAATAACACGACAGGAAATAGAGGGTGCCATTCAGAATATGCAACTAGGTAAATCTCCAGGCCCAGATGGACTTACCTCCAAGTACTATAAGACACTAAAAGACTATTTGATACAACCACTAATGGAGGTCTGTAACCAGATTATGGAGGGAGGAGGGCACCGGAAACGTGGAAAGAAGCTTTCATCACATTGATTCCTAAATTGGAATCTGAAAAGACTCAGCTTAAGAACTACCGTCCCATCTCACTCCTAAATGTGGATTACAAAATTTTTGCTGATATTTTGGCGAGCAGACTTAAAAAATACTTAACGAAGTAATTCATAAGGACCAGGCAGGCTTTCTCCCAGGGAGACATCTTTTTGATAATACCAGGAACATTATTGATATTTTGGAACTTTTACAAACTAATATCAATACGAAAGCTGTGTTAATTTTCATCGATGCGGAGAAGGCCTTTGATAATATTTCTTGGATGTTTATGAAGAGAAACCTGGAAGGGATGGGAGTGGGACGGGGGTTTGAAAATGGAATAGAAGCAATTTATTCTGAGCAAAAAGCTAAATTGATAGTAAACAATGTGGTGACAGATGAGTTCAAAATTGAAAAAGGGACACGACAAGGGTGCCCCTATCCCCCTTTTATTTATTTCAGTCCTGGAGGTGTTACTGAACATGATTAGGAAGGACCGGTTGATACAAGGAATACAGGTCGGAGCGAAACAATATAAATTGAAAGCTTTTGCAGATGATTTGGTTTTAACATTACAGGAGCCAGAATCTAGTACAAAAAGAGTATTAGAACTGATTCATGAGTTTGGTCGGGTGGCGGGATTTAAGTTGAATAAGCAAAAACTAAGGTTTTGGGGAAAAACTTGACACCCTCAGAAATAGATGGGTTTCAGAAGGGAACCGAACGAAGGGTGGTAAAAAAGTGAAATACCTAGGGGTTCACTTGTCAGCGAAAAATTTGAATCTATTTAAAGACAACTATGAAAAATGTTGGCTGGAAATCAAAAAGATTTGGAAATCTGGTCAAGATTGAAACTTTCCTTGTTGGGTCGAATTGCTGCTATAAAAATGAATGTATTGCCGAAAATGTTATTTTTGTTTCAAACCCTACAGATTGTGGACAGAGTGGAATGTTTTGGAAAGTGGCAGAAGGATATATCTAAGTTTGTCTGGCAGGGCAAAAAGCCCCGGATAAAGTTTAAAATACTAACTGATTTGAAAGAAAGAGGGGGGTTTGCCCTGCCGGACTTGAGATTATATTATGAAGCTGCGGCCTTCTGCTGGATGAAAGATTGGTTACTTCTTGAGAACACTGATGTTCTAGATCTGGAAGGGTTTGATAATGCTTTTGGTTGGCATGCATATTTGTGGTACGACAAGGCAAAGGTTCATAAAATGTTCAAAAACCATATTGTTAGAAAATCAATATTTATGGTCTGGACAAAATACAAGGACTTATTAGAGGGTAAGACTCCGAGGTGGCTTTCACCAGCAGAGGCCAAGGCCCGGAAAAAACCTAATATGGAGGTTGGTTGGCTGAAATATGGGGAAATTATAGAAAAAGTAGGAGAAACTTGGAGGCTGCAGAGTTATGAAAAATTAAAGAATAAGGTGCAAAATTGGCTTCACTATGCTCAAATTCAAGAGGTTTTTAAGCTGGACAAAAGAACAGGTTTCCAGGTGGAAAAATCGAAACTAGAGACAGAATTGTTGGAACCAAAGACCAAGGTACTTTCGAGAATGTATATCTTGCTGCTTAAATGGAACACTCAGGATGAGACAGTTAAATCAGCCATGATAAAATGGGCTCAGGACATTGGGTACAACATTATGTTTGAAGACTGGGAAAGGTTATGGACCACTGGTATGAAATTCACGGCATGTAATGCCTTGAAAGAGAATATTATGAAAATGATATACAGGTGGTACATGACCCCAGTCAAGCTTGCTAAGATATATCATTTGTCTGATAATAAATGTTGGAAATGTAAGGAGGCTGAAGGGACATTCTTTCACCTCTGGTGGACTTGCCCAAAAGTGAAGGCCTTCTGGGAAATGATCTATAACGAGTTAAAAAAGTGTTTAAGTACACTTTTCCCAAGAAACCAGAGGCCTTCCTACTGGGCATTGTCGGTCAGAAGGTGTTAAAGAAGGATAGAACCTTTTTATGTATGCAACTACAGCAGCAAGAATTCTTATCGCAAAATACTGGAAGACTCAAGATTTACCCACGCTGGAAGAGTGGCAGACGCAATTGATGGGCTACATGGAATTGGCCGAGATGACCGCCAGGATCCGAGATTTGGAGGAAGAAGCAATGGAGGAGGATTGGAAAAAATTTAAAGATTATTTACAAAAATTTTATAAGTTATATGAATGTTAAGAATTCGCATGATTAGGGAAATTCAGCTCCAGCAATAAGATTAAGGTATGGGAAACTAAGCTATATTAATGAAAGGACTAACGTTTAAAAGAACATTATATATATTATTAGTGTAAATTGACAATAAGCATTTTAAACGCAAATCACAAGTATTTGAAAGAACAAAAGAATGCACGAAATAAGGTTATAATTTGCTGAAAAATTTTATTGTAAAGAACGCAAGGTGAGGGGGACGGGGGGAAGTCCGGTTGGTTATGGAAAAATGTTTTGAAAAGATGATTTTCTTCTTTTTCTTTCTTTTTTCTGTTATTCCTCTGTATATCTGACCTTGTATTTCTATCTGGAAAAATGCAATAAAAAATATTATAAAAAAAAATAAAATAAAAGGCAGTACTTCAGAAGACCCCTGGCATTCAGAAGAAGTGTTATTGCTTCTTGTGTGCAGAGGCAGATTATAGCCACATACCCTCCAACTTTTCTCCGGTGAAAATAGGGACGTCCCATTCCATAATAACTTTACTATTTATACCCCACACACCTTACTGGGTTGCCCCAGCCACTCTGGGCAGCTTCCAACATATATAAAAACATAATAAAAACATTTTTTTAAAAAAAAAAAACCCTTCCCTATACAGGATTGCCATCAGATGGCTTGGGAGTCGAATAACTTGATACCCTCCAACATTTCTCCAATGAAAATAAGGACAACTTAAGGAAAAGTGGGACATTCCAGGATCAAATCCAGGACATCCCTGGAAAACTGGTACACTTGGAGGGTCTGTAGCCATTATGGCTAATAGTCATTGAAAGCTTTGTTGTACATGTATTGGTCATCTCCTTTTTTTAAAGCCATACGAGATGGTGGCCATCACTGTGTCTAGCGAGACCAAATCCCATGGCTTATGTTGCATTCTTAAATCTGCAGTTTCCTCTCGATGCTGCCCCTATTATTTTGCTTTTTAAAGCAAACATCTTTGTTAGGAACAGTGAACTCATAACTGGGCAGAACAAGCTGGAAAAATAGAGGTGTGTGTGCATACATATGGATGTGCAACCCCATGAAGTAAGGTTTAAAAAATAAAAAAAAAGTTAAAGGACTCCTGGACGGTTAAGTCCCGTCAAAGGTGACTATGGGGTTGCGGTGCTCATCTCGCTTTCAGGCTGAGGGACACGGCATTTGTCCACAGACAGCTTTCAGGGGAAGAAACCACAAAGAAACTAGTAAAAGAACGGTCTTTTTCAGAACCATTCAGTGAAGGCAAGAGAAGTGAGAGCACCACTGAACCACCTCTCAGTGTTTCTTCAGCAGCAGCTCACAGCCAGGGAAGGACAGAGGTTGAGGGTCTACCGTTGCATTGCAGCCTAGAAGTAGCCAAACTAATATAGCTAAATCGTTGGGACTCCCCTCCTCTTTCAATGTTTTAAAAATTGTATATTTAATTGAATCTCTTGCTTACTCTCCTATATAGAGTTGGGTCCCATTTTATTAAGTTTCTCCCCATGTGCCATTTTGGGGCCCTGGCATCCTACCATAGTTTTGAACCCTTAGGCCCCACAGGTCTCCCCACAAGCAATTGCTGAGGGGCAACCGGGCTTACATACACGTGCTCATGTTGTGCTCTTCTAGTTTTCCTTTTCACCCAAGATAGGATCTACAGTTTACATCCACTGACTAAACCTCTTTAATGAAGTCTGAAACCCTCCAGGCCAACTTTTTCCACTATCTTACCTTGTATCAGGTGCTTAAACTGCGGGCTCATATTTCTCAAATGAACTCTGCCCTTAAGCAATTAGATGCTGGCCAGACAAAAAGCAGTAGCCCCAGGAGACAGAATAAACAACTCACAGTGAGAAGGGCAAATAGCAAGCGGTAGTTCTTCCCTGTTTTATGGGTCCATGATAATCACAGAATTGTAGGGTTGGAAGGAGACTCCAGGGTCATCTACAGGTACTCTAACCCGTTTTGGTATGTTTTCTGTAGATGGGAATTCCACTGGAAACACGCACACATTAGCCATCAGGTATTTAGCGGGTGGCGCTGTGGGTTAAACCACAGAGCCTAGGGCTTGCTGATCAGGTCGGCGGTTCGAATCTCTGCGATGGGGTGAGCTCCCGTTGCTCGGTCCCAGCTCCTGCCAACCTAGCATGTCAAAGTGCAAGTAGATAAATAGGTACCGCTCCGGCGGGAAGGTAAACGGCATTTCCGTGTGCTGCTCTGGTTCGCCAGAAGCGGCTTAGTCATGCTGGCCACATGACCCGGAAGCTGTACACCGGCTCCCTCAGCCAATAAAACGAGATGAGTGCCACAACCCAGAGTCAGCCACGACTGGACCTAATGGTCAGGGGTACCTTTACCTTTATTTAGTGGCCAAGGGCACACCTGTACATGAAATCAAGGACAAAGCGACTGCAAAGCCGCCCATTTGCTACACGGGCCGTTACGCACTCAGTCGAGAGCGGCAGCCGGACCCTATATCAAGTACAGCCAGTGGGGTGTAAGTGGTCAGACTGGGAGATCAGGGTTCAAATCCCCACTCCACCAAGAAGCACACCTGGGTTTGACCTTGGGCCAGTCACTGCTGCTCAGCCGGCCTCACAGAGTTGCTGTGAAGATAAAACGGGAGGAGTGGGCCGGGGGAAACTGTGCACGCCACCTTAAAACTAAACAATGCAATATAAACAAATGCAACAGAAATGTAATAAACAAACAAGGCCCCTGCTCCAAAATTCGCGCGCACTTCGCACGACTCCTGAGCGGATTTGCACTGCAAGCCTGGGTGTCTCGCTTGCCCCATTTCCCACACACCCCTCCCCGCAAGGAGGAATGGGGAAACTCTCACGTGACATCCCTCCCCACCCCAAAAACATATCCCCTCGGTGAGGCAGCTTCCGCCCGGCTCGTCGCTCCTCCCTTTCCGCCTGGCGTGCCAAGGGAGGGGAGCGAGGGCGCCGGCGGAGTTTCTCGCGTGGGTTTGCGCGGAGGGCGGGCGACGGCGCGGAGCAGCCCAGCACCTGAGCGGGGCTTTCCCCATGGCGACGGCGCGCGCTTGGCAAGGGCGCTTGGCTTCCCCTCGGCCTCCTCCTCCGACGCCTCTTCCTCCTCCGCTGCCGCTTCTCCTCCTCTCCGACGCCGCTGCGCCGGCCGCGGCCCCTCTCCGGGCGGGCGGGATATGAGGAAGAAAGAGGCGCCGCCGTTGCAGGTAACCGGGCTTGGGCCTCCGGCGGGTGGCTTCTCTCCGTCTCCCCGCAGAGAAGCGGAGCCGGACCCCGCGCGACTCGGGCCGGCCTCCTGCCCCTCGCCAAGCGGCGCTTTGCTTTAGTTGCTCGGCGTCGCGCGGAGCGTGCAAAGCGGAGGGGATGGTCGTTGCAAGAAGATTTGTGTGGCGCTTGCACGGAGCCAGCGATTGCACGACACACACACACAGTCCTTGCCACAATATTGTTGTGACCGTGGTGCGCACTTACCTGGGAGTTGTTGCGCTTCGGTGGGATGTGATGTCAACTTAACTTTTACGCAGAGAGCAGGCCTGCTGGAATGAATGGAGCCGGGTTAGGCATGGCCACTCATGTCAACGGGTTTACTCTTGAGTAAAAATAAAAGTGAGTGGCGCGTCACCCAGGGGAGCGACTTCCACTTAAATACGCACTTCGCGAGAGCAGGCTGAGGCGGTTGTGATTTGGAGATTTAGCAATCTGATTTATTTTTAAGAGCGCGGCTGAGGCAGGATGGCGTGGGCGAAGGAGCTCCAGGAACTATAGCCATCCTTTCTTGGAAGCCTGTAGCTTCATATCTCTCTTACCTCATTTTATTACGATCATTAAAGGCATGTTGGTTAATTTCTAGGTTGCTTCCTGGTCTGCTGTTCTAGTAAGTTGTGGTGCTTAAGGAATGAGCCATGGGATGGATTTCTTCTCATAGTTTGAGTGATTGTATGTCAATATTGTGGGTCTAATATCCTTTTAGGGCATTAGTCTTCAGCCTTTTTAGCCCTAAGACCCACCTTTAGCTCAAACAGACTTGGAGACTTGCCTCTATTTATTTTCCCAATGTGGCGGCGGCATTGTAACCTGCTTTTGGGAGTATGGTGACTCAGTAGTGGGTCCAGGACCACCAGTTGAAGATCAGTGCCTTACCTTACACTGCTCAAGAAGTGAAGGTGATACGCCATCCTTTGCCAAAGCAAAATCAAGAGTGAGTTGCAGGGTCTTCTCCACTGCGTTGTCCATAGGGGTGAATTCATTGCCCTCTGAAGCCTGCCTAGCTATCTCCTTCTGCTAGCTGGTGAAGACTTTGCTGTTTCAGTAAGCCTTTACTGGCCATTAGAGAACTTTTAATATTATTTTTCTGCCTTGTGTGTTGCTTATTGCTAGTAGCTGTGCTGCTGCTTTTACAGTTGCCATTATTTGTTATAGTTCTACTCTGTCTTTCAGTGAAAAAGCGCAAGGTATTTCCTGCCTGCTTTTATGTTTTATTGATTGCATGCTTAATCCTGGACTCTTTAACTTGTAGGGTCTGTGTTTTGCTGCTAGGTTGAATTGGTAGATTTTGGGGACTTAGTAAAAAACAAAAGCCCCAAACAAAGTAGAAGTCTGCTTATACCTGGTTTGAATTGGTTCTGTCAGACCCTGTCCAGAATGTAGTAATTGGGAGGCGAGTTGAGAACCACAGGAATTGATTTGTGGGGTTTCTGCTGTTGCTACAAAGCACTTGCTGGAAAAGATCTGGAGTTTGGGTATTACCAATCAGCTCAAGACACCTAGTTTGCATTTCTGAGATTCAATACCTAGGTGTGGTTGTTCTAGTACTGAAGTTTTTGCCAAGTGGATGAGGTAAGGCAAGTCTGGTGGATAATCCTAATGCACTTGATATAAGCCTGTTTTGGGGGATTGGTATTCAATCTCCAGGCGCCGTACAGGGTTCTGTGGGGTTTCTTGGTCTCATCTTTGCTCCTAGAACAAAGTATAGCAAGTACCTTTTATATGTTACACATGTAGATGTTCTACCCCTTAATGCTTCATCTGATGATGGTCTGACTCCATAACAGAACCAGAGAGAATATTATTATTAAGTGTTGGCTTGTGGCTTTTTAAAATTTCATACTACTTTAATATTTTACTTTGCTTGTAAGATGTTTTGCATGGGCATTTGCCCAGAAAGGCAGCACAAAGTACTTTAACTAATAATAATTTTATTTATAAATTTAATTTATTTCCTTTTTTAAAAATGGAAGGCAGAGTGTAGCATATAAGGATAAAATCAGGTCAAGATCCACAAAAACGTAATTTAAAACATCAGTTTTGTTCAAGCAAAGTGATCGTACATATTAATAGTTTTGCAGCCTTAAGGGTGGACTACTGTAGAATACTGAATGAGGCTGACATTGAAGAAAGCTCCAATTGACATCAAAAAGTGAGCTGCAGCATGGATGTGAGGAAGTGAGAATAATGTGCAATCTGTTTCGTGGCAATTATGCTGGCTGCCTGAGATCTTCCAGGCCCAAGGTGCTTTCAAAGGCCCCACCACCTAGAGAAAAAACATATATTAGAGATTGTCCTCTGTATGTAAATTACTGATCAGTCCTGCTAGCTCAGCACGTTAAACACTTTGTACCTAAAGCAATATTCTGCCCTCATGGTGTTGTATGAGATACTAGAGGCTAGTAGCACTTTATTGTGCAGATTCTCAAAGCTGTAATGGTCCTAGGTTCCCTTTGTGATACGCCTTGTACAAGAGTGTCATGTGACATAGTCATGAAGGGCTTTCTATAATCTTGTAACATGTCCAGACAGAAGTTGCTTTGTTAAGATACAGTAAAAATGTATGCAGCTGAAGTACAGTGGCTTTATAAATACGCTAAGCTAGCACTATTTGTAGAAGTAGTGAAAATTGGTCTCGTGTTGGGGATTGGATTGCTGACACTTCCAATGTGTTTTAATTTTGCCCAGCACCTAAACGTTTGTGGCTGCATCTAAGTATGTAGGATAAACTATAATTAATATTAATACTTTTATGTTTGTTGTTGTAAAACTACTTGGCCAGCAGGAAGCATAACTTTAATTTCTCAGCAGCTGGAACAGCCAGAATCTTAAACCTGTCATCTGTTAACATCAGCACCTGAGAGGGGGTGGTGCTCAGTCTGTGGTCCCCATCTTGGAACCGAGCCTACAATATCTACTCTAATTTGTTTTGGTTATTTCTTCTCCAGCCCCCATTCAATATTGCCACAATATTGTGATATTTTGGTTGGTCCCAATTCAAAGATTGTGCTCAACCATATACATGTGTTTGTACATGTGGATCACCTTTGTTTCCTTAGCTTTCAGAATTATTTCTTCCATAATTTGTTGAAAATGGAGCAGAGTGATTTATTATAGAGCAGTGAAAAACTTTCAAGGGAAGTGCTACTGATAAGGGAGTTCAAAGTAGCAGAGTTAAGGATATATTTGCCATGTGATTTGTATGATTCAGTAACCCCTTTTTTTCTTTGCCATTTTAGAGTAGGTAGGCTAGCGTCATAGGAACTTCTGAGTTTTACAGGTTGTAAATCATTCCTTAGTAAGTCTAGTTAGGTACTCTAGAAAACAAATGCCTTGTATTTTTCTTTAGTAGGCGATTGTTTGATAGCTTAGAATCAATTGTAGAGTTGGAAGGACCAGTATTTGCTTAAAGCAAGGATAACCCCTAAACAGCCTCGGCCCAGTATACCTGAAGGAGCGTCTCCACCCCCACTGTTTAGCCCAGACACTGAGGTCCAGCTCTGAGGGCCTTCTGGTGGTTCCCTCACTGTGAGAAGTGAGGTTGCAGGGAACCAAGCAGAGGGCCTTCTTGGTAGTGGTGCCCACCCTGTGGAACACCCTCCCATCAGATGTCAAGGAAATAAACAACTATCTGACTTTTAGAAGACATCTGAAGGCAGCCCTCTTTAGGGAAGTTTTTAATGTCTGTTGTGTTATCACTTTTTTATTATCATTAATTCTGTTGGTAGCCACCCAGAATCGCTGGGGAAACCCAGCCAGATGAGTGGGAGTTTGGGTAATAATAATAATAATAATAATAATATTAACCCTTCAGATGCTGCCAGACACCAACTGCCATCAGCTCAAGCCAAGAATGGCCAATAGTCAGTGATGATTTGCAGTTGCAGTCCAGCGATATCGGGAGAAGCATTGCCTTCTCACCCGTGGTTTAGGAGAATCAAAAATGAGAAACATAGTATATAACATTCTACTTCCAAGGTGGGGGAACCTTTGCCCACGGTCCCGATTAGGCCTGCCAGGCTATTTTGGCCAAACACTACTCATTGCCCTATGTCTGATATTTTATATAATGTCAGGTGTGTGGCAGGTAAAAGTGGTGTTAGCAAAGGCGCTGTGCCTATGCCCATATGGTTTGATTTCAAACTGCACAGGCAGAAATGAGTCACCTGAGGTCACCGTGATGTCAAGTGAATGGCAGGTGGGTAACTCTGCCCAGATGTCAAACTTGACTTGCAGGGCATAGGGAGATAAGGACCTGGGCCTGCCAAACAGATCCAGCTCCTCACCCTGTTGTACTTCATAGTGACTGAAAATGTTGTTCCAGTCCTTTCCTATCATGAAGCAGCCCCAGCTTTCAACAGGATATATTTTGTTGCAGCCTCACTGTCTCCCTACAGGTTAAGCAAAGGAAAGGGGACAGTTTGGAAGGCAGAAACTTAAGTGTGGCCAGAGGCAACAGCAGAATTGGGGAGCTGCTATCTTGTGATACAGACTAGATAATCTGGGTGTTCCTGGGACACGTAAGCGTTAATGAGGAAGATTCCTCAAATCCCTACCCCCAGGTGGCTGTCTGTGTAACGCTTTGTGCTTCTCCAGAATAATGGAGTCATCTTTAGGAGAAGTGAGATGAACCGGGCATGCAAAGTACACTAGATTACTGTTAGCATGCTAACATTCTCTCTTTTATGATGCATGCTCAGTGAGAACATTTAGAGGTCTAGAATTCTTAACATTACCTTCATAGGAATTTTTCACAGTAAAGTTGGTTACTTGTTTTTGTATTGGGAACATTCAGATCTGCATGAATAATGTAGGAATTCACAGTGAATGCTGCGGCAGATAAGGATATAAATTCAACAGGCGAAGATAATTTTGGAAGCCTGGTTTGGGGGGGGGGAATACTTTCTAGTTTTTGCTTGAAAGCTGTGATATTTAGAGATCTTATTTTATGGTAAAAAAAAACAGGCTGTTTTAAAAATCTGTTTATGTGATCTGCTAGAATGCAGGTGTTTAACACAAAACAATACCGATTTGGGCTAGAAATGTATGGTTAGTGTTGTTGCTTGCTGAATTCAGTTATTCCTAGATATCTCTCTTGAAACTTCTTACAAATATAAATTGTAATACCTCAACGAAAGTCTCATTTAATAGTGCTTCTGAACTTGGGGGTCTCTGGTTAGCTCAGATTCTAGTTACGTCAGAAGAGTATCAAACCATGGTTTTATGATCCTAGTTTGCTCAATACAGTGGTACCTCTGGTTACGAACTTAATTCGTTCCGGAGGTCCGTTCTTAACCTGAAACCGTTCTTAACCTGAGGTATCACTTTAGCTAATGGGGCCTCCCACTGCCGCCGCCACACGATTTCTGTTCTCATCCTTAGGTAAAGTTCTTAACCCGAGGTACTACTTCTGGGTTAGTGGAGTCTGTAACCCGAAGTGTTTGTAACCCGAGGTACCAGTGTAACTGGAGTTTTTAAACTACATGCAGGGTTCAGATATAACAGGGAATTCTGGTTCATTTTGCATTGAAGATGGAAGCTTTTCAATCTCATCTTGCATGTGAAAGAGCAGTGGGTTGGTTAAGGCTTGTTGTGGCTACTGCAGGTAATTTTAAACTTTGGTTTGATGTCACAGAGCTGAACTGGCCTTTTTGTGCTGAAATTAAACAGCAAACATAGTTCAGGATATTTGACTGTAGGAAAAAACCCTGAAAATAACTAATACCTATTAGTCTTTGAACCCCATTGTAGAGGAGGGAAACACACTTTCTGTAAAGAGCTTTAAAAGAAAAACAGCCCCCTGCACAGATCCCCACAATCTGTAAACAAATTAGGGGAGTGCAATACAAAGTTACTGTCTGGCACAGTGCAGATTGACATTCTTTCTTTTTCAGTGTAGCCTCTTTGCTTAGTGAAATGGAAGACAAATGGCTTAAAGAAATGTCTGTAAAATGTCACAAAGGTAAGGGTGTATTTTGTAAAGATCGCACAGAAACTTGGATAGGTGGAAGCACAAAATGTATCTCTTGCGGTTAAGATAACATTTGTGTAATGTAGAACTGCAACCTGTTTTTGGAGGGATCTATATGTGCAAGACTGAACCTGAAAGCTTGGGTGTGTTTTAAAAGTGATGTGGGAAGACTTGAACAATGGCATTTCAAAATAAGTAATGGTTGTTCTATCTTTAGGAAGTGAATTTTACTTTCTTTTGAAAGAGTAAGGCACAGTTGCTAGCCTGAACAAAACCTTGTCCTTCATGGGACAGAAAATGAGGAAAGAAGTCACAAGTTTTCTTTTTAATTTGGAATACATAGGCTGAAATCCTAACCCTACTTACCTGGGAATAAACCCCATTAAATTCAGTTGGACTTTTGCAGACACAATTAGGTATAGAATGGCAGGGCTCGGGGAGCGAATTCTTTTCAATACAAAATAACACAGTTGTTTTGAGACGTCTGTATTTAGCTGAAGAATAAATACTGGCATTTGGGGCCATTTGTAACAACGGTTTAATCTCTGTATATGGAATAAGTGCACTTCTTACAGAACTAAGAGTTATGCAAGTATAGGCGAAGAAAAGCCCTGGTGTCTTAAAACAGAAACTCAAAAAGAGAAGTTGTTTTCTTCAAAGAGGTTATCCACTAAAGTTTAAAAGGAAGGTAGTTATAATAAGGAGACTCTTGAGAGTCCCATGGACTGCAAGAAGATCAAACCTCTCCATTCTGAAGGAAATCAGCCCTGAGTGCTCACTGGAAGGACAGATCGTGAAGCTGAGGCTCCAATACATTGGCCACCTCATGAGAAGAGAAGACTCCCTGGAAAAGACCCTGATGTTGGGAAAGACTGAGGGCACAAGGAGAAGGAGACGACAGAGGAGATGGTTGGATAGTGTTCTCGAAGCTACCAGCATGAGTTTGACCAAGCTGCGGGAGGCAGTGGAAGACAGGAGTGCCTGGCGTGCTCTGGTCCATGGGGTCACGAAGAGTTGGACACGACTAAACAACAAAGTTATAATAAGAAGATAAATGTTTCTGAACAGTACAGCTGATTAATACAACACAGTGCATGTTTCTTTCAGTCAGAGATTTTCTTCCTGTGTCAGATGTGGTGAAGGTGAAATCTTGTTCACCTTCATTATTATTTATCTTTAAGTCATGTGGCTGAAGCAGGCACTCCCAAACTCGGCCCTCCAGATGTTTTGGGACTATACATGTCCTACTCTTTGGAGTTGATTCTTGCCACGCCTGGCATTTGTAAATGAGGTTCCAGAATGAATTTGTTTGAAGCTGCAAGATTGTTTAATCTTGTACTTTGAAGGAAAGCTTACCAGTGTATTAGTGCAATTATTCACAGCATACAAATAATTCTAAGTGTAAATCTTCCAGGGTGTTGCAAAATTTAATCCTCAGGATTGCCTAGGCAGGATTTGTAGTTATGGAGTCACTGCCAATTTAGAAGTTGTACATCGGGAAATGTCATAATTGAATAAAGAGTGTATTATTATGTATAGGTTGCATATGTTGTAGAGAAAACGATTGTAGGCCCTACATATTTAATACAAAACCCAGAAGGGAACCTGAAATAAAAAAAGCAGTAAATCTACTATTATAGCTTTCACATCGCATAAAAATGATGTTACAGTCACTGTAACATTGTATGTTTGACATTTTGTGTATTTTAAAGTATGGCTGTGATTTTTTCTTGGTTTATTTTTCGTTAACCTCTTTGAGGTTTGTTTGTTTTTGCAATCATGCAGTGTTTGAATTTTACTAAATAAATAAATGCTGTAAGTTGCATGGCTGGGGTTCTGCACAAGACTTTCATGGGGTGTGTCACCTGGAGAACACAGGCCCGCAAACCTATGTTTGGAAAGTGTCGTCGTTCAAGCTCACCAACCCGAACTGTGTGCATCGTATCATGTTAGGGCACTGAACATAATATTTTTGTGATAAAATGAAGATGGGAGGTACCTAATATATCCTGTCCCCAGGAGAATATAGTAAGATCATTGAGCAGAAATGGAACCTTGAATCTGGTGAACATATGCCCCAAATGTTTGACCAGATAAGTAAGTTAGTGAACCTAAACTAGGGATCTGTGATGTGGAGTTGCTAATGAGGTGTATAAGGTATTGCATAGTTTAACTCAGTGTTATTAGCGCGCTCTCTCTCTCTCTCTCTCTCTCTCTCTCTCTCTCTCTCTCTCTCTGAATGATTACTGTGCCATAGCCAACGGAAAAGCTGTTGCATACTGAGGTTCAGCTTCAGATAGTGTCACTCTATCAGTGACACTGTGAATTTCAGAGACTAAACCAGTTGACTTCTCCTGCTGGAAATCAGACTCTTTTGTAACAACCAAATGTGTTTGTCAGGCAAGAGACTGTCTCTTTCTTGTAAGGTTCTTTCAATTTTCCCCAAACAAGTTTTTTTCTCCACTAATTTGAAAAAAAGGCAGCAGCTGCCTGTTCCCTGTTTCATGTACCTACTTGTCTGATATATTTTTCCCCCAAACTGGAAATGACTTCTGTTTCTCCATATCTCACATTGTGCATTACATCTTTTGCATAACAAGGTGGGATTGTGGCTTCTGACAAGGAGTTTGATCATTTGTGTTACAGAAAAGTTTTCCTTTTGGCTGAGTCCAGTATCAAAGGACATTCAAAAGGGGAAAAGATTCCTTTACTTTCACATAGAGCTAGGCCTACTGCTGCATGTACTGTCATTTTACTGCCTACTTCCTTTTTGTAGCTTTATTTTCATGGTCTATATGTACCTCGTTCTGCCCGGACACTGAGGTCCAGCGCAAAGGGCCTTCTAGCGGTTCCCTCGCTACAAGAAGCCAAGTTACAGGGAACCAAGCAGAGGGCCTTCTCGATAGTGGCACCCACCCTGTGGAATTCCCTCCGATCAGATGTCAAAGAGAAAAATAACTACCAAACTTTTAGAAGACATCTGAAGGCAGCCCTGTTTAGGGAAGCTTTTAATGTTTAACAGGTTATTGTATTTTAGTGTTTTGTTGGAAGCTGCCCAGAGTGGCTGGGGAAACCCAGCCAGATGGGCGGGGTATAAAAAATAAATTATTATTATTATTATTATTATTATTATTATTATTATTATTCCTGTACATCTAATGTGTACAAGGTGGCTGATTTGCTTCCTCTTCCCTTGCTATGCACCAGCAGCACACAGCCATTGCAGGATTATAATCACAATTTATTATTATTAAACCCTGACCTGCCCGTCAGCTGAAGTCACCAGTGATATCAGCTGATGGGAATGGTTTTGAGAGAAATGGCTTTACGGGCCAAACTGGGACTCCGTGGTGTGTCAGAGGTTCCCCATTCCTGCTATACTGCAAGTATAGTATAAGATTCAATTTAAGGATTTTGTTTTCTTGTACGGAACGGTTAATTTTGGATATGCCGATCTATGTCATTGTAAATATGCAGTGTGATCCTATGCATGTTTAACCAGAAGTAAGTTTCTGTGTTCAGTGGTACCTACTCACAGGAAAATGTGCCTATGATTGCTCCTTAGTTTAACAGCTTTTTTCCCTTAAGGTCTGTTGCTTTTTTCACTGTCATCCTTGTAATACTACTAAGTTTATCCCGTGTACCCTGTACCTGCATTTTAGTTTCAAAGAAGTGGAGCTGCTCCTGGTGGCTTGCATTTTCTTTCTCTCTTATGAAGTAGACAGGTGCATTGAAGACCCAGCAGTTATTCAGAGCACATGTTTGTATGAAGACCGTTTGCCCTCAGGAGAGTTGGGAGGACAGTTGTGATGCTCCCAGAGGGATCTGTGTCTGGCTGTCCCCTTCCACTGAAGCAAATCCAGAAACTTCGGGTGGGCCATGCATCATGTGCACAAAAGAACTGTCTCTCTTGCTGACCCTAATTGTGATGATTTTTGTTTTCTTTTTAGGTTTCAGTTTGGCATCACCTTGCCTCCAGTACCAGCAACAGCTGTGCTCCTTGATCAATGTGACGGTCTGGAATGCTTCAGCAACTGACGAAATGATTGAGGGTAGCGGAAGATATGATTTTTACATTGGTCTGGTATTGGCAATGAGCTCCAGCCTTTTCATTGGTGGGAGTTTCATCCTGAAGAAGAAAGGTCTCCTTCGATTGGCTAGGAAGGGCTCCATGAGAGCAGGTAAAAGTTTGCTTGAACGGGGGGGAAATGTTTAAGGGAAAACAGGAACTTTGACCCGAGTTCCTTGGCTGTAACTTGAAGCATATACAAAATCTTTCATATGACGTTTTCTATAATTGTATGCAGAATTTAGCATATGGGACAGAATTCTGAGAATCCCCACTACATTTTTTATTTAATTAAAAAGAGCCAGTTTGTGCCCTTTTGGTTTTAAAAGAGTTGAAAATGTGAAAAATGGGGGCAGCTTGAAATGATGCAGGAAAGGAGATCTGTTTCTCCACCGCTGAGAACCATGTGGCAGTTGTGTAAATCCGAGAGCTGTGATTGGGTCAGTATGAACCATAGAATTCTAGAGTTGGAAGGGACCCCAAGAGTCATCTAGTCCAACCCCCCTGCAATGCAGGAATCTCAGCTAGACCATACATATGGACTGAAATGTTACTCCTTATAGTGTTCACAATGGAAGCATGTGGTAGACAAGCTGGGATATAACTCTTCAGCACTATTTACAGTGTTCAAGGAGTGAAGTAACACTTGGTTCTTGGTTCTCCAGTCGCGTTTCACTAACCATAGCATGTCTATGCCCAACCCCTATATTTTGACGTAATTCTGAAAACTGAAACCCCTTCCTCACAAGGATACCTCAAACTCAGGGTGTCTGAAAACACACATGTATTTTGGTCTTATTTATGCAAATATTTTATGGTATAGATTTGGGGTTTCCTTGAGGCAAAACTTTTTCTGCTTGGTGTTTAAAAGTGTCTCATGAATTTTGTAGTGTAATACAGTGGTACCTCAGGTTAAGTACTTAATTCGTTCCGGAGGTCCGTTCTTAACCCGAAACTGTTCTTAACCTGAAGCACCACTTTAGCTAATGGGGCCTCCTGCTGCTGCCACGCCGCCAGAGCACGATTTCTGTTCTCATCCTGAAGCAAAGTTCTTAACTCGAGGTACTATTTCTGGGTTAGCGGAGTCTGTAACCTGAAGCGTATGTAACCCGAGGTACCACTGTAATCCCTTCGACTAAACGGTGTTCCTATCTGAGTACGCTGAATCACTGTATTTTCACGTTACAGAGTTGATAAATTGGGTTAACTTCAGCTGTTTTTAAAGACTTTATTTTGAAACATACATATTTAAAACAGTTGCATGCTATCAATGCAAGCATGCGTACATTTTGGCAGGATGGTTGAGCTTTTCATGATGCAAATTGGTACCTACTCTGCTTATGTGGCAGCAAAAGCTCCTGCCTGAAACACAGACTTGTACTGCTCTGAGATCTCTGTGGAATTTTATAGTTCTATAGTTTTGTTTTGTCAAACAAAACATAACAAACCTTTTAAAAACATATGGCTCCTTAAATTCATTGAGAAGTGGGGATGCAACAATGGTTTGTGAGGTTTCAGGGTCAAGGAAAATGGTGGCCCAAAGTTCATTAAATGAGAAGGGGCTTCTGTGCAAACTGCATACCTAATGTTTTCTGAATAGGATTAAAATAAAAGTGGAAATCAATGCTGTTGAGTAGATGAGGAAGGTTTTATTATCTGACCTTGGAGAGACCTGGCTTTTATCCAAAGGACGAAGCAGCTAGTTTTGCCCGTCCAAAAATTCTTTGGGCTTACGATAGACTTCAGAATTGCAATGTTGAAATGAGGCACCCTTTTTTTTAGGGAAGTAACTTTGAAAATATTTATATAATTAAAGCATAGTAATGAACTCGTATATTCAGTTCTCTCTTTTTTCTCTGGGCTGATACACAGATTTGCATTTTAAAAACAATCTTCTGGAATATAACAAAATGCAAGGAATATAAAGTTACACAAAGCCAATGCTAAGGAAATTACCCCTATTTTATTAATTTCCTGTGTTGCAGTGGGTTGGGCTAGATGATCCTCAGGGTCCCTTCCAACTCTACAATTCTATGATTCTGGCAACATTTGTCCATGCATTATGCAAATATATCTGATCTGAAACTATGTCAGGTAACCCTAGCTTTGTATACCGTATTTTCACTCACAGAAGAGTCAGGGCTTTATTGCACAGAAGCTCCTTCATTTCACTGTAGGAGTGCTCTGCTTGGAAGACAGACATTCTTGAGCTGCATTGCATCAGTGCATGCATGTAATCTGAAATATTGCAAAACTTTTTCTAGCATCCTGAGGGCTGCCTTGTAAATCGAGTAAAAGATGGTAGCAATAGTAATATCCAAATATTGGACCCAAGAGTTTTCCAGCACCGTGGATTGGGCAAAGCAACATTATTCCAGAACTATTTTTAAAAAGTATTTCAGTCATCGTAATAAAAAGCTTTTATTGACTAGTATCGTATTTTTTAAAAAAATTCTGGACCATTAAAAACCTAAAATAGTAGCATCTATTGTGTATTATCACAGTAACTTTCCCCCCCTTTTCTTAAAAAACTAGGACAAGGTGGCCATGCGTACCTTAAAGAGTGGCTCTGGTGGGCTGGACTCTTGTCAAGTAAGTTAAGCTAACATACTTTCTTTTAGTCCTCTTTGGTTATCTGTGAATCCAGTCCAGACTGCATTGAGAGTTGGCACCATCTGGGGGCTCAGAAGGGTCCATCACTGACCTCGTGTGACCTTGAGAAGCTTGGCACTTCAGGGCCAGTCGCTCATCTCACTTCCTCTTTGCTGTAGATGTGGCTTACCTGGTGGCATTGGGAGAGAGGTCTCTCCTTATGGGATCAGTCAACCTACAGCAGTTCCGCAGGAGGCAGCTGCAGATCTCCCCACCCCCACCCCCAAGATGCAATGTCTGATGCTTAGCAGTGCACACCTTTTGAGTGCTGGCTGGGCTCCCATAATAATCCCCTGCCATCAGATAAAACATGGCTGTGGGGAGGAGGGAGTAAGGCGAGTGATTGGCGGCGGTGGCAGCAACCAACGGTCGTGTTACATGGGGGCTCTGGCAGCACACCAGGTGAGGAACAGGTCAGCAACACCTGGAAAGGGCTCAATGGTGGCATGATCTCTGAACCCCCAAGAGGAGGAAGAGAATGATCTTAAGCGTGGAATGTCAGTAAAGGAACAAAGAAAAGTAGTGCAGGTATTGTGAAAGAATCTGAAGACCGGGTGGGGAAGTAACGCAGGGCCCTAGGACAGAATGGGGCTGAATTTTGGAGAGGAAATGTGGCTTTGGAGGCAGGAAACAGTATGTTGTGACACAAACGCCCATTCATTTGTGCTGCTGAGCATTTAGATTTCATTTCGACGGGGGAGAATGATCAATTCCAATTTCTGCTAGCTTCCAATTCAGTATAATCCAGATCACTTTCCAACTCCACAAGGGGGAATTGAGAAAATGCCCCTCGTATTGTAAACCAAAGATTTTTTTACCTCAAGTAGTGGAGCGTTGTAATGAGACCCGGAAAGGTGACCCCAAACTGAAAGGCATTCTTGTGTTAAAAATTCCTAAGAAGTTGGCTTTGAATTTTCCTGTTTAGGGATTTCCTTGTTGATAAACGCTGCTTTTTATGCATTTTGGTTTTCATCTGCAGAGGTGGGTGGTCAGCTTGAGTTTTCGAAAGCTTATCTGAAACTTGTCCCCTTTTGTATTTTAATTTGTAGTGGGAACTGGCGAAGTTGCGAACTTTGCTGCCTATGCATTTGCACCGGCTACGTTGGTGACTCCCTTAGGAGCTCTAAGTGTTCTTGTAAGGTAAGGAATATGGCATTTTCAGAGGCAGTGTGGTTGCATTTGCTAGTAAGTGCATACTTATGTGTGAATACACAAAAACGTGTTGAAGTCTGTTAGCCTCTTATTCCAATTTCTCCTGAACTCCCCCACCCCAATTGCCTTAATCTTATATACTTAAGATTTTTTTAAATCTCCATTATCTTCTTGATTGCCACTTCTTTGACTTTAAACATACTCCTAGATACAGGTGGGTAGCCGTGTTGGTCTGCCGTAGTCGAAACAAAATAAAAAAATTCTTTCCAGTAGCACCTTAGAGACCAACTAAGTTTATTATTGGTATGAGCTTTCATGTGCATGCACACTTCTTCAGATACTTCTTCAGGTGTGCATGCACACGAAAGCTCATACCAATAACAAACTTAGTTGGTCTCTAAGATGCTACTGGAAGGAAATTTTTTTATTTTAAATATATTCGTTGGTTTGAAACCCTTACAGGCTGGCTTATATAATTCATTTATCACCAGCCTTTACCATTTTTTATGCTGTGTTTTTATTTTATCTTTAGTCTTGACTTGCATTTAATGCCTTATTAATGGAGGCAGCAAAATCTGTTTGCATGTTTACTCAAAAAGTAGCCCAACTTTATTCAGTGAGGCCTACACCCAGGTAAGCATGCATATGATCGCAGCCTAAATCAGTCACTTGTTTTCTGAATAAGATTACATCCCAGAGTAATTGAAGCTAATAAAGAATCCATCTGTATGTCTATGGTTAGGATTATTTGCCCAGTGTGCAATACTTTCAGTTTAACATTAGATTTGCCATTTTATCAGTTTGGTGCGTTTCATTGTTTTGAATTATTTGGTCTCATTTGCAGCCGCAATCATCGCACTGCCACCCCATGAATAAATTGTATGCAATTTATGGGTGGTTTTTCGATAGAAATTTAATAAACTATATTGATTGAGTTGTATTAATCGTATCAACTTAAATCAAGGTCCTGTTAAGACACTGTTCAGTATTGATTGTATTGATTGTAACCAGTTGCTGTGTTTCTCATTTTGGAGCTAAACTGTATCATTGTAGCTTTAAAAAATTACAAATTCAAACATATTAGCTGTCGAAAAACAGATTGCAAAGACTTTGTGTGTATCTTGCTCTTTAACCTTGTCAGAATCCTCAAGACGGTTTTTGGTATTAAAAATAATAATAATGGAGCAATTCAAATTTACAACATGGATTTATATTTTTTTTGTTTCAGTGCCATTCTCTCATCGTACTTTTTAAATGAAAAGCTCAATCTGCATGGAAAAGTTGGGTGTTTGTTAAGTGTACTGGGTACAACCGTGATGGTAATTCATGCACCCCAAGAAGAGGCAGTGGAAACGTTGAATGAAATATCCCACAAGCTGGGTGATCCAGGTAAGAGAACCCTGCATTCTGTGTAAAGCAAGGAGCAGTAGAGGAAATGCACAGTTCATAGGAATACAGTCATATCTTGGAAGTCGAACAGAATCCGTTCCGAAAGTCCATTCGACTTCCAAAGCATTTGAAAACCAAATTGTGGCTTCTGATTGGCTCCAGGAAGCTCCTGCAGCCAATCAGAAGCCGTGGAAGCCCTGCCGGATGTCAGGTTCCAAAAGAATGTTTGCAAACTGGAACAATCACTTCTGGGTTTGCGATGTGCAGGAGCCAAAACGTCTGAGTTCCAGGGTATGACTGTATTGTGTGACTTTGAACAAGGTGTCTGAAAACTAGGTTTAGGTATGCACCCCCAACTGTTCAAAAGAACCATAGAAGCTTTTAAGAGAAGTTTGAGTTTTACAATATAAAGTACAGCCATGTGCTTTGTGCTTCCCCTGCCACAGCTAGCTGCAATGTTTTTAACAGTAGTTCAATACTGTTTGCTTGAACTAAAGACCTAACTGGTTTACAAAAGGCAATCTAAAATACTCATCAAATACCAATGAGAAATTAACATTAAAAACAGTTCTGTCTCCTAAAATCACGTTAAAATTTCATTCTCTGGCATTAATACTGCAAAATTAGGAATCCCCCCCCCCTTACTGAGCATCAGACTCCCCCCCCCCCAAGCCTTAGCTCATACAGAGTAATAAAACGCGAATTGTGGCTGATGTGATTTCTCTTTATGTTGCAGGTTTTGTGGTCTTTGCCACATTTGTTGTCATTGTGTCCTTAATAATGATCTTTGTGGTGGGACCACGGCATGGACAAACCAACATTCTTGTGTACATAACAATATGCTCAGTCATTGGAGCTCTGTCTGTTTCCTGTGTAAAAGGCTTGGGCATTGCTATAAAGGAACTTTTTGCTGGGAAGCCCGTGCTGACGCATCCTTTATCCTGGATTCTGCTGCTAAGTCTTATTGTCTGCGTCAGCACGCAGATCAACTATTTAAATCGAGCCCTGGATATATTCAACACTTCCCTCGTGACACCAATCTATTATGTATTCTTCACAACATCTGTTTTAACTTGCTCCGCTATCCTCTTCAAAGAGTGGCAACACATGGCAGCTGACGACGTTATTGGCACTCTTAGTGGCTTTCTCACTATAATAGTGGGGATATTTCTATTGCATGCCTTTAAGGATGTCAACTTCACCCTAGCAAACTTGCCCGTGTCTTTACGTAAAGATGACAGAGGAATAAACGGCTCTTTGCCAAACACATACGAACGCTTTAACGACGAAGAAAGTGGAAGCCGTGTAGGTGATCTGCAGTCCACAGAGGGAATGGCCTCTAGGAGAAACGGAAACCTGGGAGCATCTTAAGAAGAGAGCAATTCTGTAACTGTGTTTTGTTGTGGAATGTCATTTTTAAGTGCTTGTCAGAAACAAATGTATTTAAACAGTATGTATAGACAATCGTTTGTTTTTAGGTTTGACTAGCTTGGACCAAGAACAGTGGTGGATTTTTATTTGCCTTACCTTTTCATTTAAAAAAAATAATACTAAAGGACTTCAAAAACATGTTTTGCTAAATTACCTGTGAACATGTAAAAATACTAATTTTTTTGTTTAGGACTTATTGCACTAATGACAATTTTAACAAATAAAATGCTTTATTTCTGCATGAGTGAGAGGTGAATTGACACATACCTGGCCATCTTTTTGTGCTGCTTTCCTAAATTAGTTAGGTAGCCTTGCGTTTCAGTGTATGGAACAACTGTTAATTTACTCATACATTCAGGGAATGGAATTAGGTGAAACCCACTGAACCTTGTGTAAAGTTTGCCTTCTCCCAGCTGGAAGAAACCTTGAGCTGCAACCTTAATCTACATAGATTAAAAGCAAAAAAATGCTGTTACTATAAAGAGGTTCTTTTTATGTGACGCATTAGATACCATCTACACCCACTCATTTGTGTTAACAGATTATAGGCCCAGTTTAGATATAACATATGGTTCAGGCATGAGGCTTGTTTGCTCTGCATTGTATTATGAAGAAACAAACCTGCTTTTACTAAACATTTCCACAGTGCTTTTCAAGTAAAAACAGTTCACCTGCATTAGCTAGCTGTAACCATCATAGCCACCCTGTAAGTTTAAACCAAAGCCATCTTTGATTAACCACATTGTAGAGAGATGCCTTTTATCTTCTTTCTCACCAATGTAGTTCCTAATTAGTGCTATTTAGAGCAACTCTGCCCTGTTTTCCATGGGAACCAAGACTTCTTGTTGACCTAAAAATGAAGTTCAGCACAGGTTTTAAGCATATGTCATTGGTAGAGACAAACTAGTGACATGCAGATAGGGAGTCTATATTAAACAAAACAGGGTGTGTGTGTGTGTGTGAAGGGAATACATTTATGCCTAGAAGCTTTTTATACAGCTGACTAGAGAAGGGTAAATGGGGAGACAACACATTCCTTCTGTTTTATGAACAGCTTAGGTCTTAAAAGGAAGACAAGGATATGTAATCAAAGCATCAGAGACCACCAGGACTAAAACTAGCAGTGCTTTTAAAACAAATACATTTTCCATCTTGCAGTAGAACCACAAGGAGGGAACCAAGAAGCTTTTGCAACTTCTCATTGTCTGGTTCTGCCTAATCTTAAAACCATGCATTTTGAAACTGGCATGTTTCAAATGAACCATAGGTGAGATTGATTAATCACTGGCCAGGTAGGGTTCAGGCAGCAGACTAAACTGGTTAATCTAAACCGCTCTTAAAACACAGCAGAGGAGGACATGTGCCGTAATCATGACACAATAAAGCATGGTCCATTGTGAAACCCAAACTGTTGCTTCACAGGTTGGAACTTGCGAGGATCTGTTTCCTTTTTGCAATGTTCACGGCTGTTTGAAAATACGTCACGGAGCTTTGCTAAAATTAAAATAGTTCCTGCGTACATAATGTCACAGCAATGTATCTGTTAGAAACGAAAAAGGAGCATGACTGAAAAACCAAGCGTTACGCTCCAAATTAGAAGAGGTAAATGCTACACTTCAGCCCTCATCTGCATGTATTACATATAGTAGTATTTGAGGCAGCAACTGGAGCCATTGATAGCAAAAACAGTTTGTACCACCCACATGCTATTTTCAATTTAGAGATTGGTTTGTATACAGACAGCAAATGTTTGTATTAATTTAGCCGCCTTACCTGTTCCACTGAAAGTAAATTCTAAATAAGAGATGTTTTTTTTGCATGCTGGTGACATGTACAGCAGCCTTTCCTTATAAGACAAATAGCATTTTAAAACCACGTACAAAAAAGCGAGAGACAAATTATTTCTAATAGTTTTGGGACACAAAACTATTTGGCTGTTTAACTTCATTCTGAAAGCTATCAGAACCAAGTGTCTGAATTATAGCGATGAACTCTTCTTCCCACACACCAATCAAAGAGGCCAAGAAAGAAGCCATAGAGGATTCGATTTGCCCTTGTAAAATGGAAAGCTACTGATGTGACTGCCAGCTTTATTTTTAACCTATACCTTAAGCAGGCCTTGCAATGTGGCTGAATTGTTAAGAGAGTGTAAGATTACAACCCACACGAACCAACACAAAAGGACTGCACAGCATGTTGGGTGTCAGAATGATGCCTGTGAGTGACAGCCCCTAGAAGGGCAATTTGCAAACACCTCTTCCTCTCACTAGGCGGGAGCTTGACAAGAGTGACTCTTACATTCATAGTTGTCTTTTAACATGTTTTAATTCAGAATTTAGCTTCAGAAGTAGTTAAACTACTGACCCATGATTCACAAAAGTAAAATTATAAATATTCACCAAGCTTGGCATTGGAAAGAGGCTAAGTGTTAGGAAAGGTAGAGTCCTTTTCTAAGAATGAACCAAAACAAAAAAACAAAACAAAACTTGAAAAGGGTATAATTCTAAATTCTATCAAACCAAAGTATGCTCTATATATAGTTGTAGAGTGACTCACACAGCTGCTTTGTTTGCGTCCAATGTGGAAAATGGTATTCAGATCTCTCCCCATTTTATTTTAAAAGCTAAAAAAGCAGCAGCAGGAGCCATTAAGTCTGCATGGGCAGACACTCCACATATTAAAACCATTAATTGCTTCCATCTTATAATCTTTTAAAAACATCCCCTTTAAAACCTTTATTTCCAAAGATATTGGGGATACAGATGTTCCGAGAAAGAACATTCCAGTGATGAAAGACACTTGAGGAGTTACAAAATAGGGCGTTTCCCGTAAAGGCTAGCAAAGCAGGGTAATGCTTCTGTTACACATGAAAATTACAAAAAAAAGAGACACCCCTGAAAAGGACAACTTTTCATTCTTGCTAGTAAGTGGACAAATGGAAGAAGACCCCATACACTATAAACCTCTCTAGAATGATTACAACAGCTGGAGAAATGCAAAGGATTTTAAGGCTAAAAAAGAGGCTGCAGTCGAAAGCCTTTTATCAAAAGTACATAAAAAATAGTCTAAAAAACTGAGAATGTGTACAGTTATTAAGCTCGGAAACAGCTAAAGACCTGGTCCTCACAGAAGGTGCTCAGGCAATACTAGAAAACAGTGATGGTCAAGATAATACTCCCCTTAGCCATCAAATCTTGTCTGGCATTGTGGTGCAGCAGGTATACTTTCCAAAGGAAAAGAGAAAAGTGGATCATTCCTAGTTACTGGCCAGCGACTGATGAATGGGAGGCTGGAAGCAGCGGACGTGCTCCACAGGGGTGCCTTCTCCGTCACCAGATTTCAAATACTTGTCCAATATAGTAATGATCTCATCGTTCAGGATCTGGAACTTGCGGATTCTCTCGACCATTTTCTTCAAAGGCTGCAGAACCAAAACAGCAACAGTTAAGGAGAAGGCCAGGCTACACTTATGCCTCAGGAAATTCAAAAGAAAACAAAGAAATATTGCCAGGGTGTCAAAAGCAGAAACAGGCAGAATGAGAAATGGAGACTGCTTCTGTCAACTTACCACGTTCTTTATGACCTCATCTTTGCCGTCGTGTTTCTGTACTTTCAGTAAGTGGTAGCAGAAATCCAGCACGTCAAACCGACGCTGTTGTCCCAAAAGCACAATTATCATACAGCCAGCCCAGTGCAACCCATCTCCGAAACACTGCCTACGGAGGGAGATGTGTAGAAAGCGTTATTTTTAGATTCGCCAGGACAAGTCAAAATGAAACACAGAACTTTGAAAACACTGAACTGTATTAAGATTTCTAGCGTTAAGTGGTCTAGATGTTGTTCAGAGGGACATCTTATGAAATTATTATTACAGGTCTAAAATAAGCGGCAACATGGGATTATTCATCCAAACACTTGCTACCTCGCAGTGCTACAATGCTAGAGTGTTAACTGGCAAGGAGAACTGTATACCATCCCATTTGCCTGAGTTTACCATCCTCATCTCCCCTTGATTCTGAAGAACAGGCCAGTGACTGGCAAGAACACAACTGCTGAAAAACTAAAACAAAACTAACCCAAGTTGGGTTTTTTAAATAAAAGCACTGCCAATTTCCTGAGATTTCCATAGGCTAATATTAGGGTACTACTTTGGTGACTAATGTTCAGTTCAATTTATTTTGTTTAGTGAGCAGCCATAAAAATAATAACACCAAGAGTACTGCTAATAATCGTGGTTTACATTTCTACTCCCCAACCTTTACAGGATAAATCATTTCCCATTCCCCCATTCCCCCTTTTAAGGTTTTATTAGGCAAATTTGTAAAGCCTTGGTGAGAAATTTGGTTCTAAAGGATATATACCTCTCTACATCAGACAACAACAAAAAACAGGTCTTTGCAAGAAAGGCACTTCCCTTCTGCGATCTTAACAGTGGGCGGATGCAATTGTTTCTAAGGTCATACTGAAAAGGGCATTCAAGGAGTACATGAGGCAACTATGTTGGGAGTGCTACAATGATCGAAAAGAATTGAAATTGCACATTTAATATTTCAGGATGGCTTTAGCTCTGTGCTCGCATCGCATTCCTTCCCTAGTAAAACTCATACTACAGATTGGCTTTTCCCCTCTTTCCATTTGCCGTGTGATCAAAAATTCCAAACCGATCTCATCGTTTTCTTGGTGACATCCCACACCTAGCTACTGAAATAAGCAAGCGTTATATATGGGGGCCTTAAGCAAGCACTCAAGATACGTACTCAACGGTAAACTCATGAGTCCCCACAGGAATGCAGTACACAAACTGCATTGCGCTCCACAAGCGGTGGAATTCCACACATTCGTCAACATGCATCACACCGTTGCTGGGGAGAGGCCCACGCCAGATTGGGTCATCAAGGAAGGTTCGAATCCTGGTCAAGATGACTTCAAACATGGACAGCCCACAGCAGAGGCGCTCCTTGGTCAACAAGTCTCCTTCTCTTGCGATGGCAATTTGCTACAGTTGCAACCAAAGAGAATACCATGATAGTACGTAAAGAAGAAAATTACCTCTGGAGAATTACTGCAATGGCCCCGTAACCCTGTCTCCAGGCATTGAGCAACTGGCAATGCACTTGGTGGCTCTATCCAGCAGCTCTAACTGCAAACCAAGTGATGCCCAGACATCTTTTCCCTTGTACTGTGGATTTTATTTTTTGGGGGGGGGGGGGAAGAATACAGCTTTACTGCCCAAAGAATGAAAGCTGTACCTGAGGTGTTCCTAGTCTTTCAATCAGTGGAACGAGGTGGAGTGGAGCATACTTTGATTCTAGTCTCTTCATTTTAGCATCCAGTCTTTCACCCTCTGGAATGAGACAACATTATTTTGTTTTTTTAAAGGCAAGTAGTGCTTAAAAGAGAAACACCTTAGCATTGTTCCAATAATGGTTATGCATTCATTGTATTGCTTTTTAAAAATCCCATAATTTTCCGCATTACACACTCAAGGAGGATAGGAACCAAAAAGGCCTACCGATAAGAGGACAATAAAATACAGTACAAAGAAAACATAAAACAAGAGTCATAAAGAACCTAGCACTTAAAGGAAAGATCTGAGGATCAAAATGGTTCCTCTGCCATAGTTTCCTTTAATTGAAAAGAAATCAACAGCAGGACACTCGCAGTGGGAGCTGCTTACTTGACTCCCAAAATAAAGCTATTGTGTTCCAACATACTTTTCTTCCCACACACATTAAAATCCATTAAGATAAATCTTATCAAACACAAAATTCCAGACTCCAGGGAATGGAATTTTATGTATAGAGGAACTGATTTTCAAAGTTTTCAAAAGGCATTGGCTCACACATCATTTGCGACGAGGAAATGTTTTGCAGCAAGTGAGCGAACTGAACTGGCAGTGATGCTGGCCAATTCCTTGGCTGTCTATTGAGATGACAAGTTTGTCTGCTTTTAAGAAAGGCAGGTGGGGGACTGCTTGACTTCAGTTGGCAAACTAGTGAGAAAGCTGTTGGTGGGTGAGGAGGCAGCGGGAAATATGTGCTGCTGGCAACAGGAAGTGGTGGAGAAATACTGCATTGCGCAGGAAACAAACCCTCCCAAGCAGCAAGTACTCCAAGTTACACAAGCAACACTTTTCACAACGTGTTTTTCATCCCAATGATTTCAGTGTAGGAAACGGCCTCCCTACTCCTCAGGCTTCATGGCTCAACCTGCTTACTCTCCAAGCATCACAGGTGGCCTACCCAATTTGTAACTTGCCAAACCACCAATGGCAGACATGTGTCATGGTCCATTATTCCCCCACTGCCAGTTTTTGCAGTCCCAAGCAAGCAGCACCATCAGGAAGATTATGGAACCCTTGGTCAGCGCATTCAGGTTGACAGGTCAGTATAAGGAGACATACCTTTGACATGAACTCTTGGCAAAATATTCTGGAATGGTGCAGCATGCAACAGATCACACACTTCCTCCAGTGACTGCAACAAAGCGGACAAAACTCATTGAAAACACAACACACCAGCAGCATTTGACGGCACCAGTTCAGCCAGCTAAGCACTTTTCAGAAGCAGTGCATGTCGCCTTGGCCTCTTGCAAAATGTAATTGCAAGAGGTTGCCTTGGGCTGAAACAGATGCGACGTGGCAGATCTGGGATTGGATTTCTAGATTCTGCTTCAAACTCAAAAGCAAGGGAGGAACAACACCAGGTGGGATAAAAATTCCCCCCCATGCCATTTTCCAGCTCTCAAGATATTAGTACTATGGCAGATTTACATTAGGCAAATAGTACAGAGGAAATGGGTTTAAAACAAAAACCCTCTTACACCAATTAAGGCTTGTGCATGGTGAGTGTGTGTGTGTGTGTGTGTGTGTGTGTGTGTGTGTTAATGCAAAATCGAATCTTGGATTTTCTACGTCACATTGGTTTCAGTCCACAAGACTCTTAATAAAGCTGCACCTTCCTGTTAAAACAGAGAGCCTATTCTACAGGCAGAATTAGAAAATTTATTAGCATTCTCTATCAAAAAGCCTAACACAATGTTCAAGTGGTAGACGGAGAGATGTGAACCAAGCAGTGACTCATGCTTTTATTTTTATCAGCATTATTTCCATAATCCATTATCTCCCAAGGATAGTTCCCGCAAGAGCAGCAATTCAAAGACCTGGTCAAGTAAGCGCACTGACCATTCTGAAGCAATTTCCGTAACCTAGGTAATTCAGTGATGAAACAAGCTCAGAAAATTAGCACGCTTTGGCAATGCAAACTGCTTTGTTTTTCCTCTCCAAATGCACAAGGCAGCCAGGCAAAATGAAAGCAAAGTGTCAATTTACAAGGCAGCATCAGGGCTCATTTCTGGAATTTGACTTCAGTTCTCACCCTCAGTATAAGAGAACACGCATACACCACACATCATAACTTAAATGGAACTGATCTGTACCCATCACCCCTTCTTCTTATATTTCTATACCTTACACACACAAAAAACACACCACCCACATTAGTTCTAGGCCAAAACCAGGGTTGGTCACATTTGGCTAATTGGGCAAATAGTTCCAAAAATATACGCTCAAGTGCCAAGTGTACAAAAAACCAAATTAGTTAACAGCTACTGTTAAACGCTGACTTGCATCTGAAGAAGCGTCAGCAAGAGGATTAAGTGAACTAAAAAATGTTTTTCCTGTTTCTCTTGGTCCCGTTATGACTATCTTCTCCACTGTCTCTGGGGGGAAATGTTTATGAGTCCCAAAGGCAGGTATAGCTGTCTGGCACCTGCAACTCCATATAATCATTACCAATAAAGGAAATAGTCTTGCAAAGTTTTATGCAATGAGACTATGGCTTAACGGTCCCTTAAAAGTTGGCATCTGTCTGCCTCGAGAGACAATGGAGTGTGCTTCCGAGGATGAAGTCAACGTTAGCAGCACCAAAGTGACCTTCCTGGGGCGCAGGCCTGGGCAGTGTGGATGGAGGTCCTGGGCTGCCCAGACCACAAGAGCCTCCATCTCAGCCTCGCTGATGTGGTCCAAAGGAAAGGAGAGCACAATGTGTTTGGCACCAGCTTGGCTGTCAGAGTGGCTGGAAGGAGGCATACAAGATGCCAACCAACCGTCTTAGGGACTCTACTTAACATTTGTGTAGGGTTTGCTCCTTAGCCTTTTGTTCTACGGAAGTTATCCTGTAAGGCAGAGCTTTAGGATCAGTTTTCCTTCTCCTAGATAGGCTACCTTCCTAGGTTGATGAGCCTCATCTGCCCCTCACTTCCCTCTACAGCATGTGCAGAAACTGCCTTCTGGACCATTGGACCCGCTCAATCCAGCGGAGCCTGTCTTCACAACCTCAAGGGTTTGAGACCCATTGGTTACCCTCCCTTGGTTTAGCTCATCAGTCACAGCTGTTTCCCAGGGCGGCCGCTGTTTCATATTGAGCCACAGGTGAGACCTGAGTGCAGGGTGGGGACCAAAGGTGGAAAAACTACCCTGTTCTTAAGTAACATGTTATTTTCTCTATTGAAGCCAAGTTCCACAGCTTTTGGTGCCAGGGTTGAATTGTTAGGCTGAATGAAAAGAGATGGAGTTGCCAGCATGCCCTTTTAAAAAATAAATAAATAAATAATTTATTTATTTTTTACAAAAAGCTGCAGTTACCTTTCCTAATCTGGACACCAGATGGCATCAGAAGAACACAACATTTCTTTACAAGTATAAAAATAAAGGAAGGAAATAAAAAGTCTACTGTTTCTGTAATTATGGATCTTAATTCGCATAATGAATTCTTTCCCTGACTCCGCCTCAAAAAGTTATTTCCAAAGAAATAAATCTTTAAAGGACTGGAAAGTTGACTTGAAACTTACAGCTGAACTTGTGTCACCTGAAAACAAGTAAAATATCAGACAGTATTTGAAAGTGAATATAGATGCAAATCACCAGCTTACCAAGCTCTGTTCAATGAGGAGGCAGAAAAGGATAGCGTTTCCCACTTCCCGCAGATTCTGGAAACAGACAGTTTTCAGTTCTGCATACTCAACAATATCCTTCAGCTGGTGATGGAAGAATTCCAGAATACCTGAGACATAAGATGAGGAGAGACAGAGATTGTGGAAAGCGAGATAAATAAACACCCCAATGAATTTGTGCACCAGGAAGTAAAAGTAAAAATTCACAGAAAATTAGCATCTTCCAAGCATACATTTTGATCAACACTCTCATTAGGGCAATTTTCAACAGGGACAAAAATACTGTATTTGACAACTCCATAGGCCAGTGGTTCCTAATTAGTAGTCCGCAAACCCCATAGGGGTACGCGTAACCCATCCAGGGGGCCCATGGCACATACTCATCAGGGATATTCCTGTCTTGGAGGACCGTGCTATCATGCATGGGTCACATGACTTGTGAAGCACAGCCCGGAAGATGAATGTCCTGGTTTTGCGCTAGTACACGTTGGTGGGTATGGTGGAACCATTCAAAGGACAAAAACTACCAGAGAGATATCAACGTTTTCAAAAACGTTTTGAAAAACAGGGGCTCCACAGTGCTTAGTTAAATAGGAACCACTGCTATAGGCTGTACGGGGCTTCACTCAACAACAAAGGTCACCCAATCCTTATGGAATATTGGGTAGGTCATACACAGGAGCTCTGAAGGTAGAGGACACATAAAAGCTCTGTACACGTGTAGGATGTGTGCAAATAAGCATGTGTACAAACTTCTGTGGTAAGGAAACAAATCATGTCTAATTATAAGATTTTATACCTTTACATAAGTTTTTTTGTTTGGTTGGGTTTTTTTGACATAAGTGCTCACTAGAAGGACAGATCCTGAAGCTGAGGCTCCAATACTTTGGCCACCTCATGAGAAGAGAAGACTCCCTGGAAAAGACCCTGATGCTGGGAAAGAAGGGGATGACAGAGGACGAGATGGTTGAACAGTGTTCTCGAAGCTACTAACATGAGTTTAACCAAACTGCGGGAGGCAGTGGAAGACAGGAGTGCCTGGCGTGCTCTGGTCCATGGGGTCATAAAGAGTCAGACACGACTAAATGACAACAACAACAAGTGTTTTTTTGGCAATTTTTGAAGCTTGTGCAATCTTTACCTCCAATTTCATGGGCTTAGGATCATACATAATCAGTGTGTTAAAATATATGTGCTAGTGCAACATTTACAAAAAATATCCAAAAGTTAGGGGACAATCTTGATAACCCTCTGTACACTCAGTAAGCATGCATTAGTTATAATAGGAATTACGCCTAAGAATACATTTATTTTTCCATATGACAGTTTAGGAGCTACCTGTTCTCCAAGATACTGGAGATGGCTAAAAATTGGGTGTGTACTCAACACTTAGATTGTATTCAGATGCTCCTTCAAACCAGAAACGTCTACTTCTCCTTCCCATACAGGTAGCAGAAAGCACACAATCTCAAGATTCTCATAGCTGCTCATTCATGATCTGCCAAACCATGACCTGAAGTTGGTTTAAACTTCAGTTGTGGGTTAGCTGGTGACTTTCACCTTCCTTTGAACTACAAGGCATGCATGAGCTGTAAGGTAGATGGGTTTGGCTAAAAGAGTATTTGTCCGAGGATTAACATCTTAGAAAAATTAGGGTATGTATGAAAACACATCACAGGAGACAGCTGGATAAAAAACAACTACGATACCAAGGAGTCAATTTTGATACCCAGAAGGCTAATAATAATAATAGTAATAATAATAATAAACAATTTTAGAAATTTGATGCCTCCTGATTCTGCTAGAGGGTGAAGTGAAGCTAGGCGAGAGTTACCGTAATGGCCCGAATATAAGCCGCAATCAATGTTCTTTCTGCTGGGTGTGGGATAGGAGTACAGAGTTTTATTTCTATTTAACTGACTACCCATAATACTTACTAAAACAAGTGTGACTTTTGTATAAAAATTCCATTGCCTGATTTTAAGGTAGCCGGCGAGTGAACCCCTCACACTTTTTAACAATGGCTAATGAGGCAGTAAATCAGCTCGAAAGGAGAACCACAGGGTTCAACAACTCAGAGCCTCTTTGACTTATGTTCAGTCTTGCTAACAGGAGTCAAGCACCTAATAAGAAGTTAAATCCAAGTCAAAAGGAGCTCTAATAAGGCTCAGTAATACGAGGAGCTAGGAAGTAAGAGGGAGGAGGAGAAAACATACTCAAAGCAAGGAACAAAGGGCAATGATTCAGTCATGCTGAAATTGCAGAGGTTAGGCTCAGAGAAGAGAATAAATCTCAAAATCGCAGTCAAACAACAATGGCTCATCAGTGATAATTCTTCTGAAGTGGCATCCCAGGAGCAGCTGCCCTTACCAGGGCCATTTGTATTAAAGAGCTAAAACACCTACTGAATACAACAAGCTTTGAACAACACATCAATGTTCCAGAAGTCAAAGATAAGCACATACGTTGTCGGCATCTGCAATGCCTTGTCTCCCACATCCACACAAGAAGACAAGAAATAAGCAAGAATGTTTGCAGGTGCTCTCCACACTTGGGAGCCTTGGGTGGGAACCAGCCCTAAGTATGTAGTGGACTGTGAAGGAGAGACCTGAGAGAGGGCTAGACAGGTGAAGAAAAGGGGCAGAGGAGATACAAAGAGAGCCAAGGGTTGTGTTAAGGGGGCGAGGCAGGGGAGAGCTTAACGTTGCTCTAAGGCAGCCTTTCTCAACCTGTGGGTCCCCAGATGTTGTTGAACTACAACTCCCATCACTCCTAGCTAACAAGGCCAGAGCTCAGGGATGATGGGAGTTGTAGTCCAACAACATCTGGAGACCCAAAGGTTTAGAACCGCTGCTCTAAGGGGACAGGTAGGCTTGTGGAGTTGGCCAGAATAATAGTGCATGCAGGGAGCACATGGGAGTGGCAGCTGCGGCTGAAAGGTGTTATAAAGGTGCAGGAAGGCCACAAAAGGCTGACTGCTGGGTGAGCAGGGAAAGGCTTTGTTGGAAATCAAGAGCCTAATATTTCCCTGCAAGTATCGCATTTATTGCAGGGTGGATGAGATCTCAGTGTTCCAAATAAATGTTGATTTATGGGGCACCCTGTCCCTATGGGGGTACAGGGCCTGGAGCAAATCACATCGTGTAGCCTTAATCGCTCTGCTTCCTCTGCTATCATTGGCAAAGGTGGTGTTATTGAGCCCTCCTCCCCACATCTTACTTTTTGTTGTCTTTGGGTGTTATCCAACTAAATAGTTCTATTGACATAAGGGCTTTTAGCTGTGCAGTGGAAGAGAATAGAGGGTGGGAAGGTTCTATTGCACAGTAACAACAACAAAAAACCTTGCTCTGGCAGAACTGTCTAGTTGGATACTGCCCATTGTTTTGCTGGTGCTTTAGCAGCAGTGAACCCACCCCCCTACCTGTGGCTTACACTTTTTATTTTTCTGATGTTTAAAGGTAGCATTGTCAGTGAGTTCCTTCCGCCTCCTGCCATGCTATAGGAAGGGGGGAGTTGGGAAGCATTGCTAGATGGATGGCAGTCGGGCATTGACTGTGACCACTGGCACGAGGCGAGGGGTCCAGGGTTGTATCCCCTATTTGCCACCACCCCAAAGATGGCCCTGCTCTCATACCCACAGAATGTATTTTGAGAAAATATGGAAACGCACTGCACGACAATGTGAGAACAAAATTGTTCAGTACTGTTTGCCTCTCTAAACTGTTTGTTAAATAATGTTCTAAAGCCAAGGAACAAAACTGGCTCTTAACATTGGAATGACATGATCTAAAAGGTAACTTACCCGGGGAGCCGTACTCATGTCTGGGTAACCTACAGATTTTCGGCATCACTTCCATTAACGTCTTCACATATTGCAGAATGGTGCCTTGGAGCTGCAAGAACACAGGTGATTAGTATCGCTGAAGAAAAACAGAAGTCAGGCTGTGACACACAATAAACACAAGCTGGAGTATTACTACTCCAAATCGTAAATGCAGCCCCTTTTCTCCTCTGCCTCACCCCCGGCCCCATACCACCTGCTGCCTGCCTGCTCATTCCTATAGTTAAAGGAGAAGGAGGGGGCAGGTCCTTCAAAGAGCGCTTTTGTAAAGGGCTTACAGAAGGCTCAAAGGGGAGTGCGGAGGCTGTCCTAAAGTGCTTTGTACGCAGCAGAAGGGCCTTGAAGCTACAGCATGTTCCCAAACATCTGACAACCACCTAGCTGTTGAGAACTTGGAAAACCAGTATGAGGGATTTTGAAAGGTGGGTAGCAATGTCCACCTGTCAATCACGTGACATCATAACTGCATAATATGCTTGAAAGGTAGGCAACCCCACTCAACAGTTTAATTTGGTCCACAAAGTGAATGCTGGTAAGAATCTGGCCTAAGGAACCAAAAATATTCTCCACCTCTGAAATACATACTAAATATTTGAAAAGCCCATTTAGAGGCTCTTCTATGGTTTGGGGATCACCAGGAAAGACCTCAAATGTGGTGTTTATGGTGTGTGTGTGGGAGAATAACCCAAAACAGGCAAAAGCAGCTTTGCTCAAGCTACTTCTTGCACAGTGCCTTGCCCTAACTTTCACCAAGTCTACCCTCTCACTACCAGGAGAAGCATCTTGGATTGTGTGCATGGGGCTGCAGTGAGAGAGAAGGAGTGCGGAAACTCCCGTGCACAAGAAGACCCAATGTTTCCCTGTAAAGGCAAAACCCAGAAATAACCAGTAGTTTTATATTAGTTTTATATTAGCCTGGAGCCATTCTAGACAAACAGTACAAGGGTGTGCGGGTGTTTCTTGGTTTCACGGAGACCAATTTTTAATCTCGTCTGTTTATGAAATGTGATTCATACCCAAGAGCTTTAATTTTGCAGCGAAGGGTCTTCCTAGTACGCCAACCACTTGTTTTGCCTTCAGGTCTGAAGACTAACTAAAGTCAATCTGATATGCACTAATGGATAGCTTCTCCTGTTTTGCCTACTATATAATTAACTGCCGGGAACAATGGTCACAAAGGCTTGAAAGGAGAAAGAGAGAATAAGACTTCTAGCTGTTGCTTTAACCAGTAAGGCGGGGTGGGGTGGGGAGAGTAATCAGCAACTGAGAGATGTGAAAACTGGGGCATTTTTAATTTAATGCCACTGGTTATCATCTGCTGATTTGTACTTCCCTTATGCACCTAAAGATGTTCATTATAAAACAAACAGAGGTTCTGAAAATCTTCTGGCTCCAACACAAGACTTAGGAGAGGGCTGGGGAAACTTCTCTTAAGCTGAAGTCTGCATTCCCACAAGGGAAAGTAGTTGAGGCTCCATAACAGTGGTAGATGGAAGGCAGAAATGGGCAAGGAAGGACATCCCAGTCACATACATTCCTACACTACCATCATTTAAGCTTCTCCATGCCTTCTCTCTCTCCCGTAGGCTTAGGGAAAAAAGGTCCCAATGGTGGTGAATGTGATTTTTTTATTTTTTTTTGTAAGGCAAACTGCCACATGGGGGTATGAATGAATATGGAGCATTTTAAGCCTAATTTAAGATAAGTCTGGGCCAGATTCAAAATACAGCCATACCTCATGTTACGTTTGCTTCATGATATATTTTTTCAGATTGCGTCCCGCAGCGACCTGGAAGTACCGGAAAGGGTTACTTCTGGGTTTCGCCGCTCGCGCATGCGCAGAAGCGCCAAATTGCCCTTCGCGCATGCGCACAAGTGCCAAATCGCACCGCGTACCTGCACAGATACGGTGCTTCAGGTTGCGGGCTTTTCATGTTGCGAACAGGCCTCCGGAATGGATCATCCCGTTCACAACCAGAGGTATCACTGTACTTTGTCGTCGTAGGCAGAACTGTGCAAGCCAAGGAGTTTTACGTAGCAAGATTTTAATGTCTGTTCATTTCCTAATCATTTTAAGTACTAGAGAGTCTCTCTCACACAGACACGCTCCATTTCTTTTTCTCTCTCCTCAAAAACAAGAATTTGTTTCATGCAAGGCACTCACAAGGTTCATTTAAATTTTAAAATGTGTGACGATGCTTTCAAGTATCAGACACATCAGGCGTGTCTCTTCACACACAAGGCTCCCCCCCCCCCGCAGTTATTTGCTGTTCTCAAACTATTCTCCTTTGTACCTCAAGAAGCACGTATGGTTATCTTGTGCTTACCCAGTCAGGTAAATGTCTGCTGGATGCTCAGTGAACTAAACAAGAAGAATCAATTCCCCTTCCCTTAAAAATCAATACTGAAATGAAGAACAGCGTGTGGGACAACGTACCAGGCTCTTGACGACTTTCAGTAACTCTTCCATTACCACAGCAATGCCTTGGTATCCCAGGAGTCTGCAGATGACTTTGAAATGGGGAGGGCCAACAAAATTCCTGTAATTGCTATAAATACTGGAGTAGGCCAGATTCAAAGCCTAAAGAGGAAGAAAAACACACACAATTGTAGTTGGCTGACCTTTCTCCCTGTTAAGAGATCCTTCCATGGGAAACAACATTATTTTTCTGATCAAACATTTTCATTCAAAACTGAAGAAAAAGTATCAGCTTTTCATTCTACTCTCACCTATTAAAAAGGTAACACACAATTCTTCCAACAAACAAACAAACAAACAAACCAGAATATGCTGAAGTTATTTTAAAGCATTTAACTGACATAAAAAAACAGAATTCTGACAAAAGAATTTTCAAACATATTCTTAAACAAAAAGTCAAAACCTTGCACTAACCTCCCCTTTGTTAACTGGAAAAATATCACATTGTTTTGAAATTACCAAACTGCGGTAGTTGAGCAACCCTAGGACAATTTAAATTTGCTAATATGAACAGGAAGAAAATACACCTGTAGCTAAAGGAAATCTTAGTAAAGTTTAGTGAAAAGTGTTATGACCTGTTCCAGGCTTAATGTTAGGTGTTTTTGGTAGATGTCTCTATTTACTTGAAATATAGAATTAAGCAGAGAATCCTGGAAATTGAGGCCTAAGAGAAGAGAGCTATAGGTCACTGCTTGGGAACCACATGTATGCTGGCTTGGTGGGATATGTATGGAAGAAACTAAAATATATATATCCTCCCAAAGTGCACCTGTAACCCTGTGCTGTGTAAAACAATTACGTTAGAAGCAATTCATACTTAATTGGGAGCTACAGCTGCTACTGAATGGTAGATTATCGAAATCTATGCACAAAAGAATTCCGGGTAAAATTAAATCCTGTTGATGGATAATATTTTATTGAAATATCAAGCTACAAATGAATGCTTGCTGGAATATAGCACATTCCTGAGTGCTGCAGTATATATCTACACACAGAAAGATAGTTTATGAAGGGATCTTACAAAGCTACATTGCTTCTAGATCTAATTACAAGATTAGGTCTTCTAATTACATTTGGAATATGCAGTTGGCTCTAAAACATAATTTCCCCCCTTCTTTCCGCATTTCCAACCTTGGTGTTGGAGGATGGAAAAAAAAAATGCAGCAACTCTGGTTTTTAAATGAGATTCCTATTTTTATATTTGCATTGAAGGCTTTGAATCCCCCCCCCCCAATAGCTGCAAATATGATTCTGAAAAAATAGCTGGAAGTGGATGCACAGCTACATGGATTAAATTCTATTTTCCCCCTTTTACATACTGTATATATGTTAGTACATGTGCATATGTGTGTGTTTTTACAGAAACATACAAACACACACGATCTATAGTACAACAGAAAAGCTCTAGAAGGAAGTAGTGGCACGACTAGTTCAAACATATGTTGGAAGTGTAAGGAAAAGGAGGGAACATTTTATCATATGTGGTGGGATTGTAAGGTAATTAAAAAATTTTGGGAAATGATATACAATGAACTGAAGAAAATGTTCCATCTAACATTTGTTAAAAACCCCGAGGTATTTTTGTTGGGGATCGTAGGGAAAGACCTGCCAAAAAAGTTGAAAAACATCTTCATGTATGCGACAACGGCCGCAAGAGTTCTGATAGCACAAGGATGGAAGACTGAAGAAATCCCAACTAAAGAATTATGGCAAGAAAAATTGATGGATTATGCAGAACTGGCAAAATTGACTCATACGCTACGGGACAAGGATAACTGTGACTTTAAGGATGAATGGGAACCTTTCACAAAGTATTTGAAGACGCAACAAAGCGAACTGGACTCCTTGGCAGGTTTTGAATAAACATCCACAATTTTTTTTTTTAACTGATATTAATTAGCTAAACAGTTGGAGGATCTATACAACTCTGTAACATGCAGAAAATAGCATTATTGGAGAAACCAAAGGGAAGCTGGGGGGGTGGGGTGGGGGGAGGGGGGAGGAAAAATGGGGAGGGAATAAGGATATGTTTTTGGAAAATATGTTTTGTTATAACTTTGAAGAGAAAAAAAAAGAGAGATGTTATGTTATACAAGAAATGCTATGTACACGTAACAGATCTAATGCGTAATGTTGATGTGTATATGTTAGCCAAACCTGAGAGAAACTGCTTTCTCTCATATAATCTAGAGATACAGAAGACAAATTAATAGCAGCAATCTGACAGAAGCTGCGTCAAGGTAAGGAAGTCAAAATGCTCTTCCTAAAGCTACGCCCCCTCCTCCCCAAGCCCAGGAGTTTAAGTAGTGATGTCACCGAAGAACAGAGCATTATTCACTTGCATCAGCAGCAACGCAAGCCCAGGCAACACAAAAGAAGAACCTAACTGGAGCACTCCAGCTGCCCAATTTCTAACAGGGAGCAAAAGCAAGAGAAAGTGAAGACTTGCTTTTCTCCTCGGAAAACCTAGGCAACAGAACACTTAAGACAAGATGCCCTTGCGTATGAAGGTTGGCAGAAAGGTGACGAAGGAGGTCTCATTGCTCGCATCCCTGTCGAAGTGTCACGTAACGAGAACTTAGTCCATGTAGCCTGCTAGGGGGGAAACTGGCAACCACGGACCATGAAGAAAGCTATTTGCTCCAAGGAGGATACTGAGAACCCAGCGGAGGTTTCCCCTCAAGTATTTGATGAAAGCCTCAGGATTTTTACACTGATGGTAAGTATGGACTCTTAAAACTGGATAAAGTAACATAGGGCACTCTCCCTCAGCAAGTCAGTAAAGAAAGCCTTTAACTTATATGTATGTGAATATGCAAGAGGGATGGAGTGAGTTTGTGTATAGAATATATATATATATGAATGAATATGAGAAAGAGGGAGTGAGAGACTGTTTTGTTTGAAGACTACACAGATAAGAGGTAGAAGCCTCAAATCACACACTTACTCTAACCTATTAAAAGGCACAGCAGCTCAACTATGCAATATTAAACAGAAGAATAAATGTACATTTACAGCTTTAAAATAATGTTGTATCTGGTAAAAATAATAAAATACAGAATCATTTCTACATTGTGATGCACCTCTCCTATAATAATTTATGTCTGTTCAATACAGTGGTGCATCTCAGCAGGTTTGCCATTACTGTTAAGTTCATGAAAATAAGAGAAAATGAGCTTCTAGTTCTCAGGGTTTGGTTTGACTTTATTGAAAATCAAGTGTTATAATTTTTTTTAAAAAAATAAAATGTTCTACTTTTGTTTATCTCAGCTTGGAGCAAAACAAAAACACAATTATATTTCTCCTAAGAACCTAAAACTTACAAACTCTGAAGGAGAGTTTTTGAGAAATTAATTCTCAGGAGACTTAGGTGTTTTTCTTTAAAAGGGGGGGTGTGTTGTTTTAATATAATTAAAATTTGATTTTGCTATGGTCTAGTACTGAACCTAAATAAGGTATGTTTCCCACTTAACCCTACAACATCAACAAATATAACAATCCTTTAATACTATTTAGCAATTAGTGATGCAACACAAACTTATTGGTGAGGTCTTTTATGCAGCAATTTTATACACAAACTGGAAAGAAAAACAGGTCCCAAATGATTGTCTTAAATGTCAACTATAGGCAATAATATTTTTAACCAATTTCAAGGGGGGGACCCCATGTATTAGCCTAAATATATAATTCAATATGTTGATGCAAAACTGATTCCTTTCTGTGACTGAGTAATTCTGCATGAAATACTTGAGTTATTACTTGAATATTATTAGTAATGAACAATACCTTGTCACATTTACTTAAAAGATGACTAATATGCAATGCTTAAATACAGAGTCAAGTTGCACAATACTTTCACATGCATGGGCATAGTTGGAGAAAAGTGTGCAGGGAAAATAATAATAATAATAATAATAATAATAATAATAATTTATACCCTGCCCATCTGGCTGAGTTTCCTCAGCCACTTTGGGCAGCTCCCAATCGAGTGTTAAAAACAATACAGCATTAAAAGGCAGTGTAAACCACCTGAAAGAAGTTACTGTTTGTTCTCACAACTTAGCCCTTTCTCTGAAAGCTAAATCCTTTATATCTGAAGTGCAATTCACATCTTTCAAGTCAACCTGGAATGGTTATAGCAATTTTAAAGGGTGTGTGAATGGCAGAGTGGTATTTTAGCAAATTCTACACTATCACCTTATACAGAGGGTAACTAATAAAGAAGTCAATATGGCTATAAATTTCAAAGGCATAAGTAATGTGGGACAGCAAGCTTTTCTCTTTGAACACGAGATCTGTTCCCTGACAAAATTGGATTCGATGGTATTTTGTATCAATCAAAAGCTTCATTTTGCATCATAGGTTTTTCACTGTCTTGGCTTGGAAGCGATAGGCAAGAATGGAAAATGAAGCACACCAATGGCTAATTTGATTAGATGCCCAATGAAACATCATTAAAATATAGGTACAGTGGTACCTCGGGTTACAAACATCTCGGGTGACAAACACTTCGGGTTACAGACTCCACTAACCCGGAAGTAGTACCTTGGGTTAAGAACTTTACCTCAGGATGAGAACAGAAATTGTGCGCCAATGGCGCAGCAGCAGCAGCAGCAGGAGGAGACCCCATTAGCTAAAGTGGTACCTCGGGTTAAGAATGATTTCGGGTTAAGAACGGACCTCCAGAACGAATTCAGTTCATAATCAGAGGTACCACTGTACTAAGATTCCATGACTTTGAAATAATTCCACTTAAGAAACTTGATTTCCAACTAAATAGGAAATGCACTTCAAATTATGTCTTATGACTCCAACAGGATTAAGTGATTTGAAGCAAGTATCTAAAAAGCCTGGTTTTATCCAGTTCTGTAGCTTAATTTTTTTTTAAAAAAATTGACTGGTGCGTGGATGGAAGGCCACTAGGAGCTTCGTGTAAGCCTCTCTGAGTTTGTTTTGTTTTTTAAAGGAAGAGTGGTGTAGTAAGTAAATGCCTGAATGACACATGCTTGTCTCATTTGACTACATTTTATTATAAATTAAATTCAGCTTACTGTCTGAAAATGCTTTCAGGAATACAAGTAATGTTTTCAAATAATTATTCCCCAACCCACCCTTAAATTCCAGAAGTGCAGTTCTCATTTTCCTCTCAACTCTGCTTATTGAAACTTTTTGGTCTCCTGAATCTTAAGGATTATCGCTCTTTGTGGAAGTGAAATATTGAGAAGACGGTATCACAATGGGGATAACAGTACAAAACATAACAGGAAGCACAGCCCTAGTAATCTGGCCCAAAATGGCGACCTGCACAGACAGCTTTTACAGCATCATGTACAATCCAAACTGGGACAAAATGCTGTCAGGATACACCAGGAAACACTTTCAGAAAGAGGAGAGAGTCCCAGCTAGCCGTTCTTCATTTGTCATCGAGAATCTGATCCCATTAACAACTTACATTCTGTGTGTGACGTGCCAGTCGGCAAACCCATCCAGTGACCAGTGCAGAATTTTTAACACCCCTGAACAAGACCCGGCATCCACAAGCAACAAAAAGAAAGACCTGGCCGTGGGCATATGGCTAACCAGCACGGTCTTGCTTCTCATCATTGCTGGCATCTTTGTCTATGGTTGCTTGCGTCTATGGTGCCGCAGAAGAAGAGAGAGCTCAGACAGACAAAGCATTGGACCAGAAGACAAGGGAGAGGCATGGGCAAAAAATGAATCGTGTGGTTCAGAGGAATTCAACAAGCAGACCCAGCACGCCCAACGAGTTGAAATTAGAAATACAGATGGTGTCCAACTAGCCACCATAATTACAAATCCGTCAACATCTGAGAAGCCCACCATGCTGAGCTCCAAAAGTCAGGATTTTGTGCCTATGTCTGTCTGTCAATCTGCCATAAATTAGATATCCTTAACTGGGACAAGTGTTTTGCTGTGTGTAACAATATGTATGTTGAAATCTATTTGCGAATTGTTCCTTGAATCACAATCTGTTGAACACAATCACACCCCTAAATCACAATCTCCTGCAGCATACAAAGCTAAATCATCTCATCATTATTTCTTTACAGAGAAAACTACACATAGGGGGGAGATATAGAATAGCCTCCTTGATTTTACTAGGAAAGCATGGCAAGGGGCAGGAAAAAACGAATCAACAGCTGGGATTCAAGGAGCTACTTCAGGCATACCACAAGAGTACTCATTGTTTTGTCGTTTATTTCTTTGAACTGTAGAAACCCTCCCTGATTTCAAATGGGGTTTGTCGTTTGCCATGACACTTGCATCCAAAACTCCCCTACGAGCGTATAATTGGTTTTGTGTGACTTAGCCAACATGTGTCAATTGGAACAGCTATAAAATGGTATCCACATAGGTTATAACAGTTCAATCATCTCCAACTATTGCATACACAATTGATAAAAAAGGCAATGGGATCTTAGTGGTGAATGTGTCAAGAGATTATCCTGCTTTCAAATAGTCCCTGAATTCTACCCTGAAGTCTTTTCATGCAGCGTTTCTTCCTCTTAACACCTTAGCTCAGACATGGGGAACCTGGATGCGGTTGGGCTCTGTCTCCTATGGGTCCCAGCAAGCATGTCCAGTGATCAAGGATGTTCAAAGAACAACTGGAGGGCCAGAGGTTCCCCATCCCTGCTTTTGCTAGGAGTGGTACCATTTTTGAAAGTTATCGTCATATACCAGTTATACTTGTGATGTGACATTTGGAATGTATTATGTGTCAATGGTCCAAGCTAACATGCCTTTGTGCAACTATAAAGAAAAGTGTACAGATGTTTCATTGATCACTGTAGTACTTTATAGATGCTTCTCTTAGCATTTAACTATCTAGCTGTCTCTTCTGGACTGCTTTGCTAATGTATTAACCTAAGCCTCGCAACATGTAAATATTTCTGTTTTCATTTACACAGTAATGTGTAAATAATCTGTGACATATTCCAGTTTTTAATACCATAAAGGAAACTGGCATGTGGATTATCTAACAGGTTGTACAACTAAGATAGACAAATAAAAAAAAACTCAGGTGCCACACAAGGTAGATGTTTGCCAAATAAATACCGAACGAGTCTTTCTTAGGAGACTACTTATTCACCTAACACTTAATAAGGGTTTATTTTCATTGGTTATTTTCAAAGGTTTGATTCCGCCCTTTAAAGATGTTGCACTGGCCATTTACAAAGGATGCCACTGCTCTTTTACTGTTCAGTGATACTGAATACCATTTTTTTCAGTCATTTGTGATTAGTTATATTTCACACATAGTGCTTAAAGTAAAATGAGAACGGAAAATCATTGTTTTTGGGTTCTAACACAGAGTAAGTCTGCATTAGGTCTTTCAGGTGTCCCATGAGCTACTATCTGCCATGAAACTTCAAATCACAATCACAATTTTCCAGTTCTGCTTTGGATGCAATAAATGGTTTGCTCTATTATTCTGATGCCGCAGGAAACTATAGTTTGTTCAAACCAGGGGAAAAACCAAAGGTAATCAGAACACGCAAGGGAGAGGGGCAAAACACAAAAGCCAAAATCCTGTATTGTTTGTGTCTGAAATGGACCAGTACCTTGGTACATTAATCCTCACTTTTATCTAGTGTATCTCTCAGAATCAAACAAATAATAATATCATATGATTTGTACAGTACAAATATGCTTAAGATAGAAGATAATAAAGAAACATGGTGCAAGTATTAATAGCTCATAAGCTGTGGGGTGTAATTTTCCAACATCTACCACAGAAAAAAACAAGTATGGGAAAATTCTAACCTTTGATCCATGCAGATATTGTGGCTGTGCATTAGGCTGCTTATCTCTCTGGAATTCCTGGGAAAATGGTAGTACTGTTCGAACAAACCTATATAAAACAAACAAGATAACACAACAATTTACATTTCTACACCACATTTGGAAAAACAGCCAGCTTATTTCTAATGTGGAGCTGAAATTCTGAGGGATATGATGGGGAAATCTTTTCTCGTGCATCACAGGATTTATATATACTGTAGATAGTATGAAAACTCCAGAATAGAAGATTTGATTACATTAAACGGGGGTGGGGATGAGGGATTGGATCTTTCCATGCTAGCTACAAGTCCATTATTTGTTCAAGCTTTGGATTCTTCCCAGAAGGGAGTATCATTTGGATTGAAGTTACTGACATGATGTTATGATCCCATACAAACTAATGTTTGGTTTATGTTTCACTATGTATTGATGCACATTTTTTTGCTATTGTCTCTTGCGTAAGTGATACACACGTTTATATCTAATCAGTAAGGTTTCTGTCAACAAAATGGGGGAGATTTACCAGCAAAGGGGGAGGTAAAGGAAGAGCAGGAATTGCCAACAACTGCTTCCCTCCCATTGATGGAAAGCTTACTATCAGACGAGTACACCATTAGATGCAACCCTTAAAAGCCTCTTACAATGAATGCTCATTAATATACTGATCAATAGCACACTGTGGTTGAATGGCCCACACTAAACAGAAGTGGTGTTAGATTTTTCTACAGTCCTCTTGAACTCTTTTTTTCTGGCATCTTGTCCAATCCAAATAACTTTATTGTACTGGCCATTGGCAAGGATCTGTTCCAGACATCTTCAATAATGTTTAGGCGCTCCTGAAGGCTACTTTTAGAACACACACCCTGGCTTCGACCCACCAACATTCCCTGTTTTTAACTTCAGATAACTTTTATAATTTCTCTCACATGTTCAAACAGCTAAGAGAGACCAGCTACAGAGTTAAAATACCCAAATTAATAATGCACATTCGCCTTCAGTATGATGTGTTTTCCTTCTAGCTTCTCCGATAAAATTATTTCACCAAAATCTACTTTGCTACGCTATGTTGCTAAATTGTAGAGTTTTTTTTGGCATGCATCAATATAATCAGGTCATGCCACTTTTTAATCTCTGGATGATGACTTTCCTAGCAATTTACTCATTTTCATCAGCAGAGCACTAAGCAGTCGACGTAAAGTAGATTACACAAATCAAAATGTTACCAACGCTTTTTGGGGGGAGGGTGGGAGCAATTGACAAAAACACCACCCAGGTTTTTAAAGTGTTTTCATTTCCCTTTCAGGCAGTACAATTCCAAGCATGAGTTTCAGACAAAAGAGGCACCATCTAAATAAAACTGAATACAACTACAAAATATTTACTGAATGTTAGCGACAGGTTGTACAAAGCACTGGAAATAATATTTCTAATTTGCATTAGCTGGACAAGGTGGTACAAGAACACAATGTGCAAACTATTACTCCAAACACTGATGTATCAAAACGGTAAAAGGATCAAACAGAAGTAGACTAGTATCCCTGGAAAGTAATACAGTGGTACCTCAGGTTACATACGCTTCAGGTTACAATCGGTTCAGGTTACAGACTCCGCTAACCCAGAAATAGTGCCTCGGGTTAAGAACTTTGCTTCAGAATGAGAACAGAAATTGTGCTCCGGCGGCGCAGCAGCAGCGGGAAGCCCCATTAGCTAAAGTGGTGCCTCAGGTTAAGAACAGTTTCAGGTTAAGAGCAGACCTCTGGAACGAATTAAGTACTTAACCCGAGGTACCACTGTACTGGCCTACCTTATAGGCTTGTTTTTGTAGAGATTACCATCACATTGTGAGTAAGGAGCTCTAAAGTGCTCCTTCTTGATATCATAAGATATCAAGTATTACTTCTTGATATCATAAGAACAACAGAAAAGTCTGAAGGATGAGACCAGTGGCCCATCTACCTATAGTGTTTTCACAATGGCCGCAGTTGCCTGCGAGAAGCCCACAAACAGGACCCGAGTACAGCAGCACTCTCTTCCCCCACTCCCCTATTTCCTCTGTGAGGAAAATGCAAATCTTATGATAATAAACATATCCAAGACAAAACAGAAACATAACTTGCTTATTATGCAGCTACATATTTATATAGCACCTCAGCCTAGGGGCTGTGACTTAGGAACAGTAGCATGCTTAAAACCACCTCAAACTCACACTCTTACAGCGTGAGTTTACCTGAAGTCCCACTATATTCAGTGGGGCTTACTTTCAGGTAAAGCCCTGGCCATTATGCTACTGCACATCCTGTAAGGAGCACCACGGACATTTGATGTCAATTCCAATGCCTCTCTTCCTTTTTTCCTTGCTAATGTTCCCAAATCAACACCCTTCTCATTTGGTCTTATAGATGCACAGAAAACCAAATACAAATAGATGCAATTAGTAAATGCCCGCTTGCTTTAATAGCACACCACCCAACTATTTAATCTCACTTCATTATCAAAAGCAAACCATTACAAACAGTGCAGCTTAAAGTGCAGTTTGAACGTAATGCTTCTTCAGGAATGACCTCAATACTTGACCCTAGTCATAAAAAGCTTTTTTGCAAATGCAGAAAAACCTGTTAACAATTTAAAATCAATATAAAATCCACAGAACAAAATGGGTGTAGTTTGCAGCTGTTGGTTGTTTTTTTAAGCGAAAACAAACAATTAGCACAATAAAATATGTTTGTAGCAAAAGATTAAATGTACGTATTGTAGCTGATGCAGCAGCTAAGGCCATAAATATAGTGATTGTGTATAACCTACCTATTGTTATATATAGTGGTATCTCTAGTTACGAACTTACTTAGTTCCGGAGGGCTGTTCTTAACCTGAAACTGTTCTTAACCAGAGGCGTGCTTTCGCTAATGGGGCCTCTTGCTGCTGCTGTGCCGCCGGCACACAATTTCCATTCTCATCCTGGGGCAAGGTTCTCAACTCGAGGTAACTCTTCCAGGTTAGTGGAGTTTGTAACCTGAGGCGTTTGTAACTCGAGGTACCACTGTATCTAACTGATTATCCTGTTAACTTGAGTTCTTTAGCGTCAAGTAGTACTACACAGAATTAAGAATTCCCAGTGAGTTAGCGGCTGAATGCCAAATATATATATATATATATTGTGTGTGTGGAGAGAAGAACTTTTTAAATACGTTAGAACAACCAATTTTCCTTAGGAATGTTAAGGTGCAAATGAGGGCAGTGTCCAATGTGTGACAGAAAATGTACCTCATCCCGGAGGGTTGCTGAGGCAAGTGAAGCTAAACCCACTAGTGCAATACTCCACTAGTGTAAAGGCTTGTTTCAAGAGGTTGCACAAGTAAAAGCCTGAGAACTGCTATAAAGGGTTGGTACAAATAAATACATTTATTTACCATAAAAAATTATTTACCATACAAATAAATTGGGGAGCAGCGGGAGAATAAGAAAAACATGCTTAGACTAAAAGGAGGTTCCAGGTCTGAAAAGACTACTGAGCATCTATACTGTAAAGGACCCCTGGATGGTTAAGTCCAGTCAAAGGCAACTATGGGGTGTGGTGCTCATCTTGCTTTCAGGCTGAGGGTGCCGGTGTTTGTCCACAGACAGCTTTCCAGCTCATGTGACAGCAGTGACTAAACCGCTTCTGGCACAACGGGACACCGTGACATAAGCCAGAACACATGGAAATGCCGTTTACTTTCCCACCACAACAATACCTATTTATCTACTTGCACTGGCGTGCTTTCAAACTGCTAGGTTGGCAGGAGCTGGGGCAGAGCAACGGGAGCTCACTCCGTCATGAGGATTCGAACTGCTGACCTTCTGATCAGCAAGCATAAGAGGCTCAGTGGTTTAGACCACAGTGCCACCCACGTCCTATACTGTATTCTGGTGGTAGCAGCCGCTAGCAGCTATTTCCTTCATGCACACGGTTATTTAGATCTATCTGATATTTATGAAAGACTTGAGGTCATTTTCTTCCCAAAAGACCTCCAGGGCGCAACAATCAGAACTTGGTAAGCGTAAGAACTATGTTCAGCCACTGTCTGAAGAATAGGTCAGGCAGTGACTATAATTTCCTCCACCCCATTAAGAATGCACTTTTGCTCAGTAAACTTAAGACCCAGTGTGCACATAAACACACAGATCCCAGGATTGGCTTTACATAAGTGCACCTACATACACAGCACTTTTCTGGTCCTACACTGTGGTATGGTACACCTCCCTGCAAGGAATCCAGGTGTCCCATCTATAGCATGCCAATGTAGGTTGTTCCTGCTTCGATCACACAGAACAAGGCTGTGTGTGGCCAAGGAGGACTTGCGTTGAGACAGGGTTGGCAGCGAACACCTATGCAGGTGTTATTTGGAGGGGGGGGAAGGTGGCAGTCCACACCATGAAGTTGTTACAGTAAGTGCCACATTTTTAACATTTGGAGGGCAGGGGAAGATGCCGATGCTGTGTACCTTTGAGTACCCCCAGAAAAATATATACTGATTATAAGCAAGTTAATAGCCAGGAAACAGCTGGGTGAGCAGGTGAGTTTTAAGTAGGCATAGAAAACGCGACTCAGGGCCTACTTCTTTTACATAGTCTGTTCTGCTTAAATAACCTCCAGCCAAGTCTTTGTTCATTCAACCTTCCTCTTCATGCATAACAGTTTCATCATATAAAACTGTAGGCTACTAGAGGATGACATTCCACTAAATGTACATGATGAGAACAATTAAAAAAAAACTACCAGCGTATATGTAATAATGCATGTGGGGGGAAAACATGTAAAATCATCTGACGTTTGCTGGATGAAAAGAAGCTGGAGGTGGCAGCTAAAATGTTTGTAATTTATTATACTGTATATTCTTAAATATTTAGGCCACAAGCCAACAGTTCCTGCACACTGAGCACTGCAGCTGCAGGGAGTTAATTTTCTTCTTTGAAAAGGAAGCGATCGTGCACGCTTAGCGTAATCTTTCTCACAGAAGACAATTAGAAATCCCTGAACACGCAACACCCTGTGCTAGGTTTTTTGTTTGTTTGTTTGTTTGTTTAAAAATGCACATTATTATTTTTTTAATCCCAATGTATTCCGAGTAAAATTAATTTTTGTTCTTAACAAAGCTTCTGAGCTTGTGGAGCAACTGCTAAGATGTAGCTATTTGGCAAACCAAGGTAGATTCCAAATATTGTCAGTATCAGAGTCAGTGAAGCTAAATGCAATTAAACACACACACTACAATATGTGACACCAACCTGTTAGTGGACCCGTTGTAGCAGTAATTCGGAAGAAAATCGTAATTGAGCTCCCAAAAGACATGAAGGGTGATTCTTCCATACGGAGCAGATACATTATGGTTGGCTTCTCTAAACATGGCATCAAAGCTGTCTAGAGTCATGTATCTGCTCAGAAGCTTGTGTGTCAACTTGTTTATTTCAACCAGTCCATCCAATTCCTGAGAAGAAGCAAAAATAAATAAAGGAGGAAGGAAAGAGACAGTGAGAGGGAGGGAAGGGCAGATTGAAAATCTTTCCAAAGTCTACAACAAAACAGAAGCTTTAAGAATGTGACCACAAAAATCCGCACATGCTTATAAGCCAACAGTCAAGTATTACATGCTTTTTAAAGACAGAATAAAATCCACAGAGGAGTTACCATTCTTTTGTATTTAAAATCTCTTCCTAATAGCAGACAACTTTAGTTTTGAATGTGAAGGGTTTGTTTATGTGTCTTCACAATAATAATTATAATAAAAATTAATAAATAATAATAATAATAATAATAATAATAATAATAATTTATTTATACCCCGCCCATCTGCCTGAGTTTCCCCAGCCACTCTGGGGGGCTCCCAATCAAGTGTTAAAAACTGTACAGCATTAAATATTAAAAACTTCACTGAACAGGGCTGCCTTAATATGTCTTCTGAATGTCAGGTAGTTGTTTATCTCTTTGACATCTGATGGGAGGGCGTTCCACAGGGCGGGCACCACTACCGAGAAGGCCCTCTGTCTGGTTCCCACAGAGATCCAATTAATGCCCACAGGTGAAATTTCTATATTTTATTAACACAGGTTTAAGGAAGAGGAGCTTCTTGAACTAAAAACTACACTTCCTGACATTAAGAGCTCTTCAACTTTTGCTTCCCATTAGCCGTGACATAAAACCAGGCTCACAAATATTGGAGTTGTTTCACCTCCTCTCATCCCAAGTACATCTGAGCAGTCAAGAAAAAGGTAACATTTGATGGGGCGGTGGAGGAAGAGATGTGCCATGTTACAAGAGTTCCCCCCTTCCCCTCATTAACCTGGTGCAATATTAGGAAAGCAACGGTTTAAGACACGTTGCTGAACTTGAAATCTTCAGCCAATTCCTGACCTCACATGAATCTGAGCAGCACTCATGTGCCTCAACACTTACAACAATGGAGGTCAAGTCCTCACTCTCAAACCGACCGATGGCAAGTTCCATGGATTTGTACATGGCTGCTGAAATTCGCTGAGTGATCAGGCGGTTCAGATCTATTGACCGACCAAGAAGCTGAAGCAAAAGAAATTCCAAATTGTTGTATCAAATTATTATGTACACAGACACAGAGAGAGAGAGACGCAAGTTTCCCAAATCTATACAGAGAATGCAATCCTATATAGGATACAATCTTGTTTACATCATTGTTAAAAGAAAAGAAAAAAATTCCACCCTGCTCTGATCATCTTTGTCTGCAGCAGCAGCAGCTCAGCTAAGGCTGAATTAGGATTGCTCTATACATTACAGTAAATTAATGAGCAAATTATGAATACTTAGCAAATCAAACTGCACAGAAACCTAGTTTCTCTGTGTAATGTTCTGCCTACTGACTACCAGCACTTGTCTTTTAGGGTTCCTTGTTGCTTAGCACTGTTACATACATGTATAGAGGTGGAAAGTAGAACTTTCACAATTGCTATCTTAAGAAGATCTAAATTCTGTAGTGCAAAAAGGTAGATGGGCTGCATGAGCAGAGGTTATGTATTCTGGTCCTGAGTAGTATAAATCAGAAGATGGGTAGACTACAGGCTTGAAGGATCTAGAACAAAACCCAATTGGTCCAACAACTGGACTCTGGTGCAAAACTGTGGCTCAGTGGGACAGCAATACTCTTAGCATTCATTTACGGCGAAGGTGGGGAACCTTTGGCTCTCCAGATGTTGTTTCATCAGCCCTATCAGGAATGGCCAGGGATGTTGGGCATTACAGTTCCGTAACATCAGGGAGCCAAAGTTACCCCTACCTGATTTAGTGGAAGCAATTATTTAGAATTAAGGTGCCTCCAAGGGCATGCTCAGTCCAGGAACTGGTTTTCAGTACCAGAACTGGGCCTGAAGTCCTTTCACATCCAAATCCAATCCCTATTCCTTTCCCTTCAAGCTCTCTGCATTTCAGCAACCTATTTGGGTGCCTTTTTGTTATTTGTTGCTATCATTAAACAAGGAGTCAGAAACATTTGCCAACCTAGAGTAGATCATCCTGTTTGATCTTCCATCCAAAGAGTTTCCTGAATTACAACTATATATTTTAATTGCACCCAGTTAGAATGCTTGCTTGTTCAGAAAACAAAGCTGGAAACTTTAATCAAATCAGTGACTTAAACCAGGACTTAAAACCACCCACTCAGCTGCTAGGTTTACTTTCAGACCCTTTTGTGAGAGACTTTGCCAAAAGATTTCCAAAGCCAAGTTGATCGAAAAACAAGCTTGTGTCTCGTACATTTAAGCAATTGTAAGATGGGCCTCAAGCATCAACACAGTGGGGTTGAAGGAGAGATAATTAAGATGGGGGGGGGGGAGAGTCCAAGAATGCCATATACTTACTAACCTGAACATGTCTCTGCTTTAGGAGTGTATTATACCGGTTAGATGTTAGCAAGGGAATCGTTGCTCCCTGATTCTTGCATTCTGATCTTAACCGTTTATCTAAAAGCAGGCTATTTGGAAAGGGAGAACATTTGATGAACAGTTGATGAAAAGCTGCATTTCAAAAATCATAACATGAACGCTTAAAAAAGTTGCTTAACACGACTACTTACCTTCCTGCCATCACCTTGTAGTATCCAAATATCTGGTCTGCCAGCTTGTAGACAAACTGATCAAAGCACAAATTGACCTGAAGAAGCAACATATGAATTGTTCAGTTAAAACACAGTATTTACTTACGCACATTTCCCTTTGGAAATCTACTTCTGCAGCCTTTGTAGACTACATTTTCCATTTGCACCAGCGCCCCCCCCCCCCTTTTAGGGTGTAGGCAATGAGCATGTGCGCATGAAGCGGGGGGGAAACAGGACTGCCCTGAGCCCCATACACAAAGGGGATACCACATCAACACCAACAAGCAGCACGCATGTGCAGCATTGATCTAGAGAGGCACAGTCTGACCTAGTCTAAGGCAGTTTCTTATGCTTGTCTAGGCCTTCGCACATCCATGCAGCTTCAAGCACAATTCTTCTTAATGGGGTCAGTTCAAATTCACCACCCAGAGAAGCTTGGTCGGTACTTGCAACTGGGTCTTTTCTGCTGCAGTGCCCAACAGTGGAACTCCCTCGCTTGGGAAGTTAGGGCTGGAGCAGCTTTAGGTGGGCTGTAAAAACTGTTTCGTTCCACCAGGCTTTTGATGGGTTGTAAATTCCACTCTCTGGTTTTAATAACGGCTTTGTTCTACTAGGTGTTTTAACCTGCGTTGTTCTGCCTAAACGGTACACTGTCTTGGGGGATTTTGTGAGAAGAAAGGCAATGAAAATGCATTTAATAATAAAATAATATCACACATGGGTGGCACTGGATCGCAGGAAATTTTGTTCCAACGACCTAGGCATGAGGAATGTCTGTGTGCTAGATTCACTACTGCTTGTTCCCTGCATGCAAATTATGAACATGCATTTGTGTGCCTGTCATTCACTCTGGTTCTCCTCACACCATCTCTTCATCTTTATCTAATAATAAATTCAATCGCATGTGCTGATGCTGAACAGATTTTCAACCATCAGCACAGATTCAATTATCTTACCTCTGCCTCAATTTCATCATAGAGGAACTGCTTCTTGAATTTGGTAAGTGCGTAGTGGGCACTGTCATTATAAAGATCCAAAGAATACAGAACGTATCTAAAAGAAGACAATATGTTATTTTTTCAGGCACACGCGTAAAATATTCCTGTCCCCTGACATAATAGACTTGCCACAGATGAATACAATGAGTGTATAAATGGCCATCAACAAAACGCAAAAGTTATCCATTCCAAAATTCTGGTAACTAGCAAGCATATAGTTGTGCAAAGCTGGTGATGAGTCACAATCTAGAAATACTCCAGTTCCAACCATCACGACTACAAGTGGGAAGAAGGGATGCTCCAATATTATATACATTACCCAAAGGTAATGAAACGAAAAGGCCATGGGAACGTCTGTGGCACAAAGACTGACTAGAGGTAGCTAAGAATGTGTCAAGAGTGTTCTTTTTTGAGCAATCCAGTACCCTAGCAGCTCTTCTGAACCAAGCCAAGGAACTCTAAAGTGGTTGTTAGAAGTGGAGGAAGAATGTTACAAGCAGAAAAAGAGGGAAATGACTGGTAAAACTGAACCCATCCTTAGCCCATGAGTAAAGTGGGCAATGGAGGTCTTGAAAAATCTTAGGGCTGAAGATGACCTGAGAAGACAACAGGCAGAGCCCAGCATCCAGGGGGTGGGGGGGATGTTTGTCTGCTCCGACAATCTGAAGCTGGAAAAAGTGGGTGAGTGGAGAGGAGGTAATTCTGGGGGCCACCTGTCCTCCTTCAACTTCTTACTTGAAAAGGAGGTTCCTATTCTGTTTACCTAGACTACCCCACTAAGCCTCTAATATCACCGTCGTCAGAATTTTCTGCATCTACTACTCAACAAGAAGTGACAGAATCACATCAGGCTTACTCCATCATCGATGCTTCCTTGGTCTCCAAAATGTGGTCGGTCAGAATCCAAGGCATAGACATCTCAATGGGAAACTGGATCCTTCTGCCCATTGTCAACTCCAAAAAGAACTCCCTGAACCACAGCTGGGACAAGTCACAGCACTGCTGCAGGGTTTCTTATGAAAGAAGAAATGATACCGAATCAATACTCTTGCGAGGGAGAAAATAAGCACACGTACACACAGAAGCAGCACTATTCTAGCGGTGCAGGTGTTGTATGAATGAACAAACGAAAGTGAAAGAGGGTGACTAGAGTTATGCATGGAAAGGAAACCAAAACCGGTTTTCAAATGGAGAACCTACAAAGTTAAATACAGCTGCTATCAACAACCACCCAGCAGAAGCATAAATGGTTTCATCACTGAAAACACTACTGGAAGAATGGCCAACTAGACAATTTAGGGGCGCACAGATGCATGCCCACACATTCTAAACTGGTCTCCCAGCTTGTGCTAGTGCCATGAATGCCACATTTCCCAGCTTTGGTTAATAAGGAAGTGCAGAAGAGAGGGGACTGTCTTGCAACATCTGTCATTCTTCTATTCACTCAATTAAATGGTGGAATTCTCTCACTCCGTATGGTATGTGTTGATCAAAATTAGTACAATTTTTTTAATATGGAGGGGCAGAAAGTAATTACAGCAAGTGAAATTGCTCATAAGACACTATCCGATATGTCAAAGGTTCCTTCCAGCTCGTCATAGCAGCAGTGTTTTCAGTCGACTAGAGCAGTGATTCCCAAACTTCAAAAGTGCATACCTCAGACCTCTAAGGAGTCTCCTTTTCAGCCTTGGCAATTCATTTACTAGGGCTGGGTACAGAAAAATTTTCAGCAACCTGTCTGATGTGCGCATATAGGAAGCCTTGCTTTTATGAACATTTATTGCAGCTGGCAGAAATGAGCAAAGATTGTCTGCTCTGTTGTCATTCTGATTTGTGCTAGCCCAATATTGCTGGTGGTGGACCTATTTCAAAAGGTACTAGAGGGTCCCGAATTCACTGTTTGGGAATCACTGAACTCGGGAAGCACAACAAGGGCACTAGGGCTAATGAAAGAGAAGAGCATTACGCTTCAACAACACTATAAACATGAATAAAGTCTTCCTCCCATCCAAAGCAGAGTTCCAATAACAGCATGAGTTGGAAAGACAACACAACGTGGTACGACTAGACTAGAGACATGTCAGTAGGTGAATCCACTAAAACAACATGCTTCCGATTACAGCCAACAGTAGAGAGAATGGCAGCCAAAACAAAGAAAATTGTTTTACCCAAGGCATGGCATTAGGTTTCTCTCTTTAGAAGAAGAAGAAAAAGGACTTAGCAGACACGTTTTTGCCATTTTAAGCAGATTTCAATACTGGGACCTCTTATTATGCTGAAATTTTTGCGAAGGAAGAAAGGAAAGTCGTGCCAACTGGAAAAGCATATGAAGCATCTAACCTCTTAATTCCAGTGTTATCTGCAATGTTCCAACACATTGAGAACATAGGAAGTGCCTTGCTGGATTAGACAAGGGGTCCATGTCGCCCAGAATCCCTGCTTCTAAGAGCAGCCAGGCGATCGTTTTAAAACAAAAGTAAGCCACACAAAATCGGAAACATATTCCCAGGTTATGTTAGAGGTATTAGGACATGCTAAAGCTGGACACTGATCATCTGTGTATCTTACCACTGAAATTTATCAAGTGAGTGTAGAAGAAAGACTCTCGGTGGAATTTTTCTATGTCCAATATGGTGGGCCCCTCAAGGCTACTTCTCAAAGTTTTCTTGGAGCCACTTTTGTCAGCAATGAGGGACTCTAACATGGTTCTCACCATGTAAAGCTGTGTTATTGAACAGAACATTCGTGACAGGGGGGAAAAACACAATATGGAACATTAGTTCAGCATTACGGATGCACACTGCCCAACGCAAAGACTGCTCCACTTCAAACTGAAACCTGATAAGGAAGTTCAAAAGTCATTAAACCTAAGGCGGTGAGGGGAGAAAGAGAAAGAAGAAGAAAGCCCCACAATTTGCAATGGAACAGTTTGTGTCACCACACTATTAAAAAATAATAAGTAATGCCTTACCACCATAGTTTAAAAGAGTGGGATAGATGTAGGACTGCCTCAGAAACTTGTTTATCACATGCAATAACTTTTCCATTCCCAGAGATCTGAGCTGCTTCAACAGCTCAGCAGAGTTCAAGGACTCTGCCATAGTGCGGACCATGTAGAGCTAAAAACCAACAGAAAAGGAAGAGGCAAAAAAGGGGGAAGAAGAGAGAGTCCGTTAATTAAAAAAACAAACCACATGGGTAAATAAGAAAAGGAGAAAATACAAAACCAGAAGAAATGTACGGTATATTAGTTTGTTAAGACAAGAATAGCAAGACAGTGATGTATGCGGAAGCCACCCTGGTCTACATCAAAGGTGGACAGGTTTGTTGTTTTGCCTGTTCATTTTGTAAAGGCTGAGAATGCTGCCCATAAGACGATGCCATTTGGACTCTTGTATCCCTACAAGTCGTAAAAGATACACAATGTCTTGGGCAAAATTCACTGGGAATTTGTTTCCCCAATTACAAAGATTTCCAGTTGCAACACAGCAAGATGTTACCTGCTGTAGCACTAAAATCTCTTTGGAATGTTTTATGGGAAAGCGATTCATAAATTAAATAAATAGCAGCAATGCACAAAACTACACAGCAAGATGGCTCCAAGGCTGCTGTGTTTGGAATGTTCTTATCTCTCAAAAATGAACAGGCTGTTATACTATGAGAAAGAAGAAGAGCTGAAGGAAGGAAAAGATAAGGGTGGAACAGACTGTAAAAAGGAGAACCACAGGGAGGTGGGGGGGTACAGTGATGACAAGTTTATACTACAATCTATAAAGCTACTACAGCTGCACCCAAAGTATTGCACCAACAAGAAATAGTTCACCACCACCACCGAACTTCAGAGTTTCCCTGTCCATCTGTCTCCATTCCATATCACAATCTGATTTTGAAAAGTTTTAAGGTTTCAAAACTCTTTCACAGCACAGCATGGGTTCATGATGAACAAATCCAAAATGCTATTGCTTATTGTGGGACTGGTCACCACCTCTGCATTGTGGCTAAGTCACATGTTTACCATGTTATGTGTTCAAACTTTACACTGAGTTTTAAAATATTGAAGAAGCTACTATATCGCATATTACAATTATTACAGAGTTTTCCTAATATTAGATTTTTGGGGAAGTGTGTGTGTGTGTGTGTGTGTGTGTGAATCAATAAACTCATCCTGTTCAGCTAACCAATCAAGACAGTTGGGGGTGGTATTGCTTTGTTGTTTTGGTTTAGTTATTTACTTGTGTTTATCTTGTATTTTATTCTGTGAACTGCCCTAAGATCATTTGATGAAAAGTGGCATATTAATAATAATAATAATAATAATAATAATAATAATGTTACATTCCTCCTCACATTAAGGGTAGCTCAATAAAGTCAGATGTTTGAGATCTCCCTTCAAAATAGTAAGGAGAGCAATATGGCTACCAAATTTGGGGTGCTTAATGCAAAAGGTGGGGAGATGGTGCAGGAAAAATTTCAGACACCTTACAGATTGTCCATGGAATTCTCCTGGATCCCCTTCATGGGATGGGGATTAGGAACCCTGTGTTGCAGTGGATCCTGTCCTATGTCTGGGACCGAGTCCAGAGAGGAGCATTAGGAGTGTTTTTCAGCTCCCTGGCAGTTATGCAATGGGGTGCCACAGGTCACTATTTCATCCCAAATAATATTTAATATCTATACGAAGCCATTTGAAGCAGTCATTAAGAGATTTGGGTCTTAATTCTGCACAACATCTGAATCAAGGAAAGGCTATGGTGCCCAAACACAGGGATGGGATTGAGGGTGGAAAATAAGGTGAGCCTGAATCTTGGGAAGACAAGAGGCACTGTGAATGAATGGTTCCTGCATCTAAGAAATTGGCCAATCGCCAGTTGCACTATCCTTAAAGGTGCAGATATGCTTCGGTATCTAGTCCCCTCCCTCGAGGCCTAAGTAGCCTTGATAGCTAGGATCACCTTTTACCAGCTGAGGCTGATGTGACAGGCGTGGCTATTTCTGGAATGGAAGAGATTTACCACAGTAGTCCAGGCACCGATGACTTCAAAATTGGGATTACTGCATTGAACCCTGAGTGGGGCTTCCTTTGCACTTGGGTCCAGAAACAGCAGTTAATGCAGAATGCTGCAGCGCCACTGCTGGCAGGAGTGAGACCTTGTCAGTATATTGCAACTCTGCTCAAAGATCTGCACAGGCAGCCTGATCAGTTACTAGGTGTTACTATTGGTAAAATAAAGCCCTTAACAATTTGGGACAGGTTTATCCCATATGTGCCACTCAACCACTTCAATCTGAAGAACTGGGATATGACAAATAATGTTCATTCCACACTTGGAAGGAATCAATCCTTCTTAGTGGCAAGATTTACATTTTGGAATTGTGCAATGTTTCCAGCGTCTGCTAAAAACTACCAACCCTAGCCAGACAGGAAAACCTGACAGTTGTGTGATTTTAATGTTCATTTTAAAAACTGATGTTATTTTTATTTTTTTTTAGATTCATTTGTTTTTAACATCTGGTTCTATTGGTAATTTTGATGTGTGTGTTATATTTTATATAAACCACATTAAGAGGTTTTGATGATTAAGGAGTAAGTCCTGTTAAATAAAATTAAATGACTAAAATGTATTTTACCATCACACAAAAATAAAAATAAACAGCTTAATTGTACTCACAAGTACTGGTGGCCCGGTCTGCCAATTTTGGATTCTGATTCTCATTTTTTCAATCTTCAGTACACTCCTAATTACTGTGTCATTTTATGATTTAGGTTTTAAACACAGCATTAAAATCCTATTGCACTTTATTGTGCATTTGTCCTAATACACACATTCTGCAAGCAATTTTCCCTGATGCAGTTTTGCACATTATTTGTATGTTGTTTCTACTAATACACACATTTTTGTGCAGTCTTCCCTAATACAGTGGAACCTCGGAAGCCAAATGTCTGTGAACTAAAATGTTTCGGCTCCCGAACAATCAAAAACTGGAAGTGATTGTTTCAGTTTTCGAATTATTTTTGGAAGTCCAACGTTTTGGAAGTCCAACCGACTTCTGGAACGGATTCCATTCAACTTCCAAGGTATGTCTGTACAGGTGTATGCATATGTTTTAGATTTTAGAACAGCACTGCAAGAGTGTGAAGTTCGACAGGTAGCTGCATTTCAGCTCACATATTGGTTTGGGAAATGCCAATTAGGGAGGTTCACAATTTAAAATGCAAGCAGAGCAAATGGCTCTTCCATCTCTACACACAAGTAGAAACAGCCAAGAAAAGATTTTATCAGAAGAGAATAGCCCAGCAATAAACCACAGTAGGCATAGGCAGAGAAAAGTCATTACATGTGTATATGTGTGTGTACACACACACCATACTGAAAACAGGTATATACCATTTAAGTGCAGGAAGATAAACACGAGGGCATCAGACATACAAACAACTCAAACTTTGTAAAAACAGAATTTAAATATAGAAGCATTAATCCCACAGGAGGTACATGCTGTAAAGGAAAGGCTTGTGGGAGGGGCACGGAAAGGGAATAATCACCGTAGAAAATTAAAATGACAGTACCCCTGCATGAGTTTTTTTTTTTACTAATCCAGATTTACACAGGATTTATATAACTAATCTTTTTAAATGGGTTCATTCCACAGTAATTCCTGTATCAAGTCAGTGACACACATACCAGAATTAAGAGAGAGAGAGAGAGAGAAATTACCTGGGTACTGGAGGGGCCCACTGCTCGTCTCGGGACTTTGACATCAAAGCCACTTTTGGGATCCTTCTCTCCCCTCAGCGCAGGGTCATTGAACGGCTCACGGCCACCTTCCCAGTCGCACACAGTCTTTCTGATCGCCTGGAGAACGCTAGTCACAATCCAAGAGGGCATGTGAGTTCCTGATAAAAGTGTGAACTCTTCCGTAACAACCACAAGCATCCTGACACATGCATTCGAAAGGCACCACACATTCCAGAGACGGCTAAAACTGTCATATCGAGAACACGCCTCGTTTTCCACCAACGGATTGGCTAAAGCAAACATTCCATATCCTTTGTGAATTCTTAAGCCTGGAAACCTCTGCTTTTAAATAATTGAGAACACAGCAGGTTTCTTTCAGATTTACCATTCAAGTGCAAGTAACGCCTTTCCTTGCATGAAGGGGGCGTTGTGTGTCAAAGGGACAGGAGGGTCACAGTGCAGGGTCAAGTAGCTTCCCAGACCTGCCTCCAACATCCACACACTGAGCATGAATATCTGTAGCCCTCACTCCAACACACAGACATCCATGTGCATAAACTTTTATGGAAGGTGGACCCTTGTGCTCTCCCCTTAAGATGCCCGCACTCAACACATGGGTGTTGTAGTGAGGAGGGAAGCTGTACAATGCCAGTGCTTGGACAAATTGCACAGGCCTGCTGTTTCTTCAATGTGTAGAGGCCCCTTCACACATATGAAGCACTGTTATAACTCCAGGGGCCTTCTGGCAGTTCTCTCACTGTGAGAAGTGAAGTTACAGGGAACCAGGCAGAGGACCTTCTGGGTAGTGGTGCCCGCCCTGTGGAATGCCCTCCCAGCAGATGTCAAGAAGATAAATAACTACACAACTTTTAGAGGACATCTGAAAGCAGCCCTGTATAGGGAAGTTCTAAATGTTTGATATTTTATTGTGTTTTAAATATTTTGTTGGGAGCTGCCCAGAGTGGCTGGAGCAACCTAGTCAGATGGGCGACATATAAATAATAAAGTTATGGTTATTGTTTTTATTAAAATTGCAACTGTAATGTAGACCCTTGTGAAGGAAAATGTTACTGGATATGTATGGTTTAGCTTTGTTTAATAGGCATCATGCAAAGTGACTTTGTCATTACTTTCTCTCAAGGGAACTGCAGTTCTGGGAGGAAACGAATTCCCAATAGCCTCACTAAGGATGCAATCTACAAAGCCCTGCCAAAGAGATATGAATACAGCATCCTCTTCCTACTTTCCTAACTAATGCCAGGCATATAATGCCAGTACATTGCCACCCAATATCTGATCAATGGCCAGAACAGTTGCAGAGTAGCTCATCAGCAACTGTGGGAAGTATGGCGTGAGAGAGCTTGCAACGGCCGCCATGGAGCTGTCACAACTGCTTGGACCAGTTGCAGAAGCTCTGGCAATACTGCGCAGCTGCTGGGCCACGTGGTCTGTAGGACACTGGGTAATACAGGTGGCCAGGAGATGGAGAGCCATTGCACACAGCAAGTTTTGTGGATCCCATCCAAAAAAACATTCTCAAGTTTCCATTGGGAGAATTCAAGACAGTCCCACTGCATTATAACAGATGCTCTCAGGTGCTATGTTTTCCTTTAACAAATACTGCGCATCTGAAAGAAAAGCTAAATGGCACGAGAGGGCATTAGCCACCACCTTTGGATGACATTCTTCTTCTTCTTGATGGCCTGTCTCAACGGTTCTCTAAGTGTAATCTGGGCGAAATCCTGGAGCGCGGCATAGATGGTATGGCGAATGGCATGATTGAAGACGCTTTCCATCCTCCCCATTAAAACCTGCAGCCCTTTAATCATCGCTATAACCTGAATGGGGAAAAAATTGGTTTTCACATAATTAGACAAAGCACATGTCATGAAAAGGGGTGGGGTGGGATCATGGCCAGAAGGCATTTTCTCTTTCTTACCTCAACAAGAGCAAACTTCTCTTCGCTGGTATAATTGTATCGTGTCGCTCTTTCGTACTCTTCTGCATTGTCTGGACAATCTTTGTTGGAATATTTGTCCGTTGGGTGCACCAGCTTCCAAGAATACTGCAAAGGGGGTTAAGAATGGCCAGAACCGACAAAAACTGAACTGAGAAACCACAGTAACAATTGCAATACACCACTAAGGCTGAATGAAAGCTTATATACGATTGTGCTTTTGAACAGGCAACTGCATTTCATTAGATCAATAGTTGCTAAGCCCTAAAAATAGGAAGATCAACACCCCAAGCTAAGAAAACAAAGTGATGATGTGAATATAGAAGCAAGCTTCTGCGTGTGCAGGTAATGTATTGATATTTTTACCAAGTTCACCACATGTAGCTTTGGCACTGAACCTTGCATGATGGGGAACTCTTCCACAAGGAAGTGTTTCCAGTGGTTTCTGCAAAATGGCCATAACAGTGAAACAGTGGCTTTTAATCTCATATTCTAATATGAATATTACTAAGAGGAAGGTGGACAAAAACCCCACAAAGATCTCATGCCAACTCAACTAGCGGAAAAATTCCTTCACAGCCTACAAATGTGACATTCAGATACATGCTCCACATAATAGCTTTGAGTCTATTTGAGATCTTTAACTCATCCAAGTAAGGGTGCAAACAGAATATCACATGCTGCTCTATAATATGCCATCTAAAGATTACAGTGAAACAAAACATTTCCACTCCCCCTCACAGTTGCTGCTCTTTAGAACTTTCCACAGCCTGCCCTGCACATACCACTTCCATAACATGTGCACTCCACTGAGACAGAAGTTGAAGACCTTGGAGAGACAGGTCAAAGAGCTTCCGATACTCAGCATCAGTCTTCTGAGCTTCTTGGCGGCCTGATCCAGTCACTACCTGTAATGAAAAGCATGCTTGTTAAAACATGCAGTGCATATATGGCTAAACATGAATTGTTTTAGAGTGCAGAACAAAATCATCTGTGTGTGCTTTTCGGGTTTCAAACCTTTGTAAAAAAACATGCTGAGGCTCATTTTCCATATTACAATATTGGAGCCACTTCCCCATAGTGTAGCCCCATGCTGGTCCACTCAGCACCCACAGACGTGGGTGGCGCTGTGGTCTAAACCACTGAGCCTCTTGGATTTGCCAATCAGAAGTTCAGCAGTTTGAATCCCCATCATGGGGTGAGCTCCCGTTGCTCTGCCCCAGCTCGTGCCAACCTAGCAGTTCAAAAGCACACCAGTGCAAGTAGATAAATAGGTACCGCTGCAGCGGGAAGGTTTCTGTGCACTCTGGTTTCCGTCACAGTGTCCCATTGCACCAGAAGTGGTAAAGTCATTCTGGCGACATGGCCCAGAAAGTTGTCTGTGGACAAATGCTGGCTCCCTTGGCCTGAAAGTGAGATGAGCGCCGCAACCCCATAGCTGCCTTTGACTGGACTTAACTGTCCAGGGGTCCTTTACCTTTTACTCAGCACCCATAACAAGCTACAATTCGCAGAATTCTTTGTGGGGGAGACATGTGCTTTAAATGAGTAGTGTTTTAATTTACGATGAACAAGCATTTACACCACTATTTTCCCCACTGGTCAAGCTGACTCTGGTCTGGAACTCTTTCCCCTTAATAAGAGGGTAGGGAACGGAAAGACCCATAGTTAAATATACCAATGTGCTCTTTCTCCACCTTCACGTATTTTAGAACTGAGGCTGAAATATACTTAAGAAATGAACCCTGTGATCAAATTAAGTCCTGGGTAATGAACATCATATGCCTTGCGGCCTTTTCAGGCTATATATTTTCATAAATAAACTTGTTGTTTTTAAAGAAGTATTTAAAAAAACCTGGTATGGAACTTGTTAGAAAACTGACACACACAAATTTAGATTTCACTAATAGTACTTTGCCACTCAAAAGGGTGCAAATATTTTACTGACACCACGCAAGTGTAAGACTAACGCTACTTAGTCTGTACGAGAAACAGGGGCACATTTTTATGTTTAGGACTGCTAACGTAACAGGTTGGGTGCATATAAAACCTGATTCCATCCAAAGACTCATGTCCTGTATTAATCTACACACCTCACTATTGCTGTAACGAGCCAGTTCCGAAATAAAACGCATGTGGTCGTCTCTTATCTGGATCATTTGCTCACAGATATTGTACTGGGGACTGCTGCTGGAAGAAGTGCATGTCCACCTAGGGTAGGGGAAAAAGAGAAAAGAAAGCATGAAATTACTAAAAAAAAAAATTATACATTCCCATTGCAAGGAGATCCATGCCCCACAGATGAATTTTCTTTAAGTGAACTGCAAGAATGACTTGGAGCAATTTCGTAGTTCTTGGAAAAAGCAAGCTAGCGTGTATTTTCAGTTCTTACCTAGATTTATTTTCTTCATAGTGAGCACTAGTCTTAATGTATCTCGCCAGTTCGATCTGCATGTCGCCAAACAGTGGAACTACTTGCAGCTGCTGGACTCAAGAGAAAACAAATTAAACGAAATTAATTATGTGCACCTTATGGTTTCATTCAGGACTTAGCCACACAATCAGCAAATACATAAGCTAACTCTACAATTCTATGATATGCAGTCATGACTCTCCGTGGAAAGAATATTAATTTGTAAAGGTACCAAAAAAGAAATCCCCTGTGCTTTGTACTGGCAAATTACCGTATTTTTCGCTCTATAGGACGCACCAGATGATAAGACGCACCTAGTTTGGGGGGGGGGGGGACAAGAAGAAAAAAATTCTGAACCCCAGAAGCCAGAACAGCAAGAGGGATCTGGCTTCTGGGATAGCCTCTTGCTGTTCTGGCTTCAGGGACAGCCTTTGAAGCCTCCGCAGGGCAGCGGGGTGAAGGCACCCCGCTGCCCTGCGGAGGCTTTGTGCAGCTAACCCCAAGCTAGAACAGCGAGATGGAGCACTGTGCAGTGCTCCGTCTCCCTGTTCTGGCTTTGGGCTTAGCCGCGCAGCCTTCATTCGCTCCATAAGACGCACACACATTTTCCCTTACTTTTTAGAAGGGAAAAAGTGTGTCTTATAGAGCGAAAAATACGGTACAACATTCCCAGCAGAACGAACACCTTCTGCTGGCAATAGGGCCTTCAGCACACACACATCTGGCTTGAAACATCAGGACAACACTAAGCATTGGGGAATTTGTCATCTGGACATGCTGTCGACTTGAAATATAGTGGGTTGCATCCAACGACATATACTTGCACAATAAAACATCTTCTCCCCTTAAACCCCCCCATCTGGTTCTGGAGGTCCCCCGAACACTTGAGAACAGATCTGGAGGGGCAGAAGGTAAGAAAAGGGAGGAGAAGTTGCACTGCACAAGCAGAAATCATTGTGCAAAAAGGATGACTTCAATGGATACAAACCTATGTATTTTAGGAATCATAGGTAGGAAACCACCTTCATGATGTAATCAGAGCCAGGAAAGTTCACATGCCTAGTCACTCAGGTGACCACCCACCCACGTACCTAAGTAATGTATAACCACTCCCTTTTCAAAAGACACACAACCTTCTTAACCAACCTTAAAAAACTTGTCAATCTTGTTCAGATTTATCCTTTTCTTGGCATCCAGCTTATAAATGTTACTGACACTGCCATCCATCAGATACAAACCAAAACCCATTACCTGAAAAGAGAATAAAGTAACATTAAGACCTGTTGCCTGATTCTTAACTTGATCAATGCTGAAAGCAACAAAACCTTGTAAACCTTCCTCAAAATAAAGTTTATTAGAACATAATGGCACAAGCATCATAAATATGATTCACCATTTTATTTTTCTACCATTGACCAAACTCTCCTTTCTAATCATGCATATGCACGTAAATTTATATTATTTAAGTAGCCCCAAAGTCAGAGTTAGAGTACCAGCTATGCCTGTTCCTGGTCCAATATAACCTGGCCAAAGCTATCTATGATCTTTATTTGATGGTTTAGAAGCTGCAACTAGTGCAAAATGTGATGGATCATTGAGATGAGACCATAGCACATCTATTTTGAAGACTTTGCATCAGTGGCATATAGGCTACCAAACTCAATACAATCAGTTAGCATTAACGTATAAAAGCCCTAATCAGTTGGAATCTGAAGGAGCACCTCTTTCCGTTATCAGCCTGGCTGTGTGCTAAGATCTGCAACAGGGCTTTCTTATGGCCCCACCATCAGCAGAAGCCCATGGAGATATGACACAGCCTTCTTCGTGATGGCAACTCAATGGGGGTATTTTCTTCCCCCAAGAATCAATCAGCTAGTGCTGACATAAATTGCTTCTCGGTGCTGGAGGACCAAAATATATCCCAGGTGACTCACCATTCAGACTTGGGGGAGATTTCATCCAATCCCAAATATGGCAACCATTGATGTCCAGAACAAAACACTGAGGTCACCAAGTCTTCCCAAGATAAAATTTTGATCATTTTTACAATCATGAAAATGCAGATGGGTTTATGCATGACGCTCTGTACATATACATTGTTCTGAGACCTAGTCATCTGGAAGTTGTTCATGCAGAAATCTTGAAGCTTCTCTTAAGAAAAGTGCCCAGTTTCTAATTTAAAGTTTTCATAATTGTAATATATTTGGGAGATATCAGAAGCAATTGACTTACAAAACTAGCCTTTCTAAAATATTAAAATTAAAAATATTAAAAGGATAGAAATATTCAAAGACATTCCAAAGCTCCTTTTGGAGCTTAGGTCTAACTATCGGGACCTGGTGACGTTGCTGAGAGGAAATAGAATTTTTTCAGGTGGGAGTTCCCTCAAGGCCTATCTTTCAGTTTTAAAGGCAAGAAAATTAAAATAAAATCTGTGGAGGAGAAACAGAACTTTTTGAGAGACCACCAAGAGGACCTACAAAAAGGATTGGGGGAGGAGCCAGAAGCCCCTTTAACAGGATTGGATCCTACATTACCACCGTTGGGAGAGGATAAGACAGAGAAGGCGAAACCACCAACAGAGGAAGAAGAGTTATTGGGAGCAGTTGGAGGGAAATAAAGAAATCATCATGGCTCTGCAACTTTTAACTTGGAATGTTTGTGGCCTGAATTCTCCGGAATAAGGGAGGAAAGTATTTCATATACTTAAAAAGAACAATTGGACTTAATTTGTTTACAGGAAACCCATGTGATGAGGCTTCACAGGAAAATATTGATTAATAAGAGACTGGGTCAAGAATTTATTTCATCAGACAAAGTTAAAAACGAGGAGTGGTTATTTACGCAAAGGAGAGCCTCTCACCAAAATTTGTTTTTAAGGATGAACAAGGAAGGTTCATAGCAATTGAAATTCAAGTACAAGGAGAAAAATTTTTGATAGTAGGTGTATACGCACCAAATGAGGGGAATCTATATTTTACAAAAAGTTGCATGAGATCTTGATGGACTATATGGACTATAACACTGTTTTCATGGGAGATATGAATGGGGTGGTTTCTACAAATATGGACAAGTCACAAAGAGAGGTAGTTACTAAAGATGGTAGACTACCGAAAACATTCTTTGAACTAACTGACAATATGGATTTGATTGACATTTGGAGAACTAAGAACCCCCTTGATAGAGAAGGAACCTTCTTTTCTGAAGCCCAAAAGACATGGACAAGAATTGACCAAATCTGGACTACTAGAGGACTGGCACCCAAGGTTAAGAAGGTAGAGATCTGCCCAAAAATATGCTCCGACCATAACGCCGTGAGAATGGAGATGAAGTTAACATCTATTGGTTCCTTCCGATGGAGGATGAATGACACCTTGTTTAGAGATCAAGAGGTGATTAAGAAGGCCCAAAAGACATTGAGGGACTATTTTGAGATAAACTTGAATACAGCTGTAGAAAAAGAGTAATCTGGGACGCAAGCAAAGCTGTTATGAGGGGCTTCCTGATTCAACAGAATTCAATTAAGAAGAAGGCCCAAAACGTAAAGAAAGAAAAAATTCTGGAAAAAATAAAGGAGGGCGAGAAGAAACTGAGAGTGAAGCCCAATTCACAAGAGATTCTGAGGGAAATAAAATTGCACCAAGTGCAATATATGAAATTGATAAATCAAGAAGTGGAATGGAAAATTAAACAAATGAGACAAAAGACTTTTGAATCGGCAAATAAATGTGGGAAATTGCTGGCTTGGCAGTTGAAGAAACGACAAAAACTTAATACTATTACTAATTTGGAAGTGGAAGGGAAAAATATCCAGAATCCAGAAGAAATTAGGAAATGCTTCCAGAGATATTTTAAACAATTATACACACAAGGGCCTCAGAAAGAATTTGAGATAGAGCAATTTTTGAAAACCAATGGATTACAAAAATTTCTCAGGATAACAAGATATTGTTGAATTATAAAATTACAGAACAGGAGGTTGAAGGTGCCATTCAGAATATGCAGTTGGGAAAATCTCCAGGACCGGACGGTTTAACCTCAAAATATTACAGAACTTTGAAAGACTGGTTAATTCGACCATTAACTGAGGTTTGTAATGAAATTTTAGAGGGGAAAAGAGCGCCAGAGTCGTGGAAAGACGCATTTATTACACTTATACCAAAGGCTGAGACTGAAAAGACACAGCTTAAGAACTACCGGCCCATATCCCTGTTAAATGTGGATTACAAAATTTTTGCTGACATCTTAGCAAAAAGGCTTAAAAAGTGCTAAAAGGAGTGATTCACAAGGACCAAGCCGGCTTTCTTCCAGATAGACATCTTTCGGACAACACAAGGAACATAATTGATATTCTGGAGAAGCTGCAAGAGGAGATCAATACTAAAGCAGTTTTGATTTTTGTGGATGCAGAGAAAGCCTTTGACAATATTTCTTGGAGTTTTATGAAGAAAAATCTTCAGGGGATGGGGGTAGGCCAAGAGTTTGAAAATGGTATAAATGCAATTTATTCAGAACAAAAAGCTAAATTAATAGTTAATAATGTGATAACAGAGGAAATTAAGATAGAGAAAGGGACACGACAAGGCTGCCCAATTTCCCCATTACTTTTTATTTCTGTTCTGGAGGTTTTGTTAAATATGATAAGAAGGGACCATTTGATTAAGGGTATAACGGTCGGAGCGAAACAATATAAACTGAAAGCATTTGCAGATGACCTTGTACTGACATTACAGGAGCCAGAATCTAGTACGAAAAGAGCATTAGAACTGATTCAAGAGTTTGGTCAGGTGGCAGGTTTTAAGCTGAATAAGTTTAAAACTAAAGTACTTGAGAAGAATTTAACACCGATCGAAAAAGAGAGGTTTCAGAATGAGACAGGTTTAACAGTGGTAAAAAAAGTGAAATATTTGGGGATTCACATGACAGCTAAAAATGGGAATTTATTTAAAGACAATTATGAAAAGTGTTGGTCGGACATTAAAAAGGATTTAGAAATATGGACAAATTTGAAGCTTTCCTTGTTAGGTCGAATTGCTGTCATCAAGATGAATGTATTGCCAAGAATGCTGTTTTTGTTTCAATCGATACAAATAATAGACAAAATGGACTGTTTTAAGAAGTGGCAGAGAGATATTTCTAAGTTTGTCTGGCAGGGCAAGAGGCCCAGGATAAAATTTAAAATATTGACTGATGCTAAAGAAAGAGGGGATTTGCCCTGCCAGACTTTAAACTTTATTATGAATCAGCAGCTTTCTGCTGGTTGAAGGATTGGTTACTTCTGGAAAATACTGATGTTTTGGACTTAGAAGGTTTCAATAATGTGTTTGGGTGGCATGCATATTTGTGGTATGACAAGGTTAAAGCTCACAAAATATTTAAAAACCATATTGTCAGGAAAGCATTGTTCAATGTCTGGATAAGATATAAAGACTTATTGGAGAATAAAACCCCAAGGTGGCTATCACCAATGGAGGCAAAGGCCCTAAAAAAAGTCCAATATGGAGGCCAAGTGGCCAAAATATTGGGAGATCTTGGAACAAGAAGGAGATAAATTCAAATTGCAGAGTTTTGAAAAATTAAAAGATAGAGTGCGAGACTGGTTGCATTACTACCAAATAAGAGAGGTCTATAATTTGGATAGAAAAATTGGCTTCCAGGTGGAAAAATCAAAGTTGGAAACAGAACTGCTAGATCCCAAAACTAAAACACTTTCAAGAATGTATAACTTGCTGCTAAAATGGAATACTCAGGATGAAACGGTAAAATCTGCTATGATTAAATGGGCACAGGATGTTGGACATAACATTATGTTTGCTGACTGGGAACGGTTATGGACCACAGGTACGAAGTTTACAGCATGTAATGCTTTAAAAGAGAATATAATGAAAATGGTGTACAGGTGGTACATGACCCCAGTCAAGCTTGCAAAAATCTACCACTTGCCCGATAATAAATGTTGGAAATGTAAGGAAACTGAAGGTACATTCTTTCACCTTTGGTGGACGTGCCCAAAGATCAAGGCCTTCTGGGAAAGGATATATAATGAGTTGAAAAAGGTATTTAAGTATACCTTTCTAAAGAAACCAGAGGCCTTTCTCTTGGGCATTGTTGGCCAATTGGTGCTAAAGAAAGACAGAACTTTCTTTATGTATGCAACAGCAGCAGCAAGGATACTCATCGCAAAGTATTGGAAGACACAAGATTTACCCACTCTGGAAGAATGGCAGATGAAGGTAATCGAATATATGGAACTGGCGGAGATGACTGGCAGAATCCGTGACCAGGGAGAAGAGTCGGTGGAAGAAGATTGGAAGAAATTTAAAGACTATCTACAGAAATACTATAAAATTAATGAATGTTAAATTGAGGTCTGATTGAAAATAACTGGTATTGGCAAAAGCCTTGTGATTAAGAGCATGGAATATTTGATCGATAAAGTTGTAATATTTATATATAAATAGATTAACTTTTTGAGTTAAGATAAAGAAAGGAGGGTAAGGATTTGCTGAAAGGAGTTCTTAAATGGAAATACAAGCGGGGAGATGTGGGGAAGTCAAAGAATTAGGTAATGATAAGAAGGTTAAATGAAAGTATAATACTTTTTAAATTTTTCTGTTTCTTTTTCTTTTTTTCTTTTTTCTTTTTTTGTTATGGATATTGTTATCTCTGTTTGCTTTTTGTTATTGTTATTGTTGTTTTCTGTTTGTCGAATTTTTGTATTTTTGCATCTTTTGGAATTTTTTTTTTTTGTAAAACCAATAAATATTATAAAAAAAAATAAAAAAAAAAAATATTAAAATCAATCATTAACTCTAAACACAGAGTAAGACTGTGCTTCACCAGAGGCCATAGAAGCAGGCACCTGGATTTTTAAAATAAAACACAGTCAAATATGTTAAGAATAAGCATAATAAGCTCTGGAATCCTTAGAATATCCCAGCCAAATTTAACTGCTACATTTCAGAGCTATAAGCACCTGAAGGATAAATGCTTCTAATTATTCAAGTATGGTAATCAGATTTGAAAGCTGTTAAACTAGCTTTCCTGTGCAGTGCTAGATATACTGCAAAGAGATTCCTAGGCACAAATAAACTAGCCTTTTCAAAAATTTTAAAATTACTATATTCGTTTGGCTAAAAACCAATGGAATGAATGCATACGGAGCCATTTGGAGGCACAGTGCCGAAAAATTCCTGGACACAAATACATTGCTTTTTTCAACATTACTATATCCGTTTAGCTAAAAGCCAATATAATGAATGCCGAGCAATTTAGTTCCTCTAAGCATTGCAAATGATAGATTTGCCTCTGCATATCTTTTACCCAATATGACAAAATGACACAAAAACGTTCTAATTCCATTTTTGCCTTTTCTCTACCCCCTTCATTAAAATCATTTAGTCCCTGTGCATATAGAAGTGTGGAGGGAGGGAATTCACATACATAAAAGAGAGGCTGAAAATACTTCAAAGAGCATACCAATTATTCCAATTATTGACAACGAACCTCTAGCATTTCAAGAGTATTTCCAATGCTCACCCAGCATCCCCCCCCCCCAAAATGTTGAAATGCTTCAAGCAGCATATCTTACTTTTAGGAGCATGTGCTTCTCACTAGGCGTTAGATACATTTTGTTTTCATAGTAATCCACGCATAAATTCACAATATCAGCAAGCAGCTCTTCATAGCCAGGAATCACCTCAAGTTGTTGCTGTAAAGACTAGAACAGAAACCAGTTTAACTTTGTATATGGCAATGGGGGGGGGATTAAGAGAGAACACTTGTAGAACTCCATGTATGGAAATAGCTGGATTTTATTATATTATTCAGCACGTAAGATACCATGCTCTGTACAAGAATAAGAAGGGAACAATGACATCATAGTTTTGTTTACTTAAAAACATACCTGCGTAATCTTATTGTGATTAGCAAGAAACATGGAGAGGTTCTGGGATTCTTGGATAGACTGAGGATCGGCCATTTTACGCAGAAATTGGGCAGCCCTTCAAAGGAAACAGGAGAAAAAGTTAAATCTTGCAAGAATGATAGACATATCTATCATCACTATAGCTATGCCACTGGCCCCTGCAAGAAAGCACATTACTGCAAAGTGTATGAATGAAGGACATTTGCTATATCTTAATGATTTGTTGTCACCGGATAAAGACGACTCTGCTGGCCTCCACTAGCTTTTCTGCTGCTAGAGAAGAAGCCAGCACACACGTGTGCACATGCATGCACACTATGGGATCCAATGTCACACCTTGATGAGCAATGTAGAAACCAATAAATGCGAGTGCAGTGGGCAAGAGACTCAGGTTGTTGTCCCAACACACTCTGTTCTGTCATTATTTTCCAGCAGCAATAATTTGTGATGCAACTGACTCACGGTTGCCAGCATAAGGGCAACTGGCGCATTCATGGAGACTGATCCTGCAACAGTGGCTTTCCATAAGGATCAGTTCTGACAGGGTAATTAGGCAGAGCCACTTCTACTTTGGAATCAACTTTCAGCGGTAACTACCTAATTTTATATCATTCTTGAGGAACCATGCAGAATGCAAAACAGGTGTGTGTCAAGAACAGCACCCAAAATCAACTTCATTTTTTCCTTCCTGAACCGTTTCCTTTTTTTCCACCTTCCTTTTTAGGCAAAAATATTTGCTTATTTTATATTTCTAATTTACCCCTCTTGAGTGGACAACAAATTTTAAGACATGCACCAATATAAAAATACACCGAGAGGCAAGGACCTCGTTTATGGTTGGAAGTTATTAGATTGACGTCATACAGGTAACAAAGGGAAAAGGTTGCAATATAACACTCAATGACTGAATGGTATCTCACTTAAGAAATGTCAAACCATGCAGGCAAGAGCATAAAGAAACCTCCTATAGCTTAGTATACACCCATAAGGGGTGCAGATCCAAACTACCAATTTTTAACAAATCATTAAAGTGGGAGTTAGCTGGGTGTGTCGTTTTCAGCTGCCATCTGAAGACAGAGCTCTTAGAAAACTGCCTTCTCTCTTTGCTTCCCCACCCCCTCTCACTCACACACTACCCTTCAGAAGTCCAAAAGCAACAGCAGGGCCTGAATTGCAAGTGGTTTTATACTAAGACACTAGGTGGTTGTCTTCCCCGCTGCACAGAATGGGATTTTTCTGAAAGGAGCAGTGTGGGATTAATGAAGCTATTCATCATAATTAACATCATAATCAACCACCCGGCACATTTCCGTGGGGCATTGTTTTGCAGGTGTTATCTCAGAGGAACAGCCGTTTGTTGCCTACAAGATTCTGTAGGAACCCAAGCCTATGCACTTTTTTACAGAAGCAAGTCTTAAGGTATGAACTGCAGGTGACTGCAGCATTAAGGCACAGAACATAGAGATAACACACTTGGAAGATTGCAGGTCAAACATGGGATTGCATGAGATGAACCCAGAGCTTGATTTTTTTATTTTTAAAGCCATGCTGGTGCTAAAACCTCCTTACAAATAAGATTGCTTCCTTGTGATACTGCAGTGTGCCAAAGGTCCATCCCATTGTAGCTGGGACTAGGTTCCTCATTGCAGTGGCAGGACACACTTCCCACTGAAGTTAGAAAGGCCCTGACACGGGTTACATTTAACAGGTTGCTAACTTTAATTTCTCGGAGTTTTTTATAAGCTACCACAGAATGATGAGTTTACCAAAGAGCAGGTAATCTACGTTGTCATCTATTTTATTTACAGAGGGTTCTTTTTTTTTTTTTTGTATACTGCTATGGTACTATTGTGATGTTCAGCAGTTTATAAAAAATTGTGATAAATAAATAAAATCAGACCTGGCAAGATTTGCAAGGTCCCACCATGAGCAGAATGGAACGCCACTTACATGCAATGGAATGTCTCCTGCATTCCATGCCCTCTCCCCGCCCCCCCCAACAAACTCTCAAAACCTGGCCATGAGATACTGGGTTCTGCCCCAAAGCTTCAGACTGTGGTACATCAGAACCCCAACAAGCATGCTTCAGAGGCTCTCTATTGACATGGTTCAGAACCGGATATGGGCACTGAAATTGTTCCGAGGCTGAGCCCCAGCTCTAAGTACGTTCCACCAGAATGAATGCATTTTCCAGTGCAACGTTTTTCTTCAACCTTTCTTCAACAGTTATCACCGTTGGGAGTGCTTTTGCAAAGATGCTCATGGAGGCATATTGTAACAGAAATGCAATTTCAAAACGGGCAGCCCATTTGTATTCCACCCCTCCAGGAAAAAGATATCCACGCACAAAAGTCATCTCTTATCTGCCTCATGCACATTTCCTGGAGAAACAGGTAAGAAGCATGTCACATTGACACCAGCCCCCAATCCTGTGCAGTTTCTAACCTGAGTCCACCTCTTCTTGTTTCAACTCACTGTGAGAGTATTTTCCAGGACACATTTTATACCTTTTTGGGGGTGGGTGGGGGGAAGATATATATTTTACAAGTATACACAAAATGTGAACATAGCATATAGCAAACAACTAGTGCCATCTTGTGGCCACACTGTCCTGTGGTGCTATAGGCAACTTCATATGCCAAGAGAAAAAGGATGCTTCCTTTTCCATAGGGGTAAATGCTGCCAGAAGACTTAATCTGAAACTCCTTGCAGAGAATGTGCCCCTATCAAACAGAGGTTTGAAAACAACAGATGTATGTTTCCAGTATATAAACACCCTGAGGGTTGTCTGACATATTATACTTTTTTTGATGATACACAAAATATGTGCACACAATGCCTGCATTTTTCTAGACACACATTCCTATAGGCATGTATGCTAGGAAGCTAGTATGTCTCGCAGCAAGCTGCCACAGAGGTATTTGGAGATGAAAACATGTTTGCCACCACGCAATCTGTGAAATAGCCTTAATTCAACAGGTATGACAAGAGGCATAGGCAAACTCGGCCCTCCAGATGTTTTGGGACTACAACTCCCACCATCCCTGGCTAACAGAACCAGTGGTCAGGGATGATGGGAACTGTAGTCTCAAAACATCTGGAGTGCCGAGTTTGCCTGTGCCTGGGTATGACACTCAGCAACTGTGCAGGGCAGGTGTAGAGAAGCTTTGGTCCTCCAGATGTTGATGAACTCCAACATCAGCCCCAGGAAACATGACCATTAGCTAGGAATGATGGGAGTTGTACTTCAGCAACATCTGAAGAGTCAAAGGCTTGTCGCATCTGACATAGGGTTACAGTGATCCACTAGTTCCAAGCAGCTCAGACGCAGAAGATTAGAAGAGATGCTGCACTGATAAAACAGCAAACACGATACTAAAACTCTGTACTAGTTGGCATGATTCACAGTAACAACATAAACCAACTATAGAAAACGCTGCCCCCCGGCCCCACATCCCCACAGAGCATCTCACCGTTTGTAGGCCGAATGGTCATTCTTCACACTGCACTTCATATTTTTCAGCTCATCCAAAACAGCAAACATGTTGATAAACTTTCCAAGAGTGATCAGATATGCTTCAGACACAAAGTCCTTCCTCCTCTCAGCATGACACAAACGCTTCACCTCTCCACAGAATCTTTCAATTGCATTTCTCTGTTGATAAAAACAAATCTCTGTGTTGTTGTTGTTTAAAGTAAGAGTGCTACCCACAGGTTGTAGTGATCAGATTTGTCCATACACTGCTGGTACACAAAATGACTCTCCACGTGAACCATTCATTAAGTAATAAATACCACACATATCTACCATGGAACAGACAAGGCAGATGAGGAAGGAAGGATGCTGGAGAAAGCTTCAATCATGAAAAGCACTGGGAAAGAAGAACAGCCATCAAGTTAGCAAGCAATATTCATTTACCTGAAAGTACATAAAATTCATCAGTTTTGTGACCTCTGGCTCCAGCACTTCCACTGTTTTTTCATAAATTTCCACTCTGTTTGGCTGCTCATTACATTTCACCTGAAAAGGGGAGGGCAGAATTTGTCAGATTATATACTCTTCACACACATCTTCCTCACCTTGTTATAACATTTTTATTTATTTAATTTATATACTGCCCTATACCCGGAGGACCCAGGGCAGTTCACGGAACAAAACTTCTGCACACAAAAATATCTATTTCAAAACATGCAAGCTACACTATGCCACATAACACACCTTCTTATTGAGCACTTGATTCAATAACTATTCTACCAAATGCAACACACTTGAGTCAAGTGCTGGAAAGGGCTTGCCTAGTAGTTCAATAACAGGTTGGTGGTGTCTCTTACAAAGATCGAGAGGGGGTGAGTAGAGTTTCACATTGGTTCTGCCTCTAGTACTACTAAAATAGAGGAAGATCATCTCCAATGTCAGCACCTGCCCTCTTTCCACTGTACAGCACTTCCTCATTAATTTTCTAACGTTGTCCTCTATTGCAGTAAAAAATATGTGTGCTGCAAGAACGAGAAAGCGTCCAAGAAAAAGATGGGAAGTGGTTCCTGTACACTGAGACATGTGCACACACCCTTCAGGCAGGTAGACAGGTGCTGAGAAGGCAGCTGTCCCAGGAGCCAGCTGTATGGAATGGGAGACACAACACCTTTGTAAGAAGCCAAAATGATAGCACTAAAGAGTCCATGTTGCTCCATTACCTGAGGAATGGCTCTTGAGCAGCTTCTCCATGTATACAGCATGACAGCATATTCTTGCCCTTCTTCCAACATTTCGTTCTATCGTAAAAATAAAAGCTGTTATTTTGACGAAGAAGATGCAGAGATGAACACAAAGGGAAGTTTGCTGGAGCTAGCAGTGATGTAAAGAAAGAAATAAAACATCTGCCTGGCATCTCAGAAGAGATAAGCTAAAAGCTTTCATCAGAACACTGACCAAAATTTTGCTTTGACTATTTCTCCAGCTCTGAACATCGCCAACTGGGAATTCTAAGCCCTGGTTTTTCCAAATAATTGTGCTTAGGAACATAGCCAAATCTTTCATTTTCAACAATAATGGTTACAGCTTCAACAAATCACTGAATGAATCATATCCCCTAACAAACGGTTGAAGAAAAAGTTTCTTGGGATGCTTAATTGGTATGTGCCCAATACTAAACTCTCACATTTGAGCAGAATCACAGAACAGTCCAACTGCAGGAACATAGGGTGCTGTGTTATTTATACCAGGTCAGACTGTTAGTCCATCGAGCCAACTGCCTCCTCTGACTCGCAGTGGCTCTTTAGGGTCCTACACAAAGGGCCTTTCACATTGCTTGCTACCCAATCCTTTCAAAACTGGAGATGCCAGGGACTGAGCCTCGGAACTTCCACATGCAAATCATTTGCTCCGTCACAGAACATGGCCCTTCCCTTAAAGACAAAGAACCTGGGACCTCTAGCATCCTAAGTGAGAATCGTGCATCCTCGACCAACCTTCCCTAGCCTGGTGTCTTCCAGGTGTTTTTGGACGGCAATACCCATCAGCTCTAGCCATCAAAGCCGTCCCCTTTAAATCGTAAAAAAGGAAGGCTAAGCAATGAAACTTGCCAATCCAGTATATAACTAAGGAATAATGTAACACCAGATGGCTTATTTTAGCAGAATCAAGGATCACTTGAGACAGTCTAAGTCAGCATTTCTCAGAATTTTTGAGTTAACTCCCTTTAAGCTTCCTCTGGCGCCTCTTCCTAAAACTTACATTTACAGAACTTCTAATGAACTTTTTTTTTATTTGTTGGACCTAAATAATCACAGTGCTACAAACTGAGAAAATACACACACACAAACACACACTAAAAGAATGAAATTAAGCCAAAGTTTCTACCACAGAACAGGTGAAAGTACTGAAAATTATCCAGAACACATGCAGAATATACACATATAGTTTAACACTTTTTTAAAAAAACAACAACATATGAATTTTCCAGCTTGAAATAAACATACTAACGTAATTTCCCATTTCCTTCTACTGTAATCAGATCCTGACAAGAGGAAATTGTTCAGTTTTTACCATGCTACCCTTCCCTCACTTGCCCGTATTTTTTTATGTTGTCACTGTAAAAAAGGAAGAAAAACATAAGAAAAATATTTACCATATTAGAATGAACAGTTGCCTGTTCGATGTATCTTGCAATGCCTGTGACAAATGCATTTCTGTCTTCAAAATTGGTGTTGAAATTTGGCTGCATGAAAAGAAATAAGACACCAAAATGATCAAAGGTCTTGAAGAAGTTTATTCAAATGGTGGTCTTAAACAGGTCAACAAATATTTCATTTTGCAGATGCCATACCTGATAAAGCAAGGATGATGGAGGGGGCTCAATGCACGGTTGTTGGTCTGGCAGTGGCAATTCTTCCAAGAGATCTACATTGGACAAAGCGTCCTCCAAGGTAACTTGGGCAGTCATTTTGGTTCTATAAAGAGAAAACATAACTTTAAACAACTGGCAAAATCCATAACAGGTAGAGATCACCTGCAGCATGCTGTAGACCAGGAATGGTTAATCTTTATCAGGCTAAGGGCCATTTTGACCCATGGGCCCGGCCGTCAAGGAACAGCATGTAAAAGAGGGCACAGCAAAAGCAGTTGTGGCCAGATGGATGAAACCACTTCATTTCCTTTAAACCCAACAAATCTGAGGGGAATCTTCGTGGTGGTACAAATGGTTTCTGCCATCACAGTATCACAGCAGAGTAGTCAGTAAAAGAAAATTGAAACGATTTAAAAAAAAAAAAAAGACATGGAAACAATGGGGGAGGGGCACAAAAAACATTTTGGCATCACAACAGCGGTACTAAAAAGGGGCAGAAAAAACCCTCTCAGAGAGTTCAGATCCTGCAGGATAGGCACGTCCCCCCCCCCCCAATATTCTGGGCATAAAGGTGTCTGGTGTGTGCAAAAAAGGAAATAATGGGATCAAATTCCTTTTGGGTTTAAGCATTAGTCTGGAAGCCACAGGCAAAGAGGAATTCATTGCCCGCAAGTGAGTAGGTTGGTGGAGAAGGATGCAGCACTATCTCTCCTCTGTATTGAGCATAAAACCGTGTGAGATACTAGAGGAATGTAGCCCTATCTTCCACAACAAGCACAGAAATACAGGCCTCCTCCCTTCCTCTGCCAGCCTTCAGGAGTCTTGTAAAACAAATAACCAAATAAATAATATGCAGTATAGTGGCTCCTGTGGGCATATTTACAAGGCTGTCCTTGCGTTCGTATTTCACAAAGAACAGTCAACGTGACATAACTTCGGCCTGTCACACTCGTAAAGAACGACCGAGATGTGAGGAGTACCACATCCTGGGGAGCTTTCACTCATAAGTTTACCACATGTAGGAAACGTTCGGAAGAAACATTCACCAAAGATGACAGGCAGAAACATTAGTAGCTATCACAACAACAAAAACAATTGAAAGGTTCTTGCTTTCTCAAGGAAGGGGAAAACTCTTCCCAAAGCCACACCCTTAGAAGTGATGCTCCTCACTATAAATGTATCATTACACAGCCTCCTGCTTCCTTGAAAGGAGGCTGGAGAGGGGTTTATAGGTGGATAAAACCCAGTAGCCCCTCTGACCCTGCCCCACAACTGAAATGTGGCCCCCAGAAGATTATTCATAAGTGAATGTGGTCCCTGGGCTGAAAAATGTTCCCCATCCCTGGTCCAGCTAAAAGAACCCAGTATTTAAGTTCTAGGTGACTAGAAGTCTGCTTCCAAGTCACCTCCTTTGCCCTGGAAATGCAGATGTGGTGGGATCTGCTACAGTTCCTCATTTATTGTTACTCCTAGAACTGGTAGTGACCTCAAAGGTCATCTAACCCAATCCCCTTCTGAAGCAAGGAGACCCATTGCTACATAATTCCTATCTCACTGCTGAATCCTGGAAATGCAAAGGGATTCTCAAGTTAAGTTCTAGAGCTCAACTTAAAACCTTCTACAATTCCCACATCATGGCTTCTTGCCTGTTATGTTGCCAAACTGTGCATGATGAATTATTTCTTATGCCTCTTGCAATGACAAACCTAGCAACATGATTTCTACATTACTACAGTGGTACCTCAGGTTACAAACACCTTGGGTTACAAACACTTCGGGTTATAGACTCCACTAACCCGGAAGTAGTACCTCAGGTTAAGAACTTTACCTCAGGATGAGAACAGAAATTGTGCGGCGGCAGCGGGAGGCCCCATTAGCTAAAGTGGTACCTCTGGTTAAGAACAGTTTCAGGTTAAGAATGGACCTCCAGAATGAATTAAGTTTTTAACCTGAGGTACCACTGTATAGCCTCTACAGCATCCTTTCATCGCCAGCATTCAATATTGTGCCATTATACCTTGACATGACTCTTCAGTTCCGTCACTGAGTAAGCAGGGCTAAATTTAGTCAGCCGGGTTACTGCCAACCTACAAACTGCATAAACTCACTAATTTAGAAATAGTGACTCACTTTCAAATGGTTTGCCTGTACTTGTGCCTACATACTGGAAGAAAAACAAAGGATGACCCCACTCATAGAAAAACAGCACCTATTCATCATCAACATCATAAACTCTCAATATATGTACAAATTCAGCCAGCAAGAGCTATTGTTGTTGTTTCATTGGCAAGAGGCAGACCAGTACCCTGGCTATTTCCTACATTAGAACAAATTCAATTTTAATTCAACAGGCAAAATTTTAACTCACCAAGCAACTCTTATAAGCTTGGGTGTTGCTTTCAGGTAAATACTGAGAAATTCAAATTTTAATCTTGTAAGCATTTTTACGGCACAATTGTCCGTGACCGCCCTGACCCCATTTTTAAAATGGGGATGAAAAAACAAAACACACTGTAATTCAGTAACTGCTTGGGAGAGAGAGATATCAGAATGAAAACATGTGTGCATACTCAGCATTCCATTCTGTGCTTCAATTTCAAACTCCAGATCAAACTCTCTCCATTATTTTTCAATGATGGTTAAGGAAAGTTGTGAGGAAACTACACTGGGGTTCTCAATATAGTTTGAGATCACCAACTAAAGACTGATATAACCAACTAAACTTGGTACACATGTTTCCATCATAGTTCTCTGCTTAAAGTTCAATGACCAGTTTGATCCCTGCTCCCTTTTCTAATGGCAAAGTGGAAATGGCCCAAGATACATGATGTTATAAATATTTAAAGCAAAGCCTCTCAAATATTGTGCTGTACTTGACTTCAAGTGGGACCAAATCTGCTTCAAAGTCATTTACAGCTCAATCCTAACCATATCTACTTATAAAGAAGTCCTATGGGATTCAGTGGATTTTACTCTGGTAAATGGGGTTAGGATTGCAGCCTTCACTGAATTATCAATTGGTTTTAAAGTTAATTTATTCTTGCATGCCTCATTTAAACATAGTCAGAAACATGTCTTGCATTACTAAGACCACTATGGATTTTCTCTTTGGTTTGTCTGGGCACATAGACTGGAAGTGGGGTGAATGGAACAAACGTTTTGTAGTTTTTCTTCAAGAGATGTGCATACATCTTAGACTTCCTTATTTTAACTCTAAGCAAGCCAGAAAAATCAGCATTTGACTGATAGAGAAACAACAGGAAGAGCGCTCATCAGCACAAAATACTGTGATTCAAAAAAAGAATGAAATCAGCAGATTGTCACAAAGCTACGCCTTGTCTACATTGCAGACCTATTCAGTATTTTTTAGCTTATTCAGGTTTCTAAGCTGTGGGTGGATGAGGCAAAGTGTTTTCCTCCAGGCCCAGCACAGAAACACAAGAAACTGCCGAAAGGAGGGACAGGGTACTTTGCCCCTACTCTAGCATGCAACGAAACTGTGAATATAATTCACAAATAGTTGAACTCAAGGCTGTAGAATGTTCTTCCTGAAGGTGGCTCCATCACTGCCCACCTTCCACTGAAGACTTGATTATTCTGGAGGGCTTTTTATTTAATATTTGTTACTGTGGCCTTTTGGCTGTGATGTTTTAAGTCCATCATAAATTGTTTTATAGTTTTTTTATTGCTGTAAACAAACCTGAAAAACTTTTAGTTGGGAAAGAAGGGGCCTAAATGTTTCAAATAAATAAAAAGGCATCACAGAAGAATTCTGCAATAAGATTTGCCATGTACATACAAACATGTTGAGTTCTCTTCTGAAAGCATTTTTTTTTTTACTATAAACAAGTTCTCAAAGACCCTGAAAAAATTCTTTCCACCATAATGAAGGCAATTATGGTCCCAACAAAGCTGAAACTTCTCAACAGAAACCAGCAAGAAAACCTAAGAGCAAAAAGCCCCAGTACGTGACAAGTAGAAGATCACCTGAACCATCAGAGGGTTGGACTTTGAGGTACCTTGCAGCTCTGATTCTATGAAATAGCAGTCATGCAGTTCTGCACACAGTTATCTTGTACAAAGTATATTTACAGCTGGCTAAAACCGGGCACATAACTTGCACATCTAAGATCTTTAGATGAAGATTCCTTTTTCACATGCAAATTTCATATGCAGCTTAGAGAAATACAAAAAATAGCTACTCCATGCATGAAGCACCATCTGCACAACTTCCTCTCTTTCACTTCTGCTCAGAAAATTCCTATCCAAGGACAGATGCAGTGAATCCATTCAGAGAACCTTAGAATTACAGAGTTGGAATGTACTGGAAGAAATCAAGAGACGTCTATGGATGCTTGGAGACAAAAAACTTGAGTGGCAGAGGGCGGAGGGAAAACTACAGTGTACACTGCAAAAACTGCATGCAATATTCCACTTTTTCTTTCCTGATGAGAAGTTTCCCTATCACTATTTTAACCGGGGTTAGCCAACATAGTGCTTTCCAGATGTTGCTGGAATACAATTCCCATCATCTCAAACCATTGGCCAGGCTGGCTAAAGTTGATGAGAGGGTACCACATTAGCTACTCCTGATCTGAAGAGAATACAGGTGTGGAAGAAAAGCCACCGAACCACCAATAATTTCAACGGAGTACAGCGCGTGCACACCCAAAAACTTCTTGTTTCTATATTAGTTAAAAGAGTCCATGTAACCTGCAACACATTCACTAGTCACATTATGTGTGTATATGTATGTGCATGCTTATCAGCTTCCTACAATCTATCACATTGGCTTTCACTTCTAATAGCCAAATAAATGCTAAATATCCTGGTATCTGTATTACGCCAAATACCTTATTCTTCCTTAAGTCATCTTGGTGCGAGATCCAACCATGTAAAAGAGTGCAGGTAGATTGACATGAATGGATGCCCCACAAACAAGAGAGGACATTGTGTTATGTAAGAGCTAGTCTACCCGCTAGAGTTGTGAACCAAAAAGTTTAGATCCCACTGAGAACTAGATCTAAAAAACACAAGTAAAGTACAGCTGGATGAGGCCCAAGTTCCATTTAGTCCTGTTCTTACAGCGGTCAACCAGATGCCTATGGAAAGCCTGCAACCAGGGCATGTGCTGACCCCAACTACAAGTTCCCAAATTCAGAGGCCTACTGCCTTCGCCAATGGAAAAACAGTCACTGAGTCATCCATAGCCCTACCCTCTTAGTGTGACCACTCCATGGAACTCCTCATGTGAATGGCAGGAAAACACAAGGTGTTCCTGGTAGTCACTTTCAGGAAGCTATCACGTATTCATACGTTGGACCTTGAGGGATGGAAGACGAGAACATGACAAATCCTCCTGAATTCCCTCTTAAAACCATGTCCCTTCCAAGCCACATGAGACTAAGCTCGGGTTCAATTTTTATATTCCATTAGAGTATTTTCTTCAGCTCCTTTTTCGTTCAACTGCATTATCAGCATTTAACTGCAATACTCTGGGCTACTTAATAAGTTTGATTGTTCAATATTCTCTTGAGAATCCCTTGCAGTACAAAGGTGGACTTCATTAATGAATAAAAAATATCATATTGTAAGAGCAGCCCTACTGAATCAGAGTGAAAGCCAGATGCTATTCTAGCATCTTGTTTTCCACAGTGGCGCATCCCATTTAAAATCAAGAAAGTTCAAAACAGTTCTGACAAGATTAGCAATTAAAACTAATGGGAGTACGCAAAAATGGCTGAACTTACCAGATGAGTAAGAAACCAAGAAGAAAGACTTTTAAAAATAGAGTGGGGAAAACTTATTATCTGAAGATGCATTGTAAACAAATCAAAACATTAGCAGGACTGATATAAACATGTGCAGTAAGAGATAAACTCGGGAAAATTGGTAAAAAGATTTGAATTGGATATGCAGTAATAAAAAGATATAAAATAAATAACTGCAGAAAGAAGGGGAGGGAAGTCGAAGGGAATGTAAAGTGGATCTGTAGATTTGTTTTTAAAATATTTGTAAAATGTGAAAAAGAAATAGAAATAAAAGCAAGAAAGTTCACTGGCATCCAAACAGATTGCTTAAAACAGCAAAACACGAGCAGGTGAGAGTTAAGTGAATTTGTGTAGGGTGTTAATTAAATAGTTTGAACAGAGGAAGTAACCTGTTCTTGATCTCCATTCCTGAATGACCAGGTGAAAAATATGTGAATCACAGTATAGTAAATACAGATAACACGGGGAAGAGTAAAAGTAAGAATAGAGCTAAACATAGCTAGTAGACATTATAAAATAATTTTGCATAATGCTGTGGCCAGAACATTAATGTAAATTATGTTCACTACCCCAAAACCCAACTAAAGGGTTCATAATGAAGTTAGTTATGCCTGAATGCTCTAACCCATCCCTAGAATTGAGGCTACTAAAATCAGCCTAAAATGCAACTATTCCAACACCCTGTGTCATATTTCAGTGTTTTGCAAGTTCAACTTTTGTATTAGGGTAGTGAAATGTGAGTGCCTCTCAATGAAAGACACTGATTTTGGAACACCTGAAACCTACACTATATAAACTGCTTACTGCAGAAATTCAGAAAACTACAAGAGAAAGACACACATTTCTGGAAAAGCCTGCCAGCCTTAGGCCTGGCCACTATAAAACAAGTTCATTGTTTTTAATGATTAGTTGCTATTTAATGACTTCAGCTGCTATCCTCTATGAATGTTTATTCTGAAACAAGTCCCATTAACTTCTGTGTAGGTCTGCGATGGATTAGTCAAACTCCACTACCTTGCAGATTGAGGGGTGTTTACCAAAGATTAACTTTCTCACTCTTTCAATGTGTATTAGTACATATCCAAAGTCTCCTGCAAATTAGTCCCTTAGCAAGTTATGATACCTTCAAGTTTCCCCACGCTTTCTGTGAATATTCTCAAAATAGAGGGCTGGTCTCTCTCTCTCTCTCTGGTCACCTAAGACCCACAAACGACTAACAAAACCTATGTGCTAGCAATTTGTCTGGGCTTCTTTACTATGCTGAAGAGACTTAAAACTCTGCATACTGTGTAGGCTATACGACTCCACAATGAAATTTATCTTAGGTCAAGTTGTGCAGGGCGAACATACCACCTTGAGTGTTTATCAAGCGATGCAGGGAGATCTTGCACGCATGTTAGGAGAGCTGGTGCGCGGAAGTGCTTTCCAAATTCCTGTTTTTACACCTTCCCCACGACCTTATCAAGCTGCCCGAGGCCGCTGCTCACCACGGGCAGCAAAACGACACCCGCAAAAGCCCGCCACTGAACCGAGCCTTGCCCTCCCCAAGCCCAAACCCACCCTGGGCTTCCTCCCCTCACCCCCTTGGCTGCTCCGGCCCTCGGTCTCCTTCCAAAATGAGGCGAGGCTCGGGGGCAGAAACGGGGACGCTCCACAGGCAGCGAAACTTCCAAGGAAGTTTGGAACGAAGCGCCGAGGCCCGCCCCAAAATCCACGGGCAGACACTGACGTCCGCCCCTCTGGTTAGGCCATATAGCGGGGGAAGGAGGGCTCGGGTCTCTTGCATGCAGCCGAAGCTCTAAACGCCCGGCATTTTGTTGCAAGAGAGGCAAAGAGGAGCAGCTTAGCAGAGGGCAAGTTCCTCCCCGGGCGGATAAGGGCGCGCCTCAAGGAAAGTTTCTCTCGCGCAGCCTCCAAGGGCGAAAAAGGCCCGCGGCTTACCTCCGCTTGGAGCCCGCGGAGCCCCCGGCACTGCTCTCCCTGAGGCGCCGCTTCCCCCCTCGAGCGCGACGGCGAGAGGGTGCCTGTGCGTCGGCGGAGGGGTCCTCGCCAGGGCCGCTTTCCTTTTCCCAGGGCCGCACGAAGCAGGGAGTTTCCTGTCTGAGTCACTCAAACAAGGAAACCGTGCCAGGAAACACCCTTTCCTGCAGCTCCTCCCCCGTCCCGTCCCAAACCCGCAGCCATTCCTCTCCAAGGCGAAGCTACCCTGGCCCAGCCAGCCAGCCAGCCTCCGGCTCCTCCTTCCTCCCAGCCAGCGATTCTCCTCCCACATCTTGCTCACACAGCCGTCGAAACGGGTCCGGTTTGCAGAGGGAGGGAAGGAGGGAGGGAGGTTGGAGGCGGCGAGCGCTCAGCTCGCAGCCCGGATCGCTGTGAAGTTAGGCACCCCGCACAAAAACTGTTGAACGATTTTGGCTGCACACATCGTGCCTTCTTTCATTGCAAATTTAGGGATTTCGTGGCATATACCCTTTCTAAATCTTCCAGCGTCCTCTCATCCCAGCATCCAGCTGAGTTAATTTCAGAACGATTCTTAAGGTCACAAACGTTCCGCCTGGAATTTATAGACACATGAGGACAAACCGAGTACATCCTTTTTGTAAAGACCAACGCCCATTTTATACCTCGGCTTGTGCTTTTGTCTTTTTTTTTAAAAAAAAATTATCTACCCTCATAAAGCAATCTGGAACTAATGCGTACGTTGGATTAATACAGCTTTAAATCTTGAAGGAAAGAATCCTAAATCTTATCTGGGAATGAGAGCTGCATGGACAAAAGTTGGTGGTTGGTTCACTCCTTTTTTGCTCTAGGTTGCCACAGCAAAGGGGCTTGGTGAAGCTCACTGGTAGTAGCTGGACTGGTTTTCAACCCAGCAAATCCCTTCCATGCCCAGTTCTGCCTTTCCCTACCTCACCCCAGAAACACTTGGGTTTGGGAGAGGAGTGTCCTCTGGGTCCTACTGGCAGTAGCTTCAGCCCACCCACAATTCTGGTGGCCAAAGGGTCACATCCAAACTCTCCAGCACCACAGAGTGGACTTGCTCTGTAAGGTCTGAAATGTGAAACGGCTTTTAAATAATCAGCTACTATACAGCAGCATCAGCTGTATCCCATTCAGAAGGAACATTTTTTTAAAAAGGCCAGCCACATGATTTTATATAATCCATGATTTAAAAGTTGTGCAGTCACCCCCCCCCAAATGTTAGCACTGTTCCGTATAATTTTCTTTCCACACAAGCATTTATATCCCTAAAACTGATACACAGTCCCCAGGTTGCTGGAAGAGACCTGGCCAGTCATTCCTTTTCTGGGTGCCTTTGAAAATGGTTCAGAAGCATCAGCTAGTGCAGTAATCAACAACATGCTTCTTGAGAGGTGAAGACTAGTTCTCTCATATTTCACCTATTCCAGAGCAGAATGTACAGACTCATTTCTTTCCAGCTCCAATTCAAGGCTTTGGATATCAAATCCCTAAAAGGAGCTTCTGAAGGAGACAGACACACACAAGTTAAAATATTCTAAAGACATCCTGATCCTGTTCTGATCTTCTATAGAACCTCTGAAAGGAGCAGGCAAACCAGTCTAAATGAAGCATGTTTAGACCCATTCTACTTCCAAAGACAGCTGAAGACTGTTTTCTTCAAGATAACACCTGTTTTCATGTTGTCCATTCTTGCTTTGTTCATTATACTGATTTGGTTGTTTACTGGGATTATTAGATGCTTTCATTATTTTGAAATCTTATTAAAAACCAGGTTAAATATTTTGCTTTACAAACTGTCAATCTTACTGGGCCAGTGGGAACATTTTGAGAAAGTGCTGTGGATGCCACTCACAAAGTAGTTGGTATGAAGGTATAACATAATACAAAACGGTTGTTGTGAGAAAGAAGGAAATGGCATAACACAACATGACTCCATGGGGATGGCTTCACACAAAATTAGTAATAGTACAGTACTCTTCCCACATCCAGACAACCTCATGCTTGTCATGGGAATCACCTATGCCTTGCTGCTCCTAATTATGCAGATCACATAATATTAATTCCTACCCAGATAATAGTAAGAGAGAAATCCCCAGTACCACAAAAAATATTCAAGTGGATCAAACCACACCTCTCTCTCTCTCTCACACACACACACACACTCATGCACTTCTTACATTCAAGCCACACATACATATTTCACTCTCTCTGTCCAGGTCACAGATCATAAATACAAACAGACCAGAATTCTTTCTCTCTGTGTTTGTGCGTTTCAACATGCATCTCTCCCTCTCTCTCTCTCTCTCTCTCTCTCTCTCACACACACACACACACTCACAAATACTTGAGCATCCCCCTCCTCAAAGTTTCTTTAAAAAAGCCTTTCCACAGGTCAAGGGCATGGCTGCCATTAAAAAAAACTTAAAGAAAATTTCTGGCTTGTATGAGCCACTGCGGGCAATCCCTGTAGCATATATATAAATAAAATAAATAGTACTTACTAAAGTTGGTAAAGAGTTGTGTTCTCAACTACAGTAAGAGGCACAGTGTCATTTTTTTTTTATAGCAAGCTTGGTATTGCCTTAATAAAGAATTAACCAAAAGCTTCACACACACACCCAACAATATAAAAGGGAAACTACCAGTACCTTATAAAAGCAGCAAGTTACAACAGCCAGTTTTCAGACAGTAATATATTTATGGTCATGTGAAGGTTGAGTTACACAATCTTCTACAATCTTCATGATATATTTCCCATGAAATTCCTTCCAGAATCAAATCACTTGCTATCAGGTTTCACAAAAGGCAGTTACACTAGAAATGCATTAGCAGTATAGAGAAGGAAGTATTATCCTTACACATTATGTAAGCAGATAATGCAAACATAGTCCATCCTAATGCACCAGTAATGTTGCTAGCAGTTAAGATTACAAAGCTTAAAAATGAACATTTTGAAGCTGCTAGGAATGCCAAAACAAATGTTAGAATGTTGTGATGTGCAGTAAGTTAATGGTGGCATAAAGTGCCTTACCTGTGCTATTCATTTCCACACACAAAAAAACACAAAACAAAAAAAAAACACAATTCAACAAAATAGTATCATTTGCCATAGCACTACAGCTGCTGGGATTTCAGTTGCAGGTGACATTTTATATTTTGAGAGCATGTGACAATTTATCTTGGGAAAAGGAAAAAGGAAGGCATCCAATGGCTCCGCTTGTGGAATGCTCTCCCCAGGAAAGCTCGCCTCATGCCCTCATTACAGATCTTTAGGCACCAGGTGAAAAAGTTTCTCTATAACCAGGCCTTTGGTTGATGAAACATTCTATGGCCTTTTATGTGTTTGTGGGAGGGGGTTATTGGTTTGCTTTTGTTTTATTATGTATTTTGCGTTCTCATTTTGCATTGTTATGTTGTGAACCACTCTGTGATCTTCAGATGAAGGGTGGTATGCTTATTAAATAAATAAATGTTTCTGAATAAAACATTTCTGCCACTGCATTCAGGGACAGCCTGCAAGCTATGCACAGGAGCAAAGTTCACAGAAATTCTTTTAGAATTTTTGCTATACAGTATGCATTTTAGTAACTGTTCCTCACAGAGGAAAACAAAAGAATGACCTGATCTGATTAAATATTTCCTAATATATAAAATAAATGGTATACTGTATAAATAATTGCATTCAGTGTTTTATTTACAGATGAATGCGTTGTTGTTTTTTACAGTTTCAAGCACAAATATGTACATCCTAGAAATAATACTGCAATCCTGGGATCACTCAAAATGAAAACCCTGCCACACAGTTCAAAATATACTTCATGCAAGCAATCAGCATTGGACGATTACAATATTACACAGAAGATGTTGCAGGCGTTTGAGTAGTTTTATCACATCTGCATTTTACTAACTTTGTTCCATTCCAGCCATGAGTGACAAGGCTAAAGACTCCACTGTGAACCAAAACACAAAGTGAAATATTTTAATGTCTGGCATTTGTATTTTGCATAGTCTCAAAAGAGAAGAAAAATAGCATGTTGAACAAACTGGTTATGAATTACATAGATTTCTAAAGAATCCTTGTTAATACACACAAAAATCTCCCCCTATAATTATCAGCAGATAACTATGCTTTAAAATTATTTAGAGACTGAAAGCGCTAAGAAAGCAGCACAATGCACTTTGCAGTAAATGCCTAATGGTATGAAAAATCAAATGTTACCTTTATTTTCTAAATACTTACAATGTGGGAAGGAACCTCTGCAGACTGCTTTGTTCAGTACTGTCACAAGAAACATGTGGCAGTTTTTAAAGTCAGATTCCATCTTCGTTATTGATTCCATCCTGACAACAGGGCAGAATATTTTAAGTAGACAAAAATAAAGTGGTAGTAAAAAATATAATAAAATTCGTTTTGAGAACAAAAAGGGTTCCTCTTTTCAGTAGGCTATTTTCACTTCTACCTGCACCTTTCCATACTATTCTGGGGGGTCCCCACCTATTTTCAGGGGCTTTTAGTGGAAATCAGCAAAAATTGAACTGGATTAAACCTAAATCATTTTGGCATTAGAATGTCTTAGCCAAATTTTTTATTGTAAATGCACAGGTACCTAGCAAATGGAAGGGTTTGTTCTTGGATGTGGCCTCTATGACTAGTTTTTCCTCATTACTGTTCTTTACTCTAAAGGAGATGCATGAATATGCAGAAAATATATCCAGATATCAAGCTGTTTGAAATAAAAAAAAAGATATAGGGGTCTACACAACACAACTGTTGTAACCCCTTTTAAAAATAGCTTTGCATCTTCAAAAGATCAAATTAAGTCACTGGCTGAGAAACTCATGATTCTCACACCATAAAAGCACTTCAAACAAAACTTCAATGCATTCAATATTTCCCAGTAGCACCAATCAAAGAAAAATTATTCAGACCATACTGATCCTGTTTGGTACTTACACCAAGTTAAGGCTACATTAACTTAATACTTTCTACTGTTAAGCATCTAAAAGTTATAATTTATTTTATGAATGTATGATTTACAACCTTATCTTTAAAAAGCATGCTGATTTCAAGGCAACATGTGCCCAGAGCTGATGAGATCTATCTTAAATCCATTTCATTCTTGGCCACGCGATTAGTCTCTTGCCTGTTCCACTGCATCCTAGCCAATATTTCATGTAAGGGATTAATGCCATTTAAAAGCCTAATGCAGTGAAATTATTACAATCCAAATTATTTTGTGTGTGCTTACTTCCAAGCTCCCAAACCAGCTTGCCAACGGTCTGCAAACATCAGTACTAGGTTCAGCACTTTCATTATAGCTTCTTTCACAAAACTAACCTGTAAATGACATTTTAAAAGTAGCAGCTGTGATCATAGTTCCATACTGAAGTTCAAGGCAGTTCCACTTCCCTAGTGCATTTTCCATTTTTTCCAGCTCTCCCAAGTGGTTCCAATGCTCTACCCAATGTAAAAGCTATCCACCCAAAACTAGTGTGGGCTGAGGGTTGTGCATGTGTCCTGTCCCCATGGCTCTCTGACAGCAAAATAGCAGGATGTAAGTGCTAACTCCTAGTCAGGCAAGGCTAGGAGTTTCAGTGGTTGAGAAGGAGGAACTGCTTCCATTCAGCTTAGCACACACCTCCACAAGTTTAAGCCCTACCCCCAGGCTTTGATCCTGACATCCACAGCAGTATTGCACTGCAGAATCATTATAGTCCTTCCTCTTCTACCTACTGATAGAGAACATACACCCTCTATCAATTGTGAATGAACGAAGCCTTCTCAATGTTTTGAAACAGTTGTTTCAAGAGCTTTTGTAAATATAATAAAGGCTCATTCAGATAAGTGTTTAAACAATTTATGCAAACAATTAAATCAAAATATTGGGCAAATAAAATATTCTAAGTCTCCTGGACAAACAATGAAAATGCTATTTTAAGAAGGTTAAGGAGCTCTGCTCACCCTCACAATGACCCAACAGATAATTTTTTTCTATAGCAGTTATAGAACGCGGACGCGGGTGGCACTGTGGGTTAAACCACAGAGCCTAGGACTTGCTGATCAGAAGGTCGGCGGTTCGAATCCCTGCAACGGGGTGAGCTCCCGTTGCTCAGTCCCAGCTCCTGTCCACCTAGCAGTTCGAAAGCACGTCAAAGTGCAAGTAGATAAATAGGAACCGCTCCGGCGGGAAGGTAAACGGCGTTTCCGTGTGCTGCTCTGGTTCGCCAGAAGCGGCTTAGTCATGCTGGCCACATGACCCGGAAGCTGTCTGCGGACAAACGCCGGCTCCCTCGGCCCATAGAGAGAGATGAGCACCGCAACCCTAGAGTCGGTCACAACTGGACCTAATGGTCAGGGGTCCCTTTACCTTTACCTTTTTAAGGAGCTCTGCTCACCCTCACAATGACCCAACAGATAATTTTTTTCTATAGCAGTTATATATGATATAAAACCCCTGAATAGAGTGCAACTGTTATAGGTATTTGCTGTGTAAACTAAATACACCATAGTAGTCTAACTTGATGTACCTTTTCTCTCAGCAGGCAGCGATCATGGATTGTAGAAAGGTATCTGTAATGAATTTTAATCAGCTGGTCTAAATCTTTGGCTTCTTCTACTTGATGTTGAAATTCTAAACCTGTACTATGAAGAATCTTTAGAAAAACAGAGTGATTAAACTTTATGCTTAAATCTTGTCTTTAGCACACTTCTATGAAAAATGTTTTACACCTCTAATTTTTCTCCAAGATCACAAGCTGAGCTGGCTATTAAACATTTTATGTTCTGCAAAGGGCTTCTGTTTGCAGTACACGGAATTAAGAGTTCTGGCAAGAATACAGTAATACGGAAGGATCTATCACGTGTTCCAAAAGCATTGTGACTTAGTAGAATTGGGTTATTCAACATCTGAACAGCCACTGCTATTTTAAACATATTCCGGATATTAGCTAAAACCTAAATGAATGAGATGTACTTCTGCCATACAAAATGAAGGTCAAACTACCTGCACCTATGTCAGAAGTCATTCTGGACTGTTAGGGAAAGTAGCACATTAATAATGAAATTATAATGCATCACATACTCTAGTCATGATGTAGTTATGCAGGCTGTTAACAAAATGCATTAGTTTCATCCTCAAAAGGAACATTCGATGAGTTTGTTGCTTAATGGGCTCCAATTGTGATCCAAAGTGAAGAAATGTCTCTTGCTCAAGTACAGCTCCTCCTTTGTTCTGGGGCTTTTCTGCAGCCCTGACTAGTTCTTAAAAGAGTTAAAGACAACAGAATATTACAGGAAATGGCAAGACCGCAACTACAATTCTGCCATCATCAGCATCTGAACAGTTCAGGTGCCCTTAAATTCTTCAGTAGAAAAAATCTACTGATGCCAATAAACTGTTCAAACAGCAGAGGGCAGGGTTTCTTTGATGTAAAGACAACAAACATAAATCAGGACATCAATCAAATGCACAGGATCCACATTTTAGTAAAATCACTATTAACAGGGAAGAGTTAAAACTAAGTATTAAGATACATTTTTATTATAAGTAAGCTATACAACACTTTATAAAATCAAGAAATGCAAAAATATTTTTAGAACCACCACATCATAGCATTAAGCTCCTTATAGGATTTCATGAAGAAAAGAAGTAGGGAGTTTCCAGCTCTTATGGCCTGAATTTTTGTTTGAGTTGGAAAAAACTGAAGAACTTTAGTGCCCTGCCTCCTACTTCCTATGACTATACAGAATAAACTACAGAATGTACACAAAAAGGCAAACTTGCATAACCTACAGAACCAGCCCTGACACTAACAGTCTGTTAGTAAAATTAATGAAGGGTCTTGTGGTACGTTTTTGTAAAAAAGTGCCACAATATTCTTTTTGCACAAAGAACAATTTGGGTACCGAGTCAAGTGACAAAATTCAGTTTTTCTCAGTACAGACTATTTTTGGCAGAGCACACACAGCTCTGTATTGCAGATAAACAGCTAACCACATCTACTCCAGATCAGATATAGTTCAAAGCAATCTACTTGCTCTTTTTATAAACAAACAGTGAAGAATTCACAGTTGGAGAATGATTTATGTAACCAAAATGACAACATTCACACACAAGAGAAGGGTAAAAGGAGGATCAAGGAGATATCAGCAACTCCAGAGTACACCAAGTTTTACAGGAGTACAAAAAACTTTAGTGGAAAAACGTGAAAGTGGCAATTTCCTTACCTACTCCCCACAATAAGTCGAATGAGAAGTGAGCATGTTCAGTGGGCATGGAGTGCTCACTGACCATTGGGGAGTGAGAATGAAATGGAGTCTTCTCAAAAAGGTCATGGCTGACTAGAATCCTAAACAGATACATGGTACACTGCAACATCTTGTGGCAAGTCCCACTTGTCCTTCTGATAACCAGCCACTATCTACTTATACTTTGCCACAATACCTTCTTTTCCATAATTCCTTCCCTTTACATGCTCTGGTTCGCCAGAAGCGGCTTAGTCATGCTGGCCACATGACCCGGAAGCTGCACGCCAGCTCCCTTGGCGAGTAAAGCAAGATGAGCGCCGCAACCCCAAAGTCATTCGCAACTGGAGTCTCTTTACTTTTTACATTATTTTTTGTCCTTTGCCGTATCTTCCCAGAAAGTATTGTGCTCTTTCAGAAGCTGGAAGCAGTGTAACTACAGTTCACCAATTATTAGTGTTATAGTTTCAGTTATACAGAATAAAAGAAGTGTCCATGAATTACCTTACCATGAAATCGTAATACATCCAGACTATATTTGGCCCACTTTATTTGTAACAATAGAAGAAACACTTGGTTATAGATTTTTTGACACTCCACACTTATAACTATATCCACGGGCCAGGGGACCTAAGGAGGAAAAACATTATTGAAGACATTACTTCATTTTCCCCTCATCTCTATATTACCTTATAATTAAACCATTATTGTATTTCAGTTTATTTAATTTAAACTAGTGTTACCTTGTAGCTCAATATTAAGCCATCCAAGGTATGAACAGGAAGCTTCTTCTTTGTTATATCTATGTTTTCACACAATATAGACAACCTGCACACAGAAACACATACTCGTTACCATTGTTTTGCTCTGGGAGCTAGGCAACTACTAGGCAAACGAAACAAATGAAAAATCAGATAAAATCAACACAGCTAAAATTACTTCCGCTGCAAACTTTGTAAAAGGATATTAGGTATCTATGCTGACAGAAATAGCTACAGTCTAAATAAGACAGAGAAACCTTAATACTCTCAAACAGGGTAGAATGCAAATGCAGCAATAAAATGTATGTCTTTTAAACAGCCTTGGCTTTTCCAAATTATGGGGGGAAAGGCTATATTTCACGTGCCATGGTTAGCAAGATGTACAAGGTATCATTTACTCTCCAAATACAGCCAAATAAACACTTTTTCTTAATCTTTTCCTAGTCATACCAGGCTCTCCCCTCCCACCCAAATGTATACTGTACATATATTTTGCATGCTTATTACCTTAAACTATCCTCTGGATAACGCTGTCCAACTGCCTCTTGGAGCTGGACATTGAGAAATGGTTCGCTCTGCCATGTGTCTTTCTCTCTTATTTTATCAAAAATGGATGTATAGAAGTCATACATAGTATCACCAGCCTCAAGCAAGAAAAAGTTTCTCATAGCCTGCAAGTACTCTACCAGCCTAAGAAACAAAAACACACATTTATTCAAATTTCACTTCATCATACTTTTAATACTTAAGCTATGCTAGGAAACCTTCCAAATATGAACCATTAAGGACACTGAGCTCAAAAAAAAATACTTTTTTATTATTATATACAAATACTAGTAAACTTCATGGCTCAGAAGACCCAACTCCTGTAGTAAGAAAGCTGCATCTTGCCTTAAACTCTATTTTCACTGTATCACTCTGCTTGCCAGCATTCTTCTGTCAGAGCATTACGGTAACTTTTTCTGTCAACCATGTACCCACCCTTTCTACTGTTGAATTCTGTGATACTTTTGCCTCACTCTGCTGTCGCCCCTTTTGCAACAAGAGTGACCCAGATGCTTCCTCCATAAGAAAGACTGGGTCCCTAAGCTGAGTGAGTGAAGTAGTATCAATCACTAATGACTGGAAATCCGATCCAGGTCTCTACTACTGCCTTAAGCATATTACAAGAACTAATAAAGTCATCAGTGCGTAAGTATTTTAATTCTTACCTATAATCTTTCTTCAACGTTTGCATTAAGTTTCCACAGCACTCCAGATACTGTCTGTCTATGTGAGGATAAAGACATGACCTCAATGTCAGTTCAAATGTCTGGCACGTAACTGATTCGGATGATCTATCCACGCAAACATCATCACCAGTAAGCGTCTCATGAAAACTGCCTTGTTCCAAATACAACCTACAAAATAAAATATAATAATAATAATAATAATAATAATAATAATAATAATACTTGACATGAAATATCTTAAGAATCCTCTTTTAATACTAGAGCTGTTTGTGATGAGCAAAATCTGCTGTAGAAATCCCATGAAGTTCCACTTCAAAGCTGGGAGACAGTTTGCCACAGGGTTTCTAGCTTTATAGCAGGATTCTGTCTGGAATACTGTGAATTGTGGGGAGGAGAGAGACAAAATGTATTTGGCATATTTTCTAGCTTCTGTGGGCCTTGCAACTTTTACAGCAACACATGCTGGCATCTAGAAACCTGTCACCAGCACCTACTAGTACAAAATTTCAGTGTAGGATGAAACCTGCATTTGCAGATTGGGCCCTCTTACCAATCTCACAGCCCTCTGGACAGACCTTAACAATCTGTAGGTGCTAGATGACCTTCTGGAACTTATCAGAATTTTCCCCTCCCCCAGTTAAAAAAAACAGCCCAATTCTAATACAGTGGTACCTTGGTTCTCGAACTCAATCCATTCCAGGAGTCCATTTGATTCCTGAAATGGTTTGACAACCAAGGCTGACTGCAGGAGCTTTCTGCACTCAATCGAAAGCCGCAGAAGCCGCATCGGACGTTTGGCTTCTGAAAAAAGTTTGCAAACCGGAACACTCACTTCCGGGTTTGTGGTGTTCAGGATCCGATTTGTTCAGGAGCCAAGCCGTTCAAGAACCAAGGTACCACAGTAGTTTATTTCTATGAACAGTAATCTTTGGGTTCATGATAAGCAAAACATATCATTAAAAACAAGCTACAAGGCGCAACATTATAACTGGGCTTTGACAGATTCATATTTTTCAGGAATTTGTGACTATTTCCCCTCTTCCTCACCCCCAGACTCTCATGATTCTCTCACAAACCGGAAAACAGACACACAATCTAACCAACTCGTCCTGTACTTCCTCAGACACAGCGTATCTCTAAGAGGGAACATACCTACCTAAAATCAGCAACAGGTTTTGCTGCTGTGTTTTTACACTATAGATCCTGACAACTGCTGTGGCCAGTGCCTAAGGCAATAAAGAGTAATGATGTATGGCTTCTGAAGGCTAGTGTGACAAGCCGCTTCTCAGCAACTTGGATTCCAAGTCACACACCAGCTGCCTGAACAGAAGGAATTCCCCAATATGTGCTTGGTAGAATCTGACTTTGGACAGTGACACAGTAGGGAGAATCAATTATTTTGAATCTCTTCTATTACCTTGCAAAATTAATAGCCAGCAAGGGATCGTGAACATCATCCAGCTCTAAGTGTCTTGCTGCAATAGACTGCATCTTTATTAGACTTTGCTTGGTGGCCTGCTGTTCTGTAATGATATCTTGAACAGGTTCCTCCCCGTGCCGTAGGCGTGACTGCACAGACTCCAGAAATAATGTGTACAAGCTCTTCCTCTCTGCATCTGAATAGGACAGAGATATGTATGGTAGGTTATTACTTACTTCTCAGAAATAGCTGTTTGTTGTAAGCCACAATAAAAAAGAAAGAAAAAGAAAAAATGAACTATTTTTATCTCTGAACTGAGTTCAGAAAAAAAAAATGGGAGGTGCTTTAAGGTAGGATTCTCAAACACTGTAAGCCTATTTAACACATAACACTTGCACTCCTTATTGCTTCTAATGCTCCAGTAATGTTCAATAAAGAAACAATAGTCCATCTGTCAGAGTAGACCCGCTGGTGCATGTTTGACAGCGCACTTGAGTCTTATGATTAAAACCACAGAAGTTTGACTGCGCAATGCACACTGGGATATTTTCACAAGATAAAAGTTTCACATGAAAACAATCAGGTGGTGATGGCAATTTAAACAAACACTTGCCTCCACAAAATGGAAAAGTTAGGTTTATAAAACATCCTCTAAGGAAAAAAGAAAATGGATACCAGAAAATAGCATTTATCTTGGTATTTTACACTGTTATGATAATATTTTCTGGGCTGGCTAAAAATTAACAATAATGAAAAATCATTTAAATTCTAATATAATCTATCAGTAGTCTAATAATTGATTTTTAAGATTTTTAACAATTAAAGGAGTAAAATTCAGTGGGAAATAGAGGGACCTATATCTGAAATGCTAAATACCTACCAATATGCCAAAACTATTTTTTCATTGCTATTTCATTACTATGTGGGCTGCATTTTCACATGAAATATGAAGTGCTGCATGCCACTAAAACCAGGAATAATAATAACATTTACACAGTAAAATAGGATTTTATCACCTCTTGATGCAGCCTGCTGTGGAGAACCATCTGTGCACTGCAAGTTCTTCAACAACTGCATGGACTTTCCAGCCATAATGATCTGTTTTAGTACAGGTTTCAGAAAAGAGACCATGGTATGCTGTCTACTTGAGGGTGCCTGATCACTGCCAGAACTGGCACTAGCATTATCACTCATTTTTTCTTCATTCTCTGTCTTTTCCGACACACTATACAAAGTGTAGGTAGCATACCAGAAATCCCTATGGTTAACTGGAACGTTTTTGTTTCTGCAAAGACAGACATGCGATCATTAGTTCTTCCATAGGAAACTATAACACTTCCTAATTCTTTATATCATGACAATGATTGAAAATAGCCTGAAGCAGGTGATCACGTTGAAGATAAACATTCAACCACAAGATTAAATATTTTGGGGGTCTTGTTAAGGTTCAGAATCCACAGAAACAGCTTTGAACTCTCAGAACGGTAATACAAACATTCTGATTGAGAAAATACTAAGTTTTTAGAACTAGGATTTACAGATCAACAGGATAAGGCTCTTATATCTTGCAACACATATCTGTGCCAAGGCTTTACCGAACACGTAACAGTAGTTAAATGATGTTATAAAGCACAAACTAGCCATGGCATTACAAATGTCTTAAGCAGGAACACTGAAAAAAAGGAACTGCAAGCATAAGCTCTTGTAGCAAACATGCCTTTGAGTTTCCTTCAACCCACATATTCATGATTTAAAAATCCCAAGCTCACTTTCTACAATTAACATTCAGTGAATAATATTCTCACAAAATTAAACTAAGTTCCAATACAAGGTGCATATCACAGCCCAGCTGCACTGCTATAATATTTTTCATTAAAACATTTATCCTAGATATAGCTTGCTTGTCATTTTATTAATTACAATCACCCATGTTAACTCAATTGTCCTGGTCTGTCTCAGCCTTGCAGAAGATGAAGATTACAAGTCAGCTACATTTATACATGGAGTCTCTTATGGTCAAGGGAGACGAAACCCTATGACTGCACAGGAAGCTGGTAGTTAGCAAGGGGGGAAAGTCTCTTACATGTGCAGTACTGCTTTTGGGTTCAGATACTGCCATATAGGAAGTGTTCTCTGCCCTAAGAAACACCAGTATATCCAAAAGACAAGTTCATTATCCCTACCTCTGAATAATAAATTCTTTTGCAGGATCAAATAAGTTACCGTGGACAATCCACTCGTCCACTGTCTGTAAATATGGCCTCACTGTTTCAACCCAGAGAGAAAACAAGAGGGATACCTGCAATGAAATTTTAAAGAGGATTATTGGGTGATTTATAAATATTTCATGAATTCACTAGTAAAGCATATATAGCCTCTCCAATGTGTTTACAGTATACAGTCAAGGAAAACGATATGCACACATAGGAAGCACTTTATCTTTTTTGTAAACGGCATACAATGAATTTCAAATCCTAACTATCACAATCAGCTGTACAAACATTTATAGTTTTGCAGAACATATTGTCTGAGCATAGGAAGACACTACAACTGCCACTTGTATATTAAAGTATTTATAATTTATGTCTAGTCATCAGTTGACTGAAGTAATAACTTATTTTTCTCTTACAGAAATCATGATGAACACCTTCTACATACCGTTTGTTCAGAGGCTTCCCCAACGTTATCGTAGTCAAGAATCGCTTTGTACAGGGTATTGAGCAAATGAGATGCTCTTACAACATTGCGAGTGTCAGGAGGTACTTCTGCTACTCCAGTGCTAAAAACCTTATGAAGTATATTGAGCTGAGCTAATCGATGTGATAACTTATCCATGACTATGGAAAGAGTGATTGTTGCATCTGTAGAACAGAAATACAGTCATGTTTCATAATGCGTGGTTATTAGTTCACATCTTATACTTTCACAACAGATTAAGACTTATAGAAACTCTTCAACTATAATCCAAAGTATACTACCTTTGTTGATTATGCTCCTCTCAATTTCGGTAAGTTCCTCTTTGAAACTTATGAAATATTTATAGAGGGCTCTCATGAAAGCTTGATAGGTTCTAAATGCGGCTTCTGCCGATTTCTTGGGAGTAGAAATGATTCCATGTATTCCACTTTCTGAGCTGTGACCCATTATTTCATCAATAAACTTCTGCAGCCTAAATACAACTTGCCCATATGCTGCTATCCGCTCCAACATTGATCTTAACGAGTTCTGCAAAACAAATGTGGTTTCGTTTCGTCTTTAGTATTAACACTCCAATATAGAAAACTCAGAGGGTAAGATATCATCTTTTGCAAGCAATCCTTCTTCCATGTGCCAATATAAGGCTTTCTTTGCACCTTGATTACTGATCTAGATTGATCAGTGAACTTACGTGGGTCAAATGAGTCACCATGATGTCATTTCTCACAGTAATCTTTCCATCATTCAGTTGAAATATAAACAGATTTTTTACGCCTGAAAGCAGCCTGTAAAAATAAGAACTGACTTAGCATGTACAAAACATAGTACAACACACAGTACAATTTTTTAAGACTGCAGAAACATCATTATATATACAAAATATAGGATATATTCAAAAGGACCCCAGACAAATATTAGGTCTTACAAGTTTGACTGATTTGGACATACCTTTGGATTAGATCTATGTGTTGGTGAAATGGTGGCATGGATAAGTAGTTTTGTAATAGTTTGGGGAAATTGTGGTAATTTTCTCCATCAACTTTTCATAAAGCGGGCTCAACTTTACAGAGTACATCACAAGAAAATGATTTGCAGACTGCATTAAGAAGGTGCTTATTTTTCAAATTCATATTGTTAATGCTTGAGGGGGAAACAGCTTGATTTTGAGTAACACAATTTTCATTGTATCTCTCACTGACAAGAGGCATGCTAAAATGAATTAAATTTACACAAGAAAGGTAGCAAGGTCTTTTAAGATAACATTTAGAATTACTGTATTTCAAGAGCAATGCAAAGCATTAAATTCCTTCTAAAGCTGCTCCTTCTAAAGCTATTGCAATACCAGAATTGTCATTATGAGTGATGGCATTGAAGTAAAGGAATAGCATAACCACATGAGTCTGAATGTTGAGAGTATTCCATGAAAGAACATTAAACAGATTTCAAGTGGTAATTTCTTTAGTCCTGCTACTTACCAAATTGTTTCACGAATGACTTGTGTTTCAGTAACAATGATTTTTTCTTCCGGCATGTACAAGGGATCACTAGTATATAAGTGCTGCTCCCTAGAAGGAAAAAATCATCATTACTTTTTACAACCAAACTTGCTGGTAACCAGTATCAAATATTATTCCTTTTATTTGCTCCTCTCCTGCAGATCCAATGTACTTAGGGAATCAAATGAATCATTTCTGCGTTATTTCTATTTTTAATGCATATGAACTACTCTGTTTCTAGCTTGAAAAGCTCTTTGAATATTTTAAATGCATCACTTCCTGTCAAGAGTTGCATGCTATGCTTAAATTGCAAACTGCATACATCATTTCTGACACCATTATGACATAAGAATAACAGAGGCCCAAGATGTTTTGTAATCCATCAGAGATATTCATGACAGTTTCAGAAATCTAAGCATTTCTTCATGCATATTAAATTCAGTTTTATCAATAGTACACATATATACAAAATAACCAGAGAGGGGAGTGTAGGGCAGGAATCAACCCAATATAGCATTTCATAGCATGCAATGGCATCTGCAACAGGGTTTTTAGAAATTATTGTAATGTAGTAGTCTGCTGATCATAAATTATATCCTCCCAACACAAAATTAACTACTTACCATACAGCCGCTAAATTGGAATGAAAATGCAAACTATGGGGAAAACGAACTCCTCTGCCAGTCCAGTATTGAGCAACTACATGTTGCTCTAGCCAGGTACGTGCATCAGGTTCACCTGCATACAAGATATTTCACTCCAGTTTCCATTTACATAGAAGAGAAAACTTTATAATGTAAATAACAAGAGCAATCCTAACATGTCTATGGGGAATAATGCCCCACTGAGTTTAACAGGGTTTCATCTCCGGTAAGTTTACAGTATCCTAAATCTCAGGAGCAATAAGGCAAACTGAAATAGGTGTCAATTTGAAAATTCACAAACCAGAAACAGATGTTTCCAGAAGCAGGAAAAAAATTTAGACCCATGGTCACTAAGATTATTGGTTGACCAGGAAGCTGGACTCAAAAACGGCATCTCTTCTATACTGAGCAAGAGCCTAACAACTCTCCTACTATGAAACTGCCTGAAAATAAAATACAAGCATGTAGCGGCAAGAGCATATTAGAGGGGGAAGTGTCCAATGGCACGCTGGACCCAACCTCATAGTGCCTTGGTGCCTAGCAACTCTCTCAAAAGGGAATTTGGCCATAGCGTAACTGAGGGCCCCTCCTACTATGGAGTTCAACCAAAGAGAGGCACCAAACATCATGGTTTGTTGCCAAAACACAAACTCTAGTTTTCCTGCTTTGTGGAGTATTGAGACTTGCCAGCTCAAGTTTCAATACTAACTATACAAACTTTCATAAAGTTCAAAGCAATTAGGCACATGACAGCAATATGCTTCACAAAAGGCAAAAACTCTAGCCAAATGAAGCAAGTCTTGAAGAACAAACCTTTCCATGTGACCTGTGATGACTTCTTGTTTTGATCCTGATCTTCTTGGGGTGTCCTGTCCACCTGAATGCCAGAGTCTTCTCTACTCAGTGGTTCAGTATCTTCATCATCATCACTTACGTCAGACCACTCCTGTAAAACATAAGCATACAAAGTGTATTTTAATTCAAGACAGGTGGGAACCTTACAATGCATTTTTACAAAATAAAATGAACATTTTGTTGTATTACCGTATGTCTTAACAGCTAAATCAGATCCCCCTTCAACCTATTAACAATGCCTTTCTTCACAAGTTCCATCACCAAACACCCTAAAAGCATAATCACTGCCTCATTAATTTAGATTAAAAAATCTATCTAGCTTGGCACTCTTCTTCCAACACTGGCCTGACAAATGCCACAGAAAAGCTTATGAGCGGAGCATAATAATGGAATGCTCTCCCCAGAGAGGCTCGACTGGCACATTCGTTGTGTACTTTAGGTGCCAAGCAAAAACATTCCTCTTCTCCCAGACCTTTGGCTAATTAAACAATCCATGGTCTTTTTAAGGGGGGGGGAGTTGTTTTTGTTTGTTACTATGTATTTTTATATTATAAAACACACTGTGATCCTCAGGTGAAGGGCCATCAAGAAATTTAGTAAGTCATAATAAAAATTTTAAAAAGCAGATAGATTTACAGAAGACTATGGTCTGCAGAAATAGTTCCCCAGTTTTCCAATGTATCCTGTGACTTTATAATGCAGTTCTATGTATTACTTACTGGTGTTTCTAAATCAGGACCATAGTCAAATTCTTCACCTTCCATCAAGTATTTCCTCCAATCAAATTCTTCTTTTTCTAGATTAAAAAAAAAGCAGGTCTGTAGTTTTGGGATATTCCTGGATCCAACATTGTCACTGAAGGCTCAAGTGACCTCTTAGAATGGCAGACAGGTAAGAAATCAAATAAATAATCCCATTTCTTCCAAGAATATGACAACTATGTAAGTAGTCTGAACTACTACAGTGCAGAGAGATATGGAAATGCTAAATAATAGTATACATTATTTATTATACATTATTATATTTCAATATACATGGACAATCTAATACTAATAACTCACAAATAAAAAGGAATTGTATGAGATTAACAATCATATTATATAAAGGTTTCAAAAGGGATGAAACATTCAGTTTTCCCATTTGGTTCCTGAATTACGTGTAATATATTAAAACCTACCCACTTCTTTCTCTCTTGGTTTTTCTGCATAACTGGTGTTGGAAGGAGAATCAGACAAGCACAACAGAAGAGAGAGTATGGCATAATGGGCATCTGTCTTAAACAGAAGACAAACAAATAATTCAGTGGAGGAAATGTATTTGTCAATAGTTATGGAAATGAATAGACTGGACTTCTAGTACAACGATATATTTAGAAATGCAAAATAAAAGCTTCAGTTTATCACACATCTCAATACAGCAGTAAAAGGATCACGATGCAGAATCACATGAAAAACAAGACACTAGGCTACATAACAGTGCATTTCAATTAGCTGAAGTCCGTATTTCATAATAATAGCTTTTAATCTGCACAAATTGGTCAGAGAAACATTACTAAAACTGGAATTTACTGCCTTCATGGTAAATCTCCAACTGTTTGAACAATTCAAGTTCTTAGTACAGATATTTAAAATGCTGCTAAGCACAAAATGTTTGCTGTGTTGATAAATTAATAAGTAAATTATATATATAAAAGCTAGGATATCTATTATGAAGCAGTTAATACAGTTAAGTTAGAACAGGAAATTAGAACTATAAGAACTCTGTAAATAAAGACTACTTATTCTCCATGGTATGTTCCTTATTTAGAAAGAAAGAATACAACACAACTGAAATCTGTTTTCTAAACTGCATACCTTTGTTCCTTCAGTGGTTGGAAGCGGAGAATTCAGAAACTCTTCTGTTAAACTCTTCCAGCTTGCAGCTTTAACAAGGTCTGAATGAACTATCAGCTTTTCATAAATCCTGTATCAAAAAGTTCAGTGCTTATAAGTAAATCTGTCAACAGAAAACAACTAATCCAATGTCATAAAAATAGAAATGCCTTACCCCTCTATTATTTTGTCCACTTTGTGCTGGCTGACATCAAGAAATTGATGAAACCTAAAGAAAAATAATAAAATATCTATTGCACCACATAGTTTAATTTTTCAAAAGTTTTGCTGTAGAATATGCAAGTAAGACTTGCAACAAAATGTTGCAGTGTGGAGGACTCCTGTTGACTATTCCAGCCAGCCAGCCAGCCCCTTTTCTAGGATACTCCATTCTGCTGCTCATTCCACCCAGATTTTTCCTTTCTCCCCACCCCTTTCAGTTAGCATTCCACGACCAGTGATCATGCCCAGTCCTCAATAGATTAATTTTTTGGGTTCCCCCTTAGTGTTTAATTTCTAATGATTTTTTTATGTCTGCAAACCTTGTGCCTTTTGATACCCCTCTCTTGTAAGTGAGTGGTGGAGTTTTAGCTACAGAAGCTATGGCATTCACAGCCTGAATTTTTTCTATCTCTCAAGCATGAATTGGAAGTGAAATGCCACTATTCCTAACCATTGACCATGGTGGCTGCAGTTAACAGGAGTTGAATTCTAAGAGTGCAGGAAGCTGCCTTATACAAAGTCAGACCCCCGCATATCCAAGTCAGTATTGTCTACAATGACCAGAAGCAACTCCCCTAGGTTTCAGAAAGGGACATTCCCATTCTTAACTAGGATCTTGTGAATAAAAATCAGATGTTCTACTACTAAGCTACATTCCACTTCTAGAAGAAAAGTAAAAATTTTATATGCACTTATACAGCAGCATAGGAAGCTGCATTAAGTAGTTAGAACATTGGTCTATTTAGCTCAGTATTGTCTCAGTATTGTGGTGCATGCTCTAGTTATCTCCTGCCTTGGACTACTGCAATGCGCTCTACGTGGGGCTACCTTTGAAGGTGACCTGGAAACTACAACTAATCCAGAAGGCAGCAGCTAGACTGGTGACTGGAAGTGGCTACCGAGACCATATAACACCGGACCCTCCAAGTGCCCCTATTATCCAGGCACAGTCCTGGATTTACAGAAGCCATCCCAGTTTCTGATTTGATCCACGAAGGTTCCGCTTTTCCTTAGGACATCCCTATTTTCATTAAAGAAATGGAGGGCACGGAGTTACGTGAGCCAAGTAGATAAGTCACTATACAACCTTTAGAAGACACTCGAGGGCAGACCTGTTTAGGGATGTTTTTTTTTAACATTTCATGTTTTATTATGTTTTTATATATGTTGCAAGTTGCCCAGCGTGGCTGGGGAAACCTAGTCAGTTGGGTGGGGTAAATAATAAAAGTTTATTATTTTATTTTATTTATTTATTTATTATTGAATGAATGAATGAATGTATATACTGCCCTGTACCCTGATGGATGGATGGACTGATGGATTGAATGAATGAATTTATACACCCTCCTATACCCGGAGGTCTCACGGTGGTTTACAGAACAAAATAGAAATATAAAACCACTATATATATATACACAGTATAATCAAAATAAAAACAACCCCCAATAACACCCCTCTCCAAAAAAGAGCCACATTTTAAAAAGTCAAAGGATGTCATAGAATAGTATTATTATTATTATTATGGAATAGGACATCCCTATTTTCATCGGAGATATGTTGGAAGGTATTAGGAAGGTTGGCTACAAATGTACTAAACAACTCGGGGCTGGATCCAGTCTTAGCCAGACTTGGGGGGCGGTAAACCCAATGAAACCAGTGGGCCTTCTCTGAAGCGTGACTAAGCCTGGATCCCACCCATCAACCCATTCCTCTACTGCGGTCACTGGCCAGGATGGGGCTCTCTTCCACCCCCCCCTTCCTTAACCCACATAGGTGCCCAATGGAGGCCAAGGCGGAGACTTCTAACCGGTCACAGGTAAAAGTGGTCGCGCGCCTCTCCCGTCTCCCTACTGCCCCCCCCACCCGCCGCCGCTCTGGGCACGAGCCACGCCACGCCCCCCAGGTAACGGACCTGAAGTTGGACCAGGAGAAGTTCAGCGCCGCCTGGAAGTGGGCCGCCTCTTCCTTGCTTTGCCCGCTCAGGCCGGTTACCCTCCGGATCAGCTCCCGCAACGTCACGTCTTGCTCCTGCTCGAAGCGGCTCCAGTGCGCGGGGGGTGTCGTCGCTGCTGCCGCCGCCGCCGCCATCGCCAAGCAGGCCTCCTGAGCGAGGCAAGAAGCTGAGAGGGTTTTTTTTTCCCGCCCTCCCTCCTCCTATATGGTCACCTTTCGGCGCTTCCGTTTGTTTTCGGTCGCCATCGTCCACATAACATCTCGCGGCAAGTACTGCGAGGTTTCCGTTCCCGATTCTCCAGGAGGAGGGAGAGGGCGAAGGAGGCTCTTCTACGCATGCGCCTTTTGCTTGCTTATTAAAACTCTGGAGGTTTTCTTTCTTAGAGGGCTGCGTTTTGGCAAGCAGCTTCTTGGATGTTAATTTGCTGCTTTTGAAAAAAAAAGAAGTAAAACTTTCAATGTACCCCCGTAATGTCTGCGTCAAAAAAGCTGTATCGGGATTTGAAATCCCCTATTGAAAACACAAGGACTCAACATTCGTTTAAAGCATCGTGATTTAGTCTCAGTTTTTTTGGCTCGAGAATAGGAAGGAATCAAATCTCACTCTTCAGTTTCTGCAGCTGCAATCCTGTGCATACTTATTTAGAAACAGTCCCATCCACGCTGTGGAATTTACTTCTGTGTAAGCATGCCTAAGATTACACTGCAAAACTTTGTTTTCCAGAGTAACAGCTATTTTCAACCAACAGCTTTTCCCCATTTATATAACTATGGTGAAGCCCTTAGTCGTGTTAATATTAGCAGGAATAGTTTGGTGTCTGTGGTAGAAAATAGTAGTAGTTTAGTGGTGTTGCCTTAATCATTGTCAACATCCAGTGGCAGAATTTGGGCTCTCAAAATTTCAGCGGCTCCCTGTATATCGCTAAAAATTTTGCCCTCCCCCTGCCTCTCACGCTCCATTCTACAGCATTGTTGTGGTGCTGCCTGCAATGGGTACCCAGTGTGGCCGCACTAATCGCGCTACCCAAAAACTACTTCTGCAGCTTCTAAAGAGACATTGGGATCCTTTCCATGTAGAAGGCATGAGAAAGCCCAGCTAAAGCAGATTCTTAAGTTTGTCTTCATCCACATGCCTTTCTCTTCTGAAGCATTTATTACTTTTATAATAATAATAATAATAATTTATTATTTATACCCCGCCCATCTGGCTGGGCTTCCCCGGCCACTCTGGGCGGCTTCCAAAAGAATATTAAAATACTATAATACATCAAACATTAAAAGCTTCCCGACCCCACACTCCTTTACATTAACTTCAGTCAATGACAGAAGAGCACCTTTCCTGAAGTGGGAGGAGAGTCTCTTCAGAGCTTGTGGGACATAGACCTTCTTTCCCCAACAGCAGGCCTGGGTTGACGGTGTACTGGCAAAAACGGTTCTAGTAAACAAAACTTATTGGCAGCCCACGTTTGCTTGGGGTTGCTAGATGTTACTGTGTTACACTCCTGAGTTTTTGTGCACCTTAATCTGGTTTCGGAAACCAGATTTTCACTTCGACTCAAATTATATTTTTTGTCTGTGTTTTTATACTGAAACAGAGTGTGTGATCATTTTTCAGTTCAGGTGAACTTCAAAACATGAAATGTTGTTTGCTGCACCTAGTAAGTTTTATAATATTATGCTTATACTCCTATGCATGTTCGTTCATAAGTAAATCCCACTGTGTTCAATGGGGCATACACTCAGGAAAATATGCATAGAATTGCAGTCTTAGAGTTGTATAGATGGGATCGCAGCTGGATGGTAGTTGAATGAAAATGATATAGCTGAGACTGGAAACACTTATTCTGCCCTTTTATTCTAATCAAATATGTTTTATGCAGTAACATATTTCCAAAGGGGTATTGCTGCAAGACTCAGTTCCTTTTACCTGTTGAGGATTAAGTTGAGGAATAGTGCTTTTAATCCATGTTGGGAACCAGGCCTGACCTTTACAAATGCTAATGAGCATTCTCCTTGCATAGCCTGTCACATTCATTTATATTCATTTTGCTTTCATTGCTTTTTCCAATAGAGCTTTCAAGAATGTCTTGCTTCACCGAAGGTTTCCCAAGAACTGTTTGCATGTTTCCTGTTAAATGCAAACGGTAATAACTGGAATTTTCTTAGATAAGTATCTTTCTCTTTAATAACACTGTGTCAAAAGTGTTCTTCTCCAGACCTTCCTTTTTTTTCTAGATGTCTGTTGAGCTTTATTCCAAGAGATTAAAGTTATAAATTGTGCTACAAACATAGGCTTCCTCAAAAGTTTGACCGGTAGACGAGCCCAAGTTTGCGGGGAAGCTCAAGAAGGTGGGGTGAGGTTTTGATTTCATACTAAGGCCCAGCACAACAGTAAGGTGTGCTGGAACCTTGCCATTCCCCAGCTCACAGGAAAGGAGAGGGATGTGTGCTCATCAGGGATATTCAATAAGCACCAAGAAGTCTTAATACTTCCAGAGGCCCAGTTTTCACCTAACACTCAAGCCAAACTGGGTGCTATTGTCCTGTTACTGCACTGGTGTACAAACCCCCTTTTAGCTTGGGACCAATACATACATACCTCAGAGATATTGTGGGTTTGGTTCCAAACCACCACAATAAAGCAAATACAGTATCACAATAAAGCAAGACACACAGTCTTTTAGGTTTCCCAGTGTATATAAAAGTTAAGTTTATACTATACTGTAGTCTATGAAGCCAGGCCCCCTGATTGCAGTCTAAGAGTGTGGTCCTACTTCTACCCAGATGTTAATGCCTGTGTGGGTTAGGATGTGAGTAAAGGCCCCTTTGCTAGCAGAGGAACACTGCTGGGGAAAGGGACTCCAGAACAGCAGAGGTCCCAGCTGTGCTCTAGCAGACAGATAGCTTGCCAGCAGTAAGCCCTGAAACAGAGCAGGGCACCATAGCTTGGCACAAACTCTCCTTAATCTCAGCTATGCTTTGTTTGAAACTAGCCAACCTCATGCCATGGGTTATGAAACTGGCTTGTTTCAACAACTGTATTTAAAATTAGTTACAGTTTAGGATTTGGACATCATTGAGCTCTGGTAAATAAAAAACAAAAGCACCAGCTCCTAGTCTTCTCCGCTTAGGCTCCCCAAGGCTCACTCCCATTGTGATAAGCCATGGTTTATCACAATCATGCGGGACTACAGTTCTCACCCTCCCTGAGCACTGGCCATGGTAGCTGAAGCTGATGGGGGCTGGAGTCCATGAACATCTGAAGGGCCAAAGGTTCACTGTCTCTGGTTTATCATATGTAAAAATGCATTAGATGAATATGTATGCTGTGTTTACAATACTTGGAATGTGCTGTAATGGTATCCCTTCAAAACATGAGGCCTTCCCCCTCACTTGGGAATCACTGTGCTAGTTAATTGAAATCAGCACAACAAAAAATCCCTTAGGGAGTTTTAATGTTGTCCTGGTGGCCAGAAGCCCCACCTAGTTTAGTTCTATTTATATCTTAAGTAGCGTCTGTTGACTGCATTTGGCATGAAGAGACTGGATTCTTCCTTATTTCTGAAATCTATCGTTCACATAAGATCAAGGATTTAACTATGGAAAAGGAAAGCCAGAGATTATTTACAAGTAAAATTAAAACTAACATTGAACTCTTTGGTAAGGAAAGCAAATGCTTCAGAATAACAAACAGCTGTCTCTATTCCTCATCCCCAGCTGTTGGTTTCATACAACTCTGCAATAACAACATCAGAAGTTTTTCATTCTTTTCCCATATGGTACTGTCTCAAAGGATGTATCTTACAGCTCACAGGGGAAGCTGCACAGCTCTAAACCCCTCAGAAACTATGAACAGAGAAATGCTTGTGCTATTTTCTCTTTGACACGTTGCCAGTTGACAAAAAATGAATCCCGTTCAGATACTATGCAAGTGTGAAAAAATGTATTGTCTATTGCTGTGGAGACATTTTTGATGCCAAGTTGTGACAGCAGAAAATCGTATGGCAAAATGTTTTTATTCTTGCTCAGCTGTGCTTAACATTTAGCTGGAATTTCAGAGTTCCCATCCTCAATGCACATTCTTCTACTGAAGAAATTGTTCCAGAATAAGGGGGGGGGGTTAACTATTTTAAATACAGGTTTGTTAAAATAAACTCATTTTCAGACATGAGCTCTACTCAATCTTTTTTTGTGCAGATGATAAATAAATGGGATGCCTAAGGGTGTGGTCAATACAGACCAGGTATTACCTGCCATCCAGTCCATGCTTGGCTTAGGACAGATGAACAGAATCAAAGTTCACAATCCACCAGTGGCATCCTATCCTAGAGAGAGAGGCGGAAGGAGAAAGAGGAGATGAGGTCCTGGTTCTGCTGACAAGGTAGTGAAATTTCCTTCTACAGCAGGCACAGGAAACCTGTGGTGCTTTGAATGCGGTTGACTCCACCTCTCATTAGCCCCAGCCTGCATGGTCAAGAATGCTGGGAGTCATAGTCCCATTTGGAGGGCCACAGGTTCCCTATCCCTGCCCTACAGTTCCAAATTCTCCCACCAAGAAGTGACTGCTGGGAGTTAGAAGGGAAGATGAGGACCATATTCAACAAAATTGTTGTGCCACAGGATTCCATCACAAAGATTCCCGCCAGTGCAGTGTGACTTCCGCCTCTCCTCCCCTGCATGCCTCACACCATTCCCAAATCTGCTTTGGAGGGTTGGAGGAATAGATGGCGGGAGGATAAAAGGAAGACGGTTCCATTGCACAAAGAAAATCCTATACTGATAGCTGAAACAGTTGTGGGATTATTTCCAAATTAAAATTGGAGAAATATTTTGCTCAAGCTCCCTAAGAAATTCCAGAATTTTATGTTGTCAGGGGATATAATATCTGCCTAAAAATAATGTAAAACGCAGAACAGTGACTAATTCCAATTCAAGGGAGCATCCTCCTCCATGGGTGGTATTTTGAATGCTGTCTCTAGCGGCAGTGACTGAATTATCCAACAGTAATTATTGCAGAGAGGCAACAGGCAGCTTCCTAAATGGGGTGTCCTTTGGACTGCAGAAGCCTTTACTTCTCATGGCACACAGGACATTACTGTCCCACACTCTATCCTCTGCACAGACAATGACTTAGAATGATCTTTAATGGATTGAAAACAACAACACCAATGGTTGATCACTGTTTATATAGTTTAAAAAGTAATACAAACATAATACAAATATAAATATAAAACGTTGCTGGCTCTTAACATTGCTGTAATACCATTGGTTACAATTAATCGTTAATGAATTGCCTTGTCCATTTAGAAAAGAGATGTTTCTGAAATTATGTCACTGGAATCCATTCAGTCTGAATGCATTTTATCACTTCATTACTCAGAGAATGAAGTTTACTTATTTTTCTAATACTTTGATCTCATTGAAAATAGCATTACTGCTAAAGCAAGTAGATGAGAGTAGTGGCATCTGGCAAGGGACAGCATGGCTGTATTTGACTAGAATTAAACAACAAAATGCAAGATTTGCAAAGGAAATACACTCATCTGTGCTGAATGTCTTGCAATTGGCACAGTTTTTATTTTTCCATTTTATCATGTAGGGAACCTCACATCAGCTGCACCATCGAGCAGGGCTTTCTCTGACTAATTTTCCAACATTGTGGTTTACAAGTGTCTCCAGAATTAAGCGAAATAACAATCAGTTTGTCTTTGTTCATAATGATCTTTGTCCATAATGCTGCAACAATAATTAGTTTATTATATTTATATATCGCTTTACACATCCAGAAACTATTTACAATACTAAAATACATAACAAATTCAATAAAATAACATAAACACAAAATGCCAACCATGTTCCTTCAAAGAAAAAGTCATCTGAGACAGTACAAAATACTCCCTCCATTCACACAAGACCACCAAAAGCCTGATAATCAGTGCTGTCCAAATGTCTGGGAAAATGTCTTTGCTTGGCACCAGAAATACTGTATGACAAAGACAGCACTAAGTGAACTGCATTGGGGAGACATTCCACAGTCAAGAAACTACCACAGAAAAGGCCTGCTCTCTTAATTAATAAAATAATCTTGAACGATAATAATAATAAATAAAGGCAACACATTTTAAATGACCCAATTAAAATGCCACAAAGTAGTAAGCAATATTTTAGTAGGTCCTAATGAATGTATTGCCCTACTGTGAATTTATTAATTGTTTTCCAATCACTGTAGACTATTTTCTTCACAATAGGTAACACATAGAACTCTTTTTAAAAACACAGGTTGTTATTATTTAGTTTGGGGAGCTAATTTTATCCTTGCCACTAGCATTACACTGATACAGGGTGGAATGGAGAAGAAACCCAACAATGTACACACTGTACTAGGAAACCAACAAAAGGATGAAGAAAATTATCAGAGGCAAGCGGCAAAGTCTTTTCTCTGTAGAAAACAGTTGTGGAGCTCTTATCAGAAGCCACAGCATGTTTACTGCTTCAATGCTTGCCCCCCCTCTTGAGCTGATTCTCTGAAATGCTCCTGAACTGATTGCAGTAATTACACCTGAAGATTTAAAGTAATGTTCAGGGAGGGGGAGGTAAAGGACAATTAATAAATGGCCTGTTTTATTTTCCATCTACATGGCTGAGAAAACATTCCATTAAAAATAAAGGTAGTTCTTGATTACTGTACACTTGTTTGTTTTTCGTTTTTTTGAGAAGTAGAACAATTAAATAAAAATAACTCTGCATTTTTACAGTTAGATATTTTGCTAGCTACAGAGGTAGGAGACTTTCCAGTCTAGGAGCCTTTGATACTGAAGTTGTCTAGCCTTTCTGAATACGCTGCCTACTGCAGCTGCTAGAGGACAATGCTACAAATATCTTTTTGCACAATAGAATGTGTTCTATAGAGCATGAAAACCCTCTTTGACAGCTGTGATGCTCAGTAGAAAACCTGGCAACAGATTTAGTAATTTTAATATCTCAGTTGCTATGAATAATAGTGTCCATGTGAACAAAAGCCGTATAAACGGTGAGTCAACTCTCCATTCCTCCGTGAGAAGTCATTTAACTCAGTTCCACATATAACACATTAAAATGATTCTCCCCTCCACACCCACAAAAACACAGCACACTGCTAGTCCCAAGGATGGTGTGGATACAAGTTAAATTGAATCACGTGGGGCTTATTTCCAAGTAGATGTTTAGGATTGAATTTCCTGGCACAAATGAAATGCTATACAGCTACACCCTTGCCGACTGCTGCTGCTGAGCTTCCAGTCAGATGCATCCTGTAATAAGAACAACCTTCCTAGGCTAGAACAATGATTATTCTAGCTTCGTATTTTGCCTTTGACAGCCGCCCGGTCTGGATGTTTCAGAGAAACTACAATACAGAAGGGGAGAGGAGATACAAAGCGTATACTCTACCACTGAGCCTCATTCCTTATTGCTAATTCCTCGTTTCCAATTTAGAAGTCCCCTAAAGCTGATAACAACATTATGAATATTCTAACAATTGCTGAAAGTAGCAAACATGTTAAAGATTAACAGGTGTGTCAAGAGTTAGATAGATTTAGGTTTATGCTCTGGACTACAGAGAGTGTGAAAAGTGAAAAGATCGCACTGACTTGCAAATGGGTTTCTGCATCACTTGGTGTATGGACCATTTGAGCGGTTTGTAAGATGTTGGCTTGACACAGGATACAGACTAGCTGTCGGAGACAATGCTTTCCTTCTGAACTGTTAGCGCTAACCTCTTTGTAAAAAGAGCGCTCAAGGTAATAAAAAGAAAATTGCAGTAGCTGCCTGGGAATGTGTGTCTTGCAATTTCCTTGACATCTATCTTCCCCACCCCCATCAAACAACAAAGGCTGAGTATGGCAGATACAAAGTAGGTCACTGTTAGGAACGAGCAGTGGGGGTAGGGGGCTGATGCTTACCTCTGAATCAGCAGGGAGCTAAATTCTCTAGCAATGTCCTTGTGAGTTGATTTGCAGGAACAATGTCTGAACAGCTTGCCTTCTAGCATCCTAAGCATTCCAAGCGTGAAACTAGGTTAAAAATAAGTTATCAGTGCGTTTGGAGAACTGAATAAACACTTCATTTGTCTATTACTTTCAGGTTGTTCCTATGGTCCTGGTACTCCATGTCGCCACTACACCAGGGCTAATGCCAGAATGCTCATAGGTCAACTTGAAGGACAAGTTCAACCAGAAGCACAAGTTCCTTGTGTGATGCTTGGAAATATCCTTTTAAACCTAGAACCTCCATGATCTTGTGATGTCTGAAATATAGAAATTTCCAGAGCAGTTTCCATTATTTGATATGTGTGTTTGTGTATGCATGTGTTATATTTGATGGTTTGGAGTTTTGTGTACAAATTGACCTGCAGAGCAAAGGGGAACTTTGAGGGGAAGATTTTAAGAGAACATATTAAAGGTACTTTGCTGCGTGTGTTGACTCCTAAAAATAAGCTGGCGAATACTGATAAGAATTTGTGAAAAGATGTGTGAAGTAAGCATTAGATAAGGTAGTTGTATCAGTCAGGATTTGAAATAAGTCCAATGTCTGACTAGTAGGCCTTTATCTTACCAGAAGCAGAGCATCATATGCAACACCAGATATAAGGCAAGTAGGATTATTTGTTTTGTTTATTGTTTATGTAATGTATTTATATCCCACCTTTCTCCCAAGCTGGGTCCTCGGACTGAGGTATGTTTTGAGAAAGTTAGATGGTTCTTGTTCTACAAGCTGAGAGTGTTTAAACACTTGTCTTCATCCACAAAGGAGGAAACATAGCCCAGAGGGAGGATGGTTCTCCGTCCCATTTGTCCATCACTACCATGACTTTCTCCTGTGAGGCTTAATCACCCTCAGAAAAAGGTGAGGGTTTTCTCTCCAGTGCAGTGCTAGCTAACCTCTGGGAGGCCATGCCAGTGGTGGGTGAGGCCACTCCAAACTCACGAACGTGCATACGAAACAGCCACGCACATCAGCAGGGAGTGGGAGTAGTGGTGGATTTATAGGTATATGAAGTGTGCGAAGAATTAGGGCTCCCTGCAGCGGAGGGCCCCTCAAGTTATGAGTATATATTGTTAACTGAGAGGATACCTTTGAAACATGACTATAAACAATGAATGGCTATTGCTGAATTCTATAATCTTTGTTGCGTTGTTTCCAACCTTTATTTCTCCTACTCCCCAATTAGAGTCAGTAGAGGCTGGTCCACTAGGGTGGGGAGTCGCCAGCCTGGTGCCTGTGAAGGCCTTCATTGGTGCCGCTGAACAGGTTGCAAAACTCTGAGCTATCGTGTTTTCAAAAAAATAAAAGAAGGTGAGACAGTCTAGCCTATCTAGAAATAAAGTTATGAAACCTCGGAGAGCCATTACATAAACAATACTGTTCTGAGCTAGACGGAAGTATAAGGCATCTGCCTATGTTTCCTTTGCTTTTCTTATTTCCAGACAACTGGTTGTCTGCTTTTTTCACCATCATTCAGAATTTTGTGGCCACTGAGTCCTTGTTGGACATTTTGAGGTTTCTTCCATGCCTTAGGATTGTTTTCTGAAGATATTTGTACCCATGCAAACCTCATGATTACCCCAAGTCTGCTGATACCTCTGTCTTTCCTTGTGCATGGGGCAGTGCACTTCCAGCTACATATATGGGACGACCTGAATTGGAAACAGAGGAAATGGTATTGCTTGTGGATCACTTCATAAAAAGACAAGTGAGTGTGGACAAGTCCTTGGGCAAAGAGCTGGTATATTTCTTTGAATGATGGCTTTCGTCTCCAAGCTACCAAAATGGGCTGAACTGGGCTAAGATGGCAACTGTCCCTGTCACTAGATTTATTGCTCACTTTTAACATCAAGGGAACACCCACACAATTTGAGTGCTCTGCGGGGAACATTATCTTTTTAGACACACAAAACCTCTCTGTGTAAATGGTCAGCCCCTAATATTTATTCCTAATAGCAAAAGCATAAAGGAATAGAAAAGTGAACAAAGGTATTTATTCATTTTGAGATTTTAAAAGCCAACATTATATTGCAGCAGTCATATATCTTAAGCTGTGTCTTCCAAATAATGTGCTATCTCTGCCTAGAGTTAAATTGCTTGCTTTGGAACTGGCAGAATACAGTTCAGCCAATATGTCTGTCCTGCCATGCAGAAAATCAGAAAAGCTGTGAGCAGGGCGAATGATAGCTACATGTTATGCAAGTGATTGACACCTTGGGAGTAGAGACCTATAAATGTACTGATCCAAACGTAATAAAGGTATTTGGACTGGAAACTTATATGGTGTGTTAAAGCACACACCGATTATGAGAAAGAGTTTATTTTAGATCTAAACTGCTTTTTATTAAAACATAGCACTTTAAAACAGAGATGAGAACTCTGTATGTCCTCTTGAAGCTTCTGGACTCCTGCTCCCATCAGCTACAACCAGCATTGCAAATGATTAGGGATTGTGGAAAATGAACCCAAACATTTGAACAGCTGCAGGTTCCTTGACCCTGACTTTGTCACCTCTGTTTGCCTCAGTTCCTCAGATACCCTTCTTGAGAAAGTTTAAGACACAGGATCTACATCTTCTGTGAAGAGGATCAAAAAGAATTATCTGCAACCTTATGTTCCTCCTTTAGCACACCTTTGACTTCCTTGTCATACAAAGTTTTTAACTGCCCTCTAGCCAGTCTCCTATGTATGTGTGTGGCGGTACTCGTATCCAGCACTATTCTTCTATAAAAAGAGGTGCTGGAACTCAACACGAATGCCTCCCTTGTTCTCTTAGAATGGCAATGGTGCCCATTTGAGAGGAGCCGGAACTGAATTCTGGTGAGTTCCGGCTGCAAAAAAAAAGTCCTGTGGCATTTATGTTTTTAGCAATGGGCTCTGTGTGGGTTTTTGCATCTGTTATCATCTTCTTGCGTGTCTTTTGCCAAAGCCTGTGTTCCTTTTTTGTTCTCATTTGGACAAAATTTCCATTTTCTGAAGGAACATGTCTTGCCTCTAATAGCATCTTTGACTTGCCTCATTAACCATGTTGGCATATTATTATTTGACCTATATGTCCTCAATCACATCCAAATGTGTTACAGTGGTACCTCAGTTTAAGAACTTAATTTGTTCCGGAGGTCCGTTCTTAACCTAAAACTGTTCTTAACCTGAGGTACCACTTTAGCTAATGGGGCTCCCGCTGTCGCCGCACAATTTCTGTTCTCATCCTGAAGCAAAGATCTTAACCGTACTATTTCTGGGTTAGCGGAGTCTGTAACCTGAAGTGTCTGTAACCTGAGGTACCACTGTACTTGCACTTTGGCTACTGATTCACTAGGGAACCTGCAAGCATTAACTGTCTCTACATCCATGCTTCTCCCTTGCTGAATCGGGAAGGAGTTTTTAGTGCAAAAGGAAAAGGATTGTGGCAAAGACAGCTTGATATGATGCGATAACAGACACAATAGACTGCAAACCTCAAAGCCAAAGGCACTCACTACTGAAACACAAGTAAGAACCACCCAACTAGCCTAGGGAAAGGAGTAGCAGTCAAAAACAGAAATAGTGTAGCAGAAACGATCCAGTGTTCCGCATTAAATTAATGAAATTGAGGACACCACCTCCAGTATGCCTTTCCCTGTTCTTCCTACAGAATTTGTATCCAGAGATAGCCATGCCCCACTAGATCTCTCCCTTCTACCAGACTTCCATTACACCGACAATATCTCTAAGACCAAGCACTGCAGCTCACCCATCTTGGCTTGGAAACACCTTCAAATGGTCTTTCTCCCCAAATGTCTTTAGCACGTGTGTTTAACTGTCTGGTGCTTTGGCCACTCTCCGTTACCATCATATGCCCTTGCACTCAATGTACTAGTTCTAAACCTCCTCCATTTGAACCATCATAAACACTGCATTTTAGATGATGTGCGAGCTTTTCAGAAACAGAGACGAATAATAGTTTATTATGCCACATGTCCGAATTCAAGTGTTTCGAGTCTTTCCCATTCTCTGTTACGGTCTGTCTTGAAGCTACCAACTGTATAGCTATTTCAGATGTGTGTTACTGGGTCAGGAAACAAGGAAAGCAAACATAAACTGGGATCACATGGAATATCTGTGTGCATGGACTTATCCACCTCCTGCAGTACCTGTGTCCAGATTTTTTTAATATAACCAGACTGTATTTTAATTATGCATTACAACCAGAATTTATTTTAATTGTATGCTGCTCTAAGCTTCCAAATGAGAGAAAGGACATTTAAAAATACAATGAATAATAAGATCCACACTGGAGATCTGCAGCAAATCCTGGAATGTAATGGCAGCTAAAGTTATATAATCTATGCAAGTTTATATTGTAGACAGGACTGAAGGGTGTCCTGCTAAGTCCAGGCTCAAATTAAGGCCAAAAAAGCTTTGTCTGCATTAGTTTTCCACTAATTTAAGTCACATAAAACACAGATTTCACATGCATTGGCTGGGGGAAGCAGGAAGGGGCTGTTACATTATAGAAGATTACAGAGGGAATTTTTTCCCCAAACTGTAGCTTACGATGATTTCTTTTCTGTGTGGAGCTTCTGCAGAGTGAGCAACCTATCATTTGAAGATTGCAGTTTTAACTGCCTGCAGGATTAACAGTTGTAGTGTTTGTTTTGAATGAGCTGCCATAATAACTCAACAGAAGCAGTTTGTGACAATTGAAGGAAAGAGAATAGATATGAATGGTTCCTGCAGATAAAACTGATTTCTTCGCCTGCCGTTCAATGCCCAGGAAGAGAAATAAGGAGAATTAAGACCTTGGGTAGGCGATGGTGGAAACATCTGGTGAGGATGTGCTTTATTTTGGTGACTACTTTCAGCACCAGCGGTATTGAAAACTTTTTTTAAAAAACCCACAATAATAGGTTAAGATACTATTACGTGTGTGTGTGTGAAGACAAATTCATAGAGGATAAGGCTAGCAATGTCTAGGTAAAGGTAAAGGGACCCCGACCGTTAGGTCCAGTCGCGGACGACTCTGGGGTTGCGGCGCTCATCTTGCTTTACTGACCAAGGGAGCTGGCGTACAGCTTTCAGGTCATGTAGCCAGCATGACTAAGCCACTTCTGGCGAACCAGAGCAGCGCACGGAAACGCCGTTTACCTTCCCTCTGGAGCAGTACCTATGTATCTACTTGCACTGCATGCTTTCAAACTGCTAGGTTGGCAGGAGTACGGACCGAGCAACGGGAGCTCACCCCATCACAGGGATTTGAACCTCCGACCTTATGATCGGCAAACCCTGCAAGCACTGTGGTTTAGCCTACAGTGTCTACTAGCTATCAAAGGCTATGATGGCTCTATGTCCTACCTCCACAACTGGATGCAATGTGTCTCTGTATACCAATTTCTGGGAATCGTAAGTGGGGAGAATGCTGCTGTTGCATTAAAGTCCTGCTTGTGGGCTTCCCATAGGCATCGACTCGGCCACCATGAGAACAGGATGCTGAACTGGGTAGGCCTTTGGTCTAATCCAGCAAGGCTCTACATAATGCCAACTGTGAGTGATAGAAGTGCATGGAAGTACCACAATATGAGCCTGGATCAGAGAAGACCCTGCTTGCTTGCTTGCTCATTTATTTATTTAATACACTGGGTGTTTTACTTATTTATACACCACACTCTGCAAGGTCAGTCAACAGCACGTGTCTTGCAGCAGCAGACAAGAGGTGTCATTCTGCACTCAGAAACTAGCACTACCAGGCAAAGAGACACTCAGGGACAAGTACTAGCAGCCAATGAGAGGTTTCCCAGAAGCAGTGAGGTGGGGTTAGAGTAAGGTTACCAGATTTTTTTCAATGAATCCGGGGACACTTTTTTGTATGGGGACTGATTTGTAAATCTGGGGGCTGTCCCTGGGAAACGGGGACATCTGGTAGCCTTAGGTTAGAGGCAAGCAGCTCAGAAGGCCAGTGGCTGGGGGATAACATCAGTGGACAGTGAACTGCAAGAGGA